GGGCTGGGCCATCACTCGTCTTTCGCGTCCGGACTCCTCTCCACCTCGGCCAGCTTCAACTCCGCCTCGCTATCCAACGGGCACGCGACCAATGCCCGGGCCGGGCAGGCTCCGCAGAATGAAATGTGGCAAGAACAGTTGCGGCTGCACAAAGAGGCCGAGCGAGCGCACGCCGCCATGACAGAACAGCAGCAGCCTCACTACTATGCAAGACTCAAGGCGTCAGAGAACAGGGGCATTGGTGGCCCGCCTCCCTCCAACGGCAAGACCCAGGCAGACAGCGAGAACGACCCGGCAGATATGAGAAGGCCATTGAACGTGGAAAGGGGGACGACTCGCCAGGACTGGCACAACCTCGACATGAGCGGCCAGGGATTGCGAAATCTTGCCTCGGAGCTCTTCCGGTACCAATTCCTCAACGAACTCTACATCGCCTCGAACAAGCTCACCCGCCTTCCCAACGCTATAGGAGAGCTGCGCCAACTCCGCCACCTTGATGCTTCTTTCAACCAGATCAGTGAGCTGCCCCCGGAACTGGGCATGTGCACCTACCTGAAGCAGCTGCTCCTTTTCAACAACAACCTCCAAGAGCTGCCCTTTGAGCTCGGCTCTCTTCACCAACTGGAAATGCTAGGCATAGAAGGCAATCCTTTGGAGCCGAGCATAAAGCAGGAAATTATGGAAAAGGGCACCAAGAGCCTGATCAATGCGCTGATGGAAGGAGCTCCGAGTATGTTTTTCACCCCGAGCCTTCTCCCGTTCGATTGCTAACTTGTCTTGTACCATAGTTCCCCTACCCCCCACTCCGCGGAAAGAAATCATCATTCAGGAGGACGTGCCTGAAAATCTGGAAAGAATCAGGGTCTTTTCTTGGAATATCCTCTGCGACAAGTATGCGACGACACAGACGTATGGGTACACGCCCACCGGGGCCCTGAGCTGGGAATACCGCAAGAACTGCATCCTGGAAGAGCTGCGGATACGAGACGCAGACTTTTTGGCCCTGCAGGAAGTTTCCACCGACGCCTTCAAGGAGGATCTGAGCCCTGAACTGGCACAGATGGACTACAAGGGCGTACACTGGCCCAAGTCGCGAGCCAAGACCATGTCCGAAAAGGATGCACAAACCGTCGACGGCTGCGCCGTGTTCTACAAGCAGAGCAAATTCATCCTGCTCGACAAGCAGCTGATTGAGTTTGCCTCGATCGCCATCAACCGTCCCGACATGAAGAATCAGCATGATGTCTTCAACCGAGTCATGCCAAAGGACAACATTGCCGTCATCTGCTTCTTCGAGTCCCGACAGACCGGCGCCCGCATCATCCTGGTCAATGTGCACCTGACATGGGACTCAGCACTGGCAGACGTCAAGCTGATCCAGACGGGTATCCTCATGGAGCATGTGACAAAGTTGGCGGAGAAGTATGCAAGGTGGCCGGCCGTCAAGGACAAGAAGATGATTACGTTGCCAAGGTCCGACGACGCTGACGAGCCTCCGCCGCCGCCGCAAGCCGAGCCAGGCCCGAGCCAGGAGTATCGATCCAATACCGACATTCCACTTGTGGTCTGCGGTGATTTCAACTCAACAAAGGACTCTTCGGTGTGGGAACTCATGTGCCTTGGTCGTGTGCCGCCGGACCATGCGGAGCTGAACAACTTCCACTACGGAAGCTTCACCCGCGACGGTATCGAGCACCCATTCAGCTTGCGAGACGCATATGCACCCATCCAGAACACGCCAGACGAGTTGCCATTTACCAACTACACGCCCGGCTTCGCAGACGTCATCGACTACATCTGGTACTCGGCCAACACCCTGGAAGTTGTCGAGCTGCTGGGCCCTCCCGATCCGACATACATGAAACGAATCCCAGCTTTCCCCAACTGGCACTTCCCGGCCGACCATATCCAGATCATGTCTGAGTTTGTCATCAAGAACCGAAAAGACAAGAAACAAGTGTCTGATAATCGCGAATGATTGCCGTGGTCTTTTCCGTTCTTTTCCTTTCTTGTCTTTACTTGCCTGTCGTCATCTATTTTTTCCTCCTCCTTTTCATTTTTGGTCGGCAAGGTGGGCGGTGTCGCGTGGATAGAAGGATACAAAGGGTAGGACGAAACCGTTTAGTGATTGAACGAATGGAAAACCTCTTATGCCTCAAATCTGGATGTAGTTTTGGGTTTTGTAAATTGGAGTCTACGGCATCTTTTTTACTTCTTCTCTTTCTATCTCTGTCTTTGTCTCGCTCTCACTCTCTCTCTCTTTATTCTCGCGTGGATTGAAAAGCGATGACCGTTGGGGGCTTAGCGGTGAGGAGGGATGAGCAGTAGGTGAATGTAACAATGTATGTGTAATGGGGTGGTGGTTTGGCGGTGGGAAGCGATGTGTACGAAGTAGTTTCGGTAGGAGTTGACGTTATTTTCTTACTCTTCATGATTGAGTTTCTCGGCTATGTGAATGTGCTGTCCCGCGCGATGCTACCTTTTGAAGGGATCTGACATGTTGGCTTGCTGTGGTTTAGGTTAGGCACATGGAGTGGCACGGATATCGACGTCGGAGAGTCTTGTTGGGGGGCCGAGGAGTCGGTCAAGGTGAGAATCGATGTAGATTGCCGTGAGGTTTGGTGAGCCATCATGGCACATCTGTCTGAGAGAGCTCGTATAGACGGGACGATGCTTTGTGAGGGGGGGGGGGGGGGGGGGGGGGGGCATCAGTCATTTTGTCGGTGAAAGAGGGAAGCCTCACGGTTCCATGCCTAGAGCGTTTCTCAGAAGGAAATGTTTCTCCCCTTGAAAGGAGGTATATAGAGTCTCTTTGCATCTGCTCGTGGATTAGGTATTGATTTGCTTTCTTTTCTTTCTTTAGGGCAGCTTTTAAGGGGATGCTGGGGTTGTGCTTCAGAGTGAGACGGTTCATTTTGAAACCCTTCACGGCGGAGGAGAGGTATGTACACGTTTGCTTGCCTTTGACGGTTGATATGCTCAGGGTGGTGCTGACTTGTGAGGATTTTGCAATAGAATACGTCGGTGAAGCATTTTATCGACAGACAGACAGACAGACGGATCGACGGATCGACGGATCGAGATCAGCCTGGCTCGCTATGCAGATAGTGAATGGACCTCATCTGGGGACCTACCACCGACCAACCCGAACGACGACGAACCTTGTCCAGGATTGAAGAATGCATATGCAGGGATATAGCATCGTGCCGCTGGACTCCAGTTATGAGCCAAGCGGTCTTTTGCTAGCTGAATCGAATGAGCCCTACGGAACGGCTGATGCCTGCGACTCAGGCAGGCTGTTGGATAAAGCCACCGGCCGGACAGGCGCAGCCTCAACTGCAACTCTCACTCGCCAAGGTACCCCATTGGCGAGTGTCATGGCGTGAAAAAAAAGAAAGAAAAAACAGAGGGATGAAGTTCTGGAGGCATATCATTAAGGACAGGAGGTGATGCGTTCCGGCCGACGTCGCTTCCATTGGCTCTTTGTGAGCGCGACATCAACCGCCGGTGCTGGAGGAGTCCCTTTGATGCCGACTGCGGAATAAAAACATATTGACGGACGTCCTCGTCACGGTCTCGAGCCATTGGAGAGCTTTGAGAACCGTGGGAAAGCAGCGATGGCGAGTCGAGCTCGCATCTTTACCATTGCCGCTTACGATTGAAGACTGGCGACTCCCGAGCATACAGACCCAGTGCTTGTTTGCCATTATCTGAGATTCAGCAGTTTGGCCCTGGTATTTGGATAAAGACGACTGATTCTCAAGTGATTGAATACAATCGAGAGCACAGGGAGAGGCTGAGCATGCCATGTGTGCGTAAAACAACTTCTCACCTTATAGGCCAGGAGTTCAGAAGATGAATTACCTTGCAGCGGGCAATGTATTTACAGTGGTAACTCCTAGTATAGCCGGTATAAAGCTACTAGAAGCTACAGCAGCTATGGATAGTATTAATATCTACATGTATCTATCTAGAGAAAAGTAGAGATATTCTCTCTTGCTATAGAGATTTAGAATACATGCTTTAAAGTGGCTGTAATATTATATATTATAGCTGTTTTCATATTACAGATGCTCTCTTTAATCTAATGGTGGGTAGCGAGTAGAAAAGGGTAGTTTGTGAACTCAGAACGGAGTTTAGATAGCTTGAATGGATGGAAGAGCTGTTGTGACTCAATCTCTTTTCCGTCGTGTGGCCGTACGACTGATGATACTCGGCACCCACGATGGTTCCGATCGCCCTTCCATTTGGTCGTGATCGATGTGCTCATGCAAACAGCCGTTAACTAACACTGCAACACCTCATATGGAAAAGGAGCAATAGATAAATTAGAGAGAAGCGAACAGGGCAACGCCTCCACGCCTTTACATTTAATAATTCACTGCCTGACGTGCATGCGAGTGACTCGGCCCTGGGATTGTTCGAGCACACCTCTGCGTTCCCCCCCTTGCCCCCCCCCCCCTTCTCTGCTCCTCTTGTTTCTTCACTCCACTGCTTTTCATTCCAGACTCGCTTTCATCGCTCTGAATAGCGGCCGTATCCTCAACGGACTCGAGCGGATAGAACAACCACCGCGAGCACCAGCACACCTAGCCTCGCCGACACCTGAAGTTCCTCATCACCAACAAAATTCACTCTTCAAACCGACTTCAGAGACGACCTACATACGACTTCAGAAACGACATAAATAGGCAAGCCGCGCATTTAGGCTCTATAGACAGAGTTGCTTATGCATCAACCCCCTCCGCCATCTGTTCTAAGCCGTTCTCTCTCTCCTCGGCAGCATGAGCGTCCCATGGCCGGATTCGTCGACGCAGATGCAATATCTGGGTAACTCTTATTCTTGTTTGTCCAGTCATCAGAGAGCTCAGTTTTACGAGGGACTGCTGGAAAGATGCCATTCCCTTCAAGTGCTGCGACAAGAGCGTGTCGTGCTCCCTAATGAAGCACTCCCTCCTGGCATCCCCATCAATCCGGGCATTGGGATAAGGCATTACGTGATGTCTCCGAGGCATCAAGCGTCTGTTCAGAAGCGCAAAGCGGTCGTCATTTCTTGCGAGTTCGGTATTGCGGAGAGTCGGCGAAACGAGCCTTTGGCCATCTGCGTCGTTGACTGCCTCACCGGCGACACGCTGGTCTCTTCGCTCGTTGCCGTCACGCAGCCAATGTTCAACTGGCGCAAGGATATCCATGGCATTGGCTTGCAACAAATGACGGCCGCAATCAAAAGCAGTCAAGCACTTATGGGGTGGCGAGCCGCACGAGATAAATTGTTCGAGTACATCGACGAGGAGACGGTTTTGGTCGGATATGGCATTCGGCTTCCTTTGGAGCTCTTCAGGCTTTACCACACGAAGGTTGTCGATGCTCAAGTTCTCGTCACGGCTGCTGTATTCCCAGACGGCGTGCCCCTTCTGGAGAAAGGAAGATATAAATCGCGGCTGCCCCATGTTTGCAGTGAATTTATTGGGATCACTCTCCGACAGGGCCTTCATTGGGAGGCTGGGATTCACGATCGGCTGGAAAATGCGCTGGCAGCTAGGGAGATTGCTCTGCAGTGTATACAAAGACCTGCGGAATTGGAAGCTTGGGCGCAGCGCAAGAGAAGCGAGTTTTGGGCAGCGAATCCGGCGGCGAAGACTGCTTACCGCGATATCAGCTCCAGCAGACAGACAAATGTTAGCTGGAGCCCTTTACCCAACCAAATTGCTACCAGCCAGAGCCTTGCCAGCCAGACTCCTGCCAGCCAGAATCTTCCCGACCAGACTCGTCCCGACCAAAAGTCGGCTTCAGTTGCATTAGACGATCAGTATGTGACTGGGTACAAGGCAGGCTTTGAAAGTGGCTTCTGGATGGGGTATGAACGAGGTCTGGAAAAGGCAAACACACGACAAGATTCGGCGTCAGCGGAGAAGGATCTCTTGGATGAAGACCATTCCGAGTGCCGGCCCGAGTCCGAGAAGCTGATCTCACTCTCGGATGACGAAGGCGAGTATGGCAACCGACATGAGTCTGCGAATCCTTCAGGCAATCACGATGATGACGGGGCACTAGCGACTGGAGGTCTCTTTGCCGAGCTCATGAAAGACGAGAGAATTAGGAAGATGGTTGAGGCATCCTCCAATCATTTCGATGCTCAAGCGGGAACAAGGGAAAGTGAGGGCTCAATGGGCAGCACGGATTCCTGGGAAACCTGTCGAACTTCATGACATGCCGGAGGTAGAGCATGAGGATAGCGACTGAACTCGATATGGAGCGGCAACTGGCCGGGAAACTTTAGGTAGGTCAGTCTATCTCTCTCTACTAGTAGAAATTAGCTAGATAAGAAAAGGACAAGACAGACAATGTAGCTGAGAACCTTATGGCAAAGGGGATCCCAGAGATCATGTACTGGTGAAAGTAATGGCATATGAAGCCAAGTGGTAATTGGGAGTGATGTTTGTGAGGATTAGGCGTTGATAGATACCTTATTGATGTTATGGCTAATGAGCAAATCATGACCGACTGCCTTGATGATCTTCCAACCGTGCCACTTTTTCTCTCTGCCAGTTGTTCCTGGTCAAACAAAGATACCTTACCCAAGCGCAGGCAGCTGTCGTGTCGAGGCAGCAACTGCCGCTGGCCTGGTGCAGCTGAATGGTCAACTCGCGCAAGCCCAAGACAGCCGCCAACCGTCCAACCTGCAACTCCAGAACTTCAGCCTTTGGCAGTCAAACCGCCCGACTGCGACGCGTCCGCAGTCAGTCAGCGCGCGGATCAAGCCAGCATCGATACTCTTCATTCTTAACATGATACCTGCGTCATTCGTTTCAGAAGCAACACCTAAGGACATATACGATGAAGCTGCCTTTTGCAGAGCCGATGCTCCCTCCGACGCCTCCCAAGTCGCCAATTCCATGGACCGGCACGTTTAAGAGCCCACGAATCTCCCATGTCATCAACGACCATCCCAAGCGCTCCATTGACCACCTGCCGCCCGAGATCATCTGCATGGTCATGGGCAACCTCACGTCGAGATTCGACCTGCGGAACCTGGGAGCCAGCTCGTTCTACCTCGCGGCCGTGCTCAGCCAGCACAAGATCTCGATTCTCAAGGCAATGCTGGGCAAGATGCTGGACCCGTCCAACCTGGACATTTGCCTGCTGACCATGGGCGTCCTGCAAGTCACCCGCAAGGGCGACGACGTGTGGCAGTGCCTGTGGGCTCTCTCGCAGCGCCCGACCCTGGACACGATCCACGACGCCGAGACGCTCTGCAACATGCTCGACCTGACGCTGTACATTGAGTACATGCTGACCATCTACACGTATCCCAAGCATCCGGACACCTTCTGGAGACGCGCCCTGCGCAAGTACGCCAACCGCTGGCCCGACGGCAACGTTCCCGACGGCTTCGTCTCCATCGACTCAGTGACAAAGCAAGAGCTGCGTCAAGTTGCGTCCCGGCTCTGGAACGTGCGAGATGCCGCTCTCGGTAACAGCCCAGACGCGCCGCCCAGGGCCGAGCACTCGGCCGAGCTCATGACGCTGTTCCAGCGCGAGATGTTCTCCGCGGAGCTGAAGCTGCGCTGCGACCTGGTGGCGGAGCTGGGCCACGACGTGCCCGAGTGGATGTGCGAGGAGGCGCCCGGCGACGGCGTGCAGAGCTTCTTCGAGCTGCTGTAGTGCTGCAGCGTGCACGCCATGGCTCGCTGCTGGAACCGCGACGACGGCGAGGTCTGGACGGAGATGAACCGCTCGTCGTGGGCCGAGGGCAGGGCGCTGGGCATCCGCTTCTACATCTGCCTGGCCATGTTCATGCCGCAGTCGGCGAGCGTCGACGACGTCGAGGAGATTTGCATCGCCATTGACTCCTTCATGTCGTACTACCGGAATCCCAGCATCCACGGCGACACCAACCAGTGGTTCTTTGAGTTTCAGGACGCCGCGTGGGACGGGCTGTGGGAGCACACGCATGAGTTTTGCCGGCTGCTGGACGAGGGGCTTGTGGATGAAATTGATGGGGGAACTGATTACTTTTGACGTCTTGATTGTTGCATTTGTCGCTCATTTTCTTTATGACTTTTTGTACTTTTAATTTGTTTCAGTTAGCGATGAGCGTTGTATACCTTATCTTAGATGAGCTGAAAGAAATAAAAGCTGTAAATCGTTGCGCTGTTGAAAGTGCTGTCTTGTTGTGAATTGTCTTGATATTGAGTGCCTACTGTGAAATACCAGTTCAAGTCCAAGGAGATGTTGAACAGACTCAATCAAAGTTTGCAGAACAAAGTAAAAAGAAATGACCCATCAACTTTGCTGCCCGGGCTTGACCACATTGCTGTCTCTCGCGTCTAGTGTCCCGGCACCGCCATCCTGATGGATCGCTTTCCCGTCACGATTGCATCGTCGAAGCTCACATGCTTGCGCTTCCGGCTTCCGCTGCTGCTGACTGGAGAGGGAATTGCCGTTCCATGTCGAGGAGGCCGTTCTTCTCCTCCTCCTTCTTCTTGGCCGTTGAGCGCCGCCTTGCCATCGGAGCCAGAGGAGGTGCTGCTTTTCTTGGGGATGGCGACGGGGATGAGGCTCTTTCTTTTGCTGTTGCTTCTTCCTCTTATTCCCGTGGTCTTCATTGTGGTGGGTGCTTTTGGGGACGTCTTTGGGGTTATTTTGGCTTTCATGTTTGCGGTGATTTTTGGGATTGAGGTTGGAGTTGGTTTGGGGTTGATCCCTGGAGAGGGCATGGGGGATATTTCTGGGACGGCTTGAGGGGTTTGCTTGGGGATTTTCTTAGGGACTGCCTGAGGATGTTCTCTGAGGGGTTCTTTGGAGGTTACCTGGGGAGGTTCTTCAGAGGCACCATCAAGAACTACCTGAGGGGAGGTCTCTACAGGAGTGGCAGCTCCCCTACTAGGACCCATCCGAGGGGAGGTCTCTCCAGGAGTAGTAGTAGTATCCCCCCTAGGCGTGCCGCCCTTGCCCTGCTCCCTTATGACGCCGACAAGACACCCGTTGCTGCGCCTGCACGAGGGCGCGACGACGAACTTGAGGCCGGGCCGCCAGGGGACGAGGACGAGGGAGCCGCGGAACTCGGGGCCGACGGCGCCGACGGGGCGGTTGGTGGCGGATTCGTAGAAGCGGATCGAGGTCGGGAAGGCGGCGTCGATGCGGATGGCGAGGGCGAGGGTGTTGGGCGGAGGGTGGATTTCTTGGTTGGGGGGGTGGGAGGTCCATGTTGGTGGGAGGGGGGATTTGTGAGTCTGGAGGAGGAGGAGTGATTGATGATGATGTTAGTTGGTTTTGCGGTTTTGAAGACGGGGGAGGAGAGGAGTTGAGGGGATGAAAAGGGAGGGGGGGGGGGGGGGGGCGGGACGGACTTCTTTTTGGCATTTGAGGAGGAGGGTTTCTGTCGAGGCTGAGGTTGGGAGGGTGAGAGATGGCATGGCGAGGGTGTTTTGGTGAGGAGATGCTGTTTGGTGTTGGCCTTTGTAGATGATGGTGATGGTGGATGGAAGAGGAAGATTGATGTTGGAAAGTCTACGGTGTAAAAAGGAGAGTGTTGTCGCTGCTGTGAGTTGGAAGATGGATGCAGTTGGGTATCAATTATACATGCACCCAACGGTGCTGTCTTATATGCAGCTGTTGATGGAGCGTCACGCCAGGGATCGTTGCATTGGTTGAAGATTGTGGCTCGTTGTAGATGTTCATGTATGGATAATGTATTGGGGGCGACATGTAGGGTGGTTATAATACCGACTCCTTTTTATTCGATGACGGAACTCAACTGGCATGTGATGCTGAATCGATATGCAGGGAGCAACGACTCTGGAGAGGCTCTTCGTCATGATTGACGTGGCATGCATGCCTTATCGATTTGGGGCGTTCTTTCATGCTTGTTGGAGAGGTCTAGGTGGCGGATTATGAGTGGCCCGATTCGGAAGTGTGGCTTGTTGTATGCAGCTTCTCATTGGCTGCTTACTCTAGGTAGGTGTATGTTAATGTTCGAGGGAAGAGGGGAGAGCCGCAAGACCTGAAGGAATCTGCAAAAAGCGCGGAGAACTGTGGATTGTCGCAACCGAGGCTCACCAAGTAGGTAAGGTGAGGACAAGGCGATTACAATCTATCTAGTGTTCCCTACAGTGCAATAATGTTTGCGAAATGTCCCTGGTTAGAGAGTGAGGTGGTATGAGCTTCCATCTCTAGATGACCAGCCAATATCGATATGATCCTGAAGTGTTAAAGTCATGGCGTAGGCTATGACTGTCCAAGCGGATCTTGAAAGAAAAAAAGAGAGAGGTCGAGGAAATATGGATTCATTTCTCTTGGAGTCGGTGGTCGACCAAGTCAATGACATGGAGAACATTTCTACTCACTCCCACATCTCGAGCGAGGTACGGCTGTGACCGTTACCACTGGACCGATAGCTGTTCTGTATACACAGGCAGCAGTTGTGTCTGTACACTGCTCAGAGGAGAGGCGGGACCTGGAGTCAAAAAAGCCCCCTTTGAGGCAGCCCGGGGCTCAACATCATCGTAATCCTAAGATTGTGCTCTAAGCTGTCTCCTCTTACCAAGGATTCTATTAGCTTTCCCTTTGCCAGAATTCTCTATCATCATCTCCAGCATTTTCTATCTAGAGATAATGGTTAGCTTTGTTTTGTAAAAACATGAAGATGGCCAAGATGTCTGTAACACATTCGTGGCTAGCTATGTATACACTGGCTTCAGATACGGCACTCTTTTTACTCAACCCGAGGTCTTGCAGTATCACTACCTCTATAGATGAGAGGTGATTGAACCGTATCTTCAGACAACTACATAGGGTGAAAGTTGCGGCATAACTTCCGATCTTTTCGTAACACCAAGACTCGTTGCTCGTTCTTTTTCAATGATCTCAAACAATTTGAATGTCCTCCAAGCACTCTAGAGGTGGCTTTCACCGTACTCAATCACAAATTCAAAATCTTCTCCTTCCACAGCTTGAGGCTCTACCTCCCACAAGCCAATTTGATCAAGAATCTGCCGACCTACTCCCACTTCCTCAGCAAGTTATCTGGCCGTTTGCTTCCAGCGTTCAACGGATTTTCGATCGCAGAACGTTCGTCGTCGCCTGAGATGCTTGCTCCGAAGAAGGCTTTCGACAGCTTTCTCCATACCGACATGGCTGATCATTGTCTGCAGCATCTCCTTGCGTCCCCAGAACGCTGCAGCTGCCAAGGCACTCCCGTAATGACTTCGGCGAGGAATGGCGGTGGGATCTGCACCGGCATCAAGCAGCAGTTGTAAAACTTCTTTTCTCTCTTCTTTATGTCTGTGTGTGTCGAGAAGCCTTTCATCCCTAACTTCTCTTGCTGCGGCTATAAGCACGCTGTCACAAGGGCCTTTTTCCAAGCCTCGGTTCGGATCAGCGCCAGCGTCGAGGAGCAGTTGGACTGTTTCCACATACTGTTGCTGGAAGTAGAAGTTCATTTCTGCAGCCGCAACAAGAGCATTGCCGTATGCGCCGGATTGCACAGTAGCATTAACCTTGGCTCCGGCTTTGATCAGGATCTCAACTGACTGGTAGTTGCTGACCGATGCTGCTGTGATCAGGATATTGCCATCGCCATTATACTCTTTTGTCAGGTCAACCACGCCTTGATCAATAAGCCATTGCAGCGTGGCGGGTCGCCACATGGCCGCAGACTGTGCAGCAGATGGACGTGTACCCTCTGCAAAGTTGACATCTGCTTTCGCATCCATGATTAGAAATTCCACAATGTCGGTCTTATTTTCCAGGATTGCCTGCTTTAATGCGCCCGCGTGCTTCCCCGCATTTGGATGCTCGACGTTGATCAATTCGGTCAAACTTCTGCATATGGGCATGCAACCTCGTGAAGCAGCAAGCGCAAGTGCGTTATTGCCTAAAGAATTCTGCACCAAGGCCATCTCCTCGGTGATTGTGCCTCCCAGCCACCAATCGCTCAAGATATGATAGATTCCGTAACAGCACATTGCCAAAAGAGGCAAATTGCCTGGACCTGTGTAGGGGTTATCTTAAGCCCATCTTCGATAGCTGTGGCTGCCCTCATCTAGTGACCCAAGAAAGCGCTTGAGACGTACGGCAACATCTAGGTCTGCCTCCTCTTTCTCTGCCAATCCAAGCCATTCATCATATCGCGACATATGCTCTCCCCAATATCCCCTAGCATAGTACGCAAAACTGTAAAAATAAGGATATGCAGCCTCTATCGAGTCTTCCGAGTCTTCTGAGTCTTCTGAGTCTCCTGTGTCTTCTGCATGCTCTGCATCCTCCGCGTCTTCTGATTCTTCTGCGTCTTCTGATTCTTCTGCGTCTCCCGAGTCATCCAATAGATAACCTCCAAGGAAGCTGATAGACACCTTTGCGGCGAAGGCGTCACACTTCCACGTCGTCCACCCTTTGGATTCAAAGAACTCAGCCACAGAGGCATGTGGCAGTATCCACACCCTATTAATCTCATCGACAGTCAAAAGATCTTGGCAAAGTGATAATATCTGTTGCTTTGTTTGCTTTTTTTTTCGCACAATGTCGGGTCCCTGGACAGCATACTGGATGGCTTCCAAAAGAGCGTTGATCCCAAGTGGCCTGAAAGAACATAACACCCACATAATGGCTCGCTCAGCTAGTGCCAAGTCCGCCTCATCACGTTCCTGTATGTTCTTCCACAGCTGATTGTAAGTCCCCATCAAATCCAGGGGTAATTTATGAGCCCAACTGTCAATGGCATCATCCGTAATGTGATCTTTTAGGCTCCTGACTTGCAAGAAGACCCATCGAAACCTGTGCCGACGTGTTGATTAGAGCCAAATCATATACACCCAGTCCCAGTATTCGAATGCGACTTACATTCCACATCCTCTTTTCGTGAACACCTCCCTAATTTTGCCTTGAATATTCGGACTTCGTTGCTTAAAGAACCGGGTTGAGTAGAGATTCTCTGTCAGAAACTTCTGTATGTCTCCTTGCTGATGTTCAGCATCCAAAGTAATGATGCTCCGACCCCCAAAGACCTTTCCCAAATACTCCCTGTCCGGACGGCTCGAGATGAATATCTTGACAGGCTTCTTCGATTCTTCCATCAAGTCGATCAGGACTGTGCCAAGATTGTACGTGCTGGTGTCCGACTCGTCTAGGGCGTCAAGGATGATGGTGGTCTTTGAATATGAATTGAAGGATTGTAAAATGAGATTCTTGCAGTCTTGGTAACCTAGCTCCCTCCCCTCACTCTTTGCCGTCTCACATGTCTGTTTTAGCCTGCTTTGAATCAAGCCAGGCTCATCAAATGCCTTACCAGCCAGCTGACGAACAAAGCTTCTCAGGACGACCGTCGGATTCTGCATCGAAAGGCCGGACCGTTTGCAATAGAAGAATGCGAACCCTTCATCATGGTGTGCTACTTTGAGTGTATGCTTCACATGGTCAATGACTTTGGAGGTGAGATATGTCTTTCCGGTGCCAACTAAGAGGAAGTTAGATGAATAGAATACAAAAGCAGGGCGACATGGATGGTTACGTACCAGTTCCTTTCAGGCATAAAGCAGCTGAAGCAGAAGGAATGCCTTGCCAATCACGGAATTCTTCGCTGGCTAGAAGCCATTCACCGGTACCCTCCAATCTTGTTTCGGTTACAATGACGTGGCTTGTTCCAAACATCTCGCTGCTTATGAAGTTCATCAGTTCATCTAGCTCCTTCTTCTCGACTCTGGACAGAAGGCTGGCAATTCCCTTGTCAATCCGGGGGAGTGGCGAAGACAGCTGATCCAGCTGTTTCTTGAGGGCGCCTATTCCATCCATTGTCTGCTTGGACGATAGTGATGATCGTGAGGCCTCGCAGCTTTGAACTTCTCTGTCGAGTCTTTGTTCCTGTTCAACCAGATTTTTCACGCCACCGGTAGCGCCGTCTGGTCGTAGGATTGCCGTCAAAGTCTGTCTGGCAATTCCGCTCTCGAATAAAGTATCTGATTGGGCTAACAGCTCTAGAGCGGCGACGTATGTCTCAAGAAGCACATCGTGTAAGTTGAGTGTGGCCGCCTCGTCGGTGGTCGCGGTCGTATAGAGAGCCTCGTATATCTCTCCTCTGCGTACAATTCGCGTGAACCATTGGACTGTTCCGAGAAGAGCGGCCTTTTGCTCTATCTGTTTGACCGGAATCTAACGCTCGTTAGCCTTTGAACTCCAATATCTACCTTCTCAAGTAAATTACAGCCCTTGATAAAAACGATACCCAAATCAAGGCCTCCAAAAAAGACAAAATTGAGGTAGTCTGGGAGAGTATGAATGCCTACCTTGATAACTGCCTTAGCGACTGCCCACGGTGCGCCAGCCTGTGGCGGTGCGAAAGCCATGGCAGCATCGCCCGCCATTGTGATAAAGGCCACAGCATCAGCAACATAGTCGCGGACGATAATCTTCTGGTTTCCAATTTCAAGCTTGAACGGCTCCTCGCTTTGTTCGGATAGCTTATGGCCATCGACGAGGCTGAGAAGCTCGTGGATTTGGTCCCGCGGCTGCGTGACAGATGATTGGAGTCCATGCTTTGTGATCCATTTCTGGGTTTCCTCATTTGCTTTGGCGAAGGCTCGAGCCCAAAGATCCGAGGTCGGCGGTCGTTGAGGCGTGTCAGGAGCTGAAGGCGATTGAGGTGTCTCTAATTCTGAGGCCTCAGTCGAACCTAAAGGTAGATCTGTTGAGGAGAGGTCTGGAGGAATCGAAACAGATTCGGTCGCTGCAGACCGGTGGTCCGCCAAGGCCGTAGATAGCCTGACTTGTGCAGAAGATGGCAGAGCGGGAAAAAGCAGAGAAACTCTTGTCGCGTCTATAGCCGACTGCGAAGTTACACTGACAGGTCTTGGAGAGGCAGACTGGGCCTCATTTGATGCCAGAGAGGAAGGCTTGGACGATTTCCCAAACAAATTCCGGAGTATGTCCCTCTTTCTTCCTGCAACTTTCTTCGGAACCATTGCGAATTGTATTGGCAGCCTTTGAAGAGATGGAGAAGTTTGCGAATGAATAGAGTGTGAGCGACTTCAACATCAAGGCATTCTCTCAGATAGGGATTGTATGGCAATTAACATTTCACTTACGAAGAGCCTAATACATGCGAGCCTCCTCGCCACCAAAGCTGCACTTGATCTCCCGGTGTGTGCTCATACCCTTTCTGCGATCCCTGTTTACTTTCTGTTTCCGCAGCCCCCTTCCCAGCTGGATGCAATTGAACGACCCAACCGATTGATTGGATGGGTAGTTACGTGGCAATTTATAATACGTCCAGCGCCCTTGGCACGCGTCTATCAGGCTGTGGGCTTTAGGTAGTATCACAGCCTTGTTGCTTAGCAGGGGGTGGCAATGATGATTAACATAACGATGAGCGAGGCACTTTCACTACTTGTCCGCCTATACTTCTCACACTCTAACACCAAAAGATCAGTTGATTAGAAGAACACAATGATAAGCTCGTTCAGTCAATGCTTCCTATCTATGTTCTCTGTCGTTCAATGGGATTTTGGCAGACGAAATACATCACGGCCCTAGCTTTTCAGCTTTGCACATATGCATGCATGTGCATGTTTCAGATTACGCCACCCTTAATCGTAGAGCCGACAAGTCATTGGATGAGCTGATAGACGAGGGACAAGCCTGAGAGGAGGGGTTGGGCCGTGAGGCTGACAATTTGCCTGCGTTCATACCCAACACTGCTGCAAGCTTGTCCAGCGACGTTAAGGAAGACAAGGCACAATCTAGCCCGATAAAGCGGCTGAAATTCGCGGATGAGGATATGCATATGAGGAAGCTTTTGAACCTCGAGATTTGTGTACGTCACTAGCTGACATGGAGACTTGGTCTGCCACTGACCGTATCAGAATGCCTCGCCTTTGATTTTCTCCCTTCGGCGGCTTTCGGCAGATGTAAGTTGACATGCCAAGTAGTACCTTCTGTCGACGACTTCGAATATCTGCTGAGCATATACAAGTCACGGATCCGGATATGGTAGCAACATAAAAAAAAATACATCATTTCAGACACTCCTCTATTAAGCACTCTATCAAGATTGGAGCCAAGGCCCAGCCGGCATGCGGCTCTAATAACTCTTCTAGAAGCTGATGTGCTGGAAGTAACAGTAAGATAAAACCAGGTGTCCTCTGACCTTGGTGCATATACGAACTTCGGATCGCGACAGTCAATTGACGGCCGCTTGACATGGACGTGGGTATTTTCCGGTTGCTTGATCCTGATCATCAGTTTAGAGAAAGAGCTCGTCTCTATATGCCTAGCAGGCGGATTCAGCTTACAGGCGGAGTTAACAGAGAGTCAGAGAGGCTGATAATCGCAAATCACAGTGATTTTGTAAGTTCCTAGCTCTCCTATATACCTCTTGCTATTCGTCTAGGCATGGTATTGTTAACAGAACTGATGGTAGTAATTGAAAGTCTTCAACACTCAAAACACGAACTTCTCGCCTACAAGCTCCTCACTCTTTGCCCAGAGCTTTTCCGCTTGGCTCCAACTGGTGTACCAAATCTTGGTGTTCTCAAGAATCTGGCAATCACTCAAGAACACACCCCTACCATCCCACTCTCCATCCTCGCCTTTCACCTCCGGACCCGTCTTTGCCAGATCTGCTTCGTTCTGAAGCGGCCGCTTGGCAGGTAGTGTCAAGGCGGGATCAACAGCAGCTACCAAAGATGTGCTAGCTCCAGCGCCCAGCTCCTTGAAAACAAAACCCCTGCTTTTGAGCATTTCAATCCCCGCTTGGAACTGATCGTGGGGAACCTCTCGACTCAGTTCGGTGATGATGACACCAGGGTGCACAGCGAAGCTCAGTATTCCGTACTTTTCGTACAGGCGCTCGTTGAGACCGAGGCTAAACAGGGAGTTTGCTGTCTTGGACTGTCCATAGGCACCCTGGTGGATGTAGCTCTCAGCCTTCACGGCCTCTTCCTCCAGCTTAGCTAGTCGGTAGAGGCCCGCGTAGTCAGGCTGCTCAACTAAGGGCAACGTGCCGGTGGGCTTCTCCCAGTTGATGTCGCTCCAGCGGATGGGGCTGTAGTTTGCACCAGTGGAGGAGACGTTGACAACTCGAGTAGCACCCTTTACGGCACCGGGCTTTTGAGCGGCAGCGATGATCTTAGACATGATTAAGCTTGTAAAGAGAAAGTGACCAATGTGGTTTGTGGCAAAGTGGCGCTCGATGCCATCCTCATTGAGCTGGCGCGTAGGCACATTCATGATGCCCGCATTGTTCACGACAATGTCAATGGTTGGAACATCGTCCCAGGAGTTGACTCTCGCAGCAGCCTCTCTAACGCTCTTCTGGGTGCCGAGGTCCAACTCGAGAAGTCGAGTCTTGGTGTTTGGATACTGCTTTGCTAGGGCATCGGCGCATTCCTGCAGCTTGGAGGGAGTTCGGCCGGCGATAATAATGAGGGCGGCGTTTTGGGAGGCGAATGCTTCGGCGGTGGCGTAGCCGAGGCCCTTGAGGTTGACGCCGGTGATGAGAATGGCCTTCCCGGAGATGGATGACGGGAATGCTGCGGCAACGGTCAAGGCCGTTGTGTGAGGGCCAAAGTCTGTGTGGGTGGTTGTGGAAGGCATTTTGATTGGATTCAGCTCGTTTTCGTTCGGATCCTTTTGATTCCTTCTTTGTTTCAGGTCATTTGCGTCCTCTATATACTAACTCTTTCACGATAACCCCGAGCAAGACACAACCGTCGTCGTGCTTTGTGCAGGGGATCATGCCCTTCTTCGTAGATTCAAGGCAGGTCTAATGCCGGTAAGTCCGTATCCCACGGCCCCACTTCCGGCCGGACACGCTAGCGGCCGGCCGCATCTCCAAACTCGACTCATGGCGGGCCTCAGATGCCATGGAAAACGCTCAAGAGGTTGCAGTTTGGCACAATGTCCGAGGAGCTCAACTTTGCCGTCAGTGTAGCGGAGCGTCACTGTATCATGCGTGGGCTTATATGCTCTGTAGATCCCATAAAAGGGAAGGCTGAGCTGACGTTATATGTAGCGGCTGAACCCGCCTGGCATCTTGTAATAAAAGGTTCAATATATTCTGCCCCTAATCTTTCGATCATCTAAAGTTCTCACAGACGGCCACAAATATGTCACCGATCGCCCCATACGCCAACGATCACCGCGACACAAATGGCCCCGGAGACGCCCGTCCTACCGCACTCAAGATTGTCCGCGATCAGGCCTTGGACGGACAGCTCAGCGGGAAAGTGATTCTCGTAACTGGGGGCACTTCCGGCATCGGGTTTCAGACTGTACGTGCCTTGCATGTTACTGGCGCTGACGTTTACTTTACCGGTCGAGAAAATCAGAAAGGCAAAGAGGCGGAGGAGGAGCTGAGGCGTGATGGAAAACCGGGAAAGGTTGAGTATATGGAGATGGGCTTGGATTCACTGCGGAGCGTACGGGAGTTTGCGGCTGAGTTTCTGAAGCGAACTGGTGGTAGTGTCAACATTCTGATATGCAATGCCGGTAAGTTTAGGCGTCAGACTGGATGCTTCCCTTACTGTGATTCATGGTTCACTAATTGTTTTCGTCGATTGTAGGCATCCGCGGATATCCCAAAGGCCAGACCGAAGATGGCTTCGAGTTGCACTTTGGAACCAACCACCTCGGGCACTTTGCTCTCTTTCAGGCTCTCAAAGATGCTTTGATCGCTTCAAGCAAACCTTCTTTCCAGTCTCGTGTTGTCTGCCTGTCAGCTTCGGGTCACCGCCAATCAAGCATCCGCTTCGACGACATCAACTTTGACCAGGAAGATGTGTACCAACCTCTACTGGGGTACGCCCAATCCAAGACGGCCAACATTTACATGGCGCTTGAAATCGAGAGACGGTATGGAGCGAAGGGCGTTCGTGGCCTGGCTGTTCATCCGGGTGGAATTAGCGGCACGAGACTCAATCGGATGACGCCTGAGACACAGCTCAACGCCTTGATCAGCGATCCGAAGATTGCACGAAAGATGAAGAGTGCGGAGCAGGGAGCCGCAACTACAGTATGGGCGGCTGTAGCTGCCGAGTGGGCAGAAAGGGGGGGCGTTTATTTGGAAGACTGTCAGGAGAGCGAGCCTTGGAACGGAGATGAGACTGTTTTGGCACCTGGTTATGCACTCCATATTCATGATGCAGAGAGTGCATCAAGGCTGTGGGAGATCAGTCTGGAGATGATTGGATCGGTTGTATGAGATGTATGTGAGGTTATCAAACCTTGGGATCAGATTCTCTCAGAAGCAGACAATGAATGGGTGATGTTGGAATTTGCTGTTGCTGGCGCATATTGGCCACGTTTGCACGCACAGTGCCAAGAATCAAGAGGGCTTCCGTAGCTCAGTTGGTTAGAGCTTCGTACTAATACTTCGGCTTCACGCCTAGTGTTGGTAATGCGAAGGTCGCAGGTTCAAGCCCTGCCGGGAGCAAGCTTCCAGTGCCGTCTGATTCTATTTTTTGTTCTTTTTTTGCTGTTTCATAACACGATCCCGTAGAGAATAGTGAATGCTAACGGACTTCAAAAGTCTGTTGCTGATAGACAATTGTCTGTATCATGCACGGTATGTTGACGATTGGAACATCATCAGAGAAATAGTAGATAGACTCGGCTCTTAGTTGACGTTATCCTATCTATTCCAGACACAAACCATCTACATGAACATCTCAAAGCGTCTGCAAAGCATGTCTCATCCTGTACGATGACATTTAAACGGTAATGTTGTAGACCTGGCCGACATAGTGAGGCGGAACCTCGCTGCTGAACAGCGGCACCTTTGCATAAATCTCCTCCCCATGCGCAGCAAACGCCTCCTCAAACTGCTCCGCCGTAGCAAAGTACATGAGCGTAAGCGTGCTGTAGGGGGCGTCCCGGCCAAAGGTGGTGATGGTGTAGCCCGCCATGCCAAAGGGCTTGAAGAGGGAGTAGACCAGGGGCATCTGCTGCTGGCTGTAGTAGTCCATGTCAAAGGTCGAGTCGTAGGTGGCGTTGTGGATCTGGGGGTAGACGGCCATGGAGAACCAGTCGCCGGTGCTGCCGGCGCAGACGGTCTTTTGGGCGGTGGCTGCGTGGGTGAAGAGGGCGGCTGTGGAGGAGAGGCTGGTGGTTGTTAGTCGTTGGGGACGTTTGGATGTGATGGATGGGGACTTACACAGAGGCAAGAGTTTGGAACTTCATTTTGCTTGATATAGATGATGAGATTCTTGATGGTCAGTTTCCAAAGGGTTGTCGGTGTATTAGAGAAGTGATTGCTGCTTTGTTTGTGTGTCTTTTCTTGAACCGCAACGGCATCGAACATCTTTTATCTTCTTCTCTTTCCAAATCTCTCAACTACCGATCTCACAGCCGTTCGGTCTTGGTTTTGATAATCATCTCACGCCCATGCTGTCTTCATTATTCAATGGTGGTTGGAACTCGTGATAGTCCCTTGACCTTCCTTGTCGAAGGGTCAAGAACGGAAGCTTTACCCCCTGGTCTTGCAATCGCCGAACTTCAAAAGATCCCTACCATCTGAACATAAGACCAGTGACAACATGATCAACCCCCCAGCGCCAGCTTTTGCAGAAAGTTAATCAGCTATTTCAAGTCATCATTCCGAGCTTGTAACCACGCCGTCGGCAGTTGAGTGTCGTCCTGCATCGGCGTTAAAACAACCCCACTGACACTTACACAATTCCCTCCAGAGTCTCTTCTCTTACACATTCAACAACCTCCTGACAACCGCAACACCCGGCCATATCGACAAATTAAATAAAAACAGCCGTCAACAGAATTCAGCCCTTTCCCTTTACGCCACAATGCCTTATTGGCTGCCTTGGCACATTAGAAATTCAGCATCAGACTTCCCGAACGCCGCCACGCGGCTGTCACTCGGAGTTGCTGACTGGATGACGTCGGCTTTAATGTCAAGCTTATCGCCTAGCCTCGCCCAGCTACAGCGGCAGTCACCGAAAGCCACATACTTGGCTGGCTCAAGCCACGACAAATGCATTTAACTTCGTTAATGTGGGAGGCATCGGAGGAAGCTGAAGTTGTGAACTTGGCGTGATCTTTAGGCGATAGGTCAAGATTTCGTAAGCCAAGACAAGTTATGAGGAGGTTATCGCCGTAGTTTGGGATGTTTCGGAATTGTGAAATCTCTATATATATATTATGGAGTTGTTCTTCAGTTCCTGTTGACTCAAGTCAGTCTCCATCAAGCACAACTTCAATCAACTCCTTCAAGCAACTACCTCGTACTAACACCAACAACCACAACCACTCCCCAATTACACTCATATAATTCTTCCAGTCCCCAATTCATATACTCCGAAAAATGCCATCCCCCTCCGAACAGACCCTCCTCGTCACCGGCGCAAACGGCTTCGTCGCCCAACACATCATCAACGAAGCCCTCACCCGCGGCTACAACGTCCGCGGCACCGTCCGCACGTCCTCCTCCGCCGCAAAGGTCCGCTCCGTCTTCTCCTCCCACGGCCCAAAGTTCTCCGTCGCCGTCGTCCCCGACCTCACCAACAAGGACCTCTACGCGCCCGCCTTTGCAGAGAGCCCTGCGCCCATCACGGGCGTCATCAACGTCGCTGCTCCATTTTCCTTGAAAGTCGATGACCCGGTCACGCAGCTGCTGAATCCTGCAGTCCACTCTGCTGTCACTGTGCTTGAGGCGACGAGGCAGTTCGGTCCGTACGTTCGTCGTGTGGTGAATACTTCGTCGTTTGCGTGTATCCTGGATCTCTCAAAGGGATACAGGCCCGGATACACTTACACGGAAAAGGACTGGAACCCAATGACCCATGAGGAAGCCGCCAAAGCAGACAACGCCGCAGCATATTGCGCTTCAAAGGCCCTGGCCGAAAAAGCCATGTGGGACTGGGTCGAGAAGGAGAAGCCGTCATTCAGCCTGACCACCATTCAGCCTCCCTGGATCTTCGGCCCTCACCTGACTCCCATTGACGATCTCTCCCACCTCAACGAGTCCTCTGAAGCGCTCTGGCATCTCGTCGGCGCAAAGGAGGTCCCCGCTGTTGACTTTGCCGGCTTTGCAGACGTTCGTGTCGTTGCAAAGGCCCATATCGAGGCCTTTGAGCGTCCTGAAGCTGCTGGCGAGCGCTTCCTCTGCGGCCAGCACTTTGACTACCAGAGCGCCGTTGATGCCCTGCGCGAGACGATGCCCCAGTTGAAGGAGCGTCTGCCGGTGGGAACGCCGGGCGCGGGCAAGACGCAGGATATCTATCAGCTTGACGGAAGCAAGGCGGAGCGAGTTTTGGGGATAAAGTACATCCCCCTTGAGGTCACCATGAAGGACTCGTTTGAGCAGCTTTTGGCGGCTGAGGCATGAGTATGCTTGGTTCATCATGGATATGGAGTTTCATAGATCGGGTTGAATTGATGAAAGGAGCTACTTTTTTTTTCTTGAGCATGCAATTGGTACAATAACATAGAACAATCGAACTGGTAATGTGAATAAAAAGCATGTAGAGTGACGTGGTGTGTTCTATTGCATCCGTCTATCCGAGATGTGAACATCTATGTATATACCTACTCTGTACAAAACTCACATAGGAGACGCCCTCTAATGCAGCAAAAGGTCGTATCCGTCCTTGGTGATCCGAACCTCGTCCATGCCGAATCCGTATTTACGCCGAATGAGTTCGAAGATGATGAGTCCGGCACTTGTGCTCGGCACCTGTCGGATCGTGTTCCACCAGAACCCGCGGTATAGCCACTTGCCCAGCTTCAGTCCCTCGGCCGATGCCTCAGCAGTACACCCTGCCCAGGTCTCCTGATAGGCGCGGTAGTACGCCCGCAGCATCTTCCACCGCGGCCGAGGCTGGTCCGGATTGGCGGCTCGAGATGCGCGAAGTCGTGCAGCTTTTGCGTCCAGATCCTCGAGGTGGTCCCAGTGTTTGACTTGAAAGTGCGTAAGTGGGTGGAGAACAAGCTGTTGCGCGAATGAGGCGCTGATGCCGGCTGCTAAGAGAAACATGGGCTCGATGGCATAGTGTGGCCGAATGAGCTGGATGCCGTCATCTTTCGGTCTATCAGTTGGACGCTTGATGGCAAGAAGATCGACAATGTCCTCTTCCAGGCCCCCGTAGTACCACGTCACAAAGCGGTAGTACGCCTGTGCCTTGATGTACTCGAATGTGCTGAAGAAGATGGCACAACCAACGCTGTCCTTCAAGAACGACAGCCCCCATCCCGCGAATATGCCACGCATTCCAATTTCCCTTAGCTTTTCGGCACTGAATGTCCACATGCTGCGCGTCCGTCCGCTGCCGTCGCTGGGCATCATGTCGCGATGGTCGTAACGCGCCTGCAGGGCGTCCAGCGGCGCCGCCAGAACACTCTGCAGCCCGCCTGCGAGAAACCCAGCCGTGAAGGTGGCCTGCGGCGGCGGCGGAGGATACACGCGCTTGCTGGCCTTGGAGCTCTCTTCATGCAGATGGCCGAGGATCTGCAGGTATCCCGTATACAGAACGGCGTTGACGCCAATGTTGGCGATGAGCGGCGGCAGGATCTGGTTCGGCACGACGCTCCAGCCCTCGTGGCGGATGGCCGACGTCAAGACGCCGGGGGTCGTGCTCCGCATCCAGAACCACGTCTGCCTGAGCGCCGCCACCAGCTTCGACGGCGACGCATCTTCCGCCACGGCCTGCATCAGCTTCTTCGTCTGCAGCTGGTGGATCGTGCGGGCATACGCCAGGTAGTCGACTCTGGTGCGGAAGAAGGACTTGGCCGGGGCGCGGAAGTAAAAGGCAACGAGCTGCGCACTTAGAGCCCGCACTCCGGCGGCCGAGGCGGCTGTTGCGGCATTGTTTCGAGGGTTGCGATCGGGCAGGTCGACGCCTGGCGGCAGGACGGGGAGGACGCCGGTGGTCGAGTCTGGGAAGGCGGCCAGAGAGGGAGCGTCAGAGCGGCCGGAGGTCATGGCTCTTGCGGCTGTTGCGGCTCATTGTGGGAGCGACGCGGGCGGAGGTGAAGAGTTGCGCGGCTTGGGCATGAAGGAGACGAGAAGATGAGAGAAGAGATGAGAAGCTGAGGTTGGGAGAAGTCTGCAGGCTGACGTAGAAGTTGCTGACTAAGCCACCGTTATCAGATCTCACTTACACGGAGATCTCATCTCCTTCTCTTAGGTACCTCGTTACCTTGCCTTGCTTGCCCAGATACGCATGAGTCAGTTTGTGGGAATAGAGATGTGTTGTTTATGGTTGTGACCTGCGTGATTCCTCGAATACGCAAGCCATTCTTGTCATCACTCGATTATTGTCCGAGTTGGGCCAACATCCTTTGGCAACCTCGTCCTGTACTACCATATAGGGCTGGCGGAAGTAGGAGACAGCCAAGTCAGGATGAACAATGCTTGCCGAGAGACCCTCCTCACCAGGCACAGACGATAAATGAGCGTGACAGTCGATCAACCCGGGACTGAGATACTTGTCCGTCAAATCGACCACGATGGCGTCATGGGGGACTTCGCCGCCATTTCCAATTTTCTGAATTAACCCTCCTGACAGGTTGACAGTCTGCTTTGGAATGACCGTCCCATTTGCTGTGTCAACAACATTTGCATTCTCAAAGATGTATGTCCTCTGTGGCGGTAGCTTCCTCTGCTTGATGAGGTCCGGTTCTGCTTCGCTACTTGCAACGGCGGCAATTGGAGCTGATAGCTTGCTCTCCATGATGTGAGTCTGGAGCAGCGTCATTTTCACGTAATAAATTGATCGCTCACTGTGAATGAGCGATTGCGATCGAATACAGCACGAACGAGAGGCACGACATAAGGTAGGTGAGTGAAGTGAGGGGTTCGTCAACAAGGGTATGAACAATCGCAGGGATGCTTTAACAGCCGTCAACTCCTCCAACAAACAACAGTCTCATCAAGTCTTTGGACTCCATGAAGACGGCAGAAATCGACTCTCCGATATCTTCAGAAATGCCATCGATGTAAAGCTTAGGACGCGCAAAAAGCAAAAAAAGAATGCCTCCAGCCAGATTTGAACTAGCGACCTTTGCATTACGAGTGCAACGCTCTACCCCTGAGCTATAAAGGCACAATCGCATTCATCTTATCGATAAAAGCTGCCTTGCTTGTGCTAACTATATACCATGTAGCCTAACAGCAACAGCAGACACATCCTAACCTCCCTTCCCCCTACCTTAGGTAGGTAAGATCAACTTGATAGCATCAGCAACCTGTCTACCCCTTCTGGCGAGGCACTACCTCTCTTTTAGTATTCAAGTTTTTTTTTTATTTTTTAATATGGCGCACATGGTTGAATCTCAGGTTGTGGCTTCACGGTGGAGGGTTCGTTCGGAACGCTATCACAAGTATCTCCATCCGCCTATCTTGGGAAACGCGAGGGTGACAAAGAGCAGTTGTCTATCACATGATTGACGTCGCCGGTTTGCAGTGTTGTTTCTGCTCATACTTTTGTTCCAACAGCCGGCTCTTTCTTCAAGGTGGCGCCAAGCATTGATTCTACCTCTTGTGATCATCTGGACCCATGACAGAGAATATCGAACACTTGGTTCCTCCATAGAGATCACGAGACAAGCTTCGCCCGGCGTTTAGGTCGCATCCTACTCCTATCTGCGCACTATTGACATGTCGAATAATGGCCATATTATGTGTTGGTAGCCAAACAAGCAAATGTGTTCTTGTACCTCTTTGTCCAAACACTTGAGTCTAAAGTGATTCGCTGCACAAAGGGCTTGAACTGTTTACATGCAGTACAAAGAAGAAGAATCAGCACAGGCGTCAAGATATGTGGACGCATCTGGCCATGCGAGCAATTACGGGCAAATGCGCAAACTTTGCGACAGCATTTACAGTCGCTGCAAAGCTGCCCAGTATTGACCCCTGTAGGACTGGAGATCATCACTCTCGAGAGGTATAAATTAGCTGTGAAGGGTGGATGGCTCAGTATCCTCAAAGACCTCAAAATCGAAAGCCTCAGGGATGAAGTCCTATTCAATCCAGTTGTATTGCTGCTTCTGTCGTAATGAGTTGCCCTTCGGAAAAGCTTGTGACGGCTGTGAAGACTGGGAAACCGACGTCATTGGCCGCCTGTCACTCCAAGAATAAAATCTTCTTCGTTCATATGCTAAGCATCTGTGGGTAGTTGCCAACACAGCCTCTGACAATAGACACTGTTCACAAGTACATCCTTTCCGGACCGATATCTCTGGCAAACGCAACCGGTCAGACGCCCATTGTGCGTTCTTCACGTTTCTCCAAAAAGCCAATCTGCTCAAAACGCACGGTCAAATACACTTGGCGGAAAAAGATGGCCACATGAAGACTCTCAGGGGGATAACGAACCCTCTTGAGTGGGACATGGACACTAGCGAACAACCACTCCTCCTGGCTCACGCCTGCTGCTGGGGGTTGGCGCAGAAGTTAAAACCAACTTTCACCCGTTCTAATTTCTACAGGCTCATGAGACAGCTGCATCCAATAATTCCAAGGAAACTCCAGGTCGATACTGAGCAGTGGCGCCTGGCTTCACTTTCTCACCAGGCCGCACTGTACCATTCCATTGCATCGTCTGACCAGACTGGGATCTCTAATGGGATCTCTGATGGCACTGAAGGCTCGATAGGTCTCGACGGACTTCTCAAGGGGTTTGCTAGGTTGCCTCGAGAGTTCCAACAGGTAATCTGGCGGGAATTCCCCACCAAATATCTGACATTTTACCTGCTAGCAACTGCTGAGAGTGTAGATGTGGCATCTGACTCGAAGTCCAACTTGAAAGTGACGGCACCTATCTTCTCCCACCAGCCTCTGATACCGGAGGGATTTTCGGGGAAAGGATGGCTTCACACGACGTTCATTTCAATATTAGGACGCCGATATGTGCAACGGGTCCATGTTTCCAAGGCCAAACCATCTAGCGAACCCAATGCTCTCGAAGTCTATATCCTTAAAATCTCTCACCTGCACTTCACGGTCTTGGAGATTGGTATTTCTGCCATCCAGATCGTCTACAAAGACGGTACAGTGTCCAATTGGCTGGGGGACCCCGAAGGAGGGTGGCGTGGTTCAACTCTTGGGTTACACCTCACTGACCTTCGAGTCTGGCAAGACGTATGCCTCTCTTAACCAGTGTCATAGAACTGCAGAGCTAATCAATGCGCATCAGGATCTCAAAGTACTCAGTCTCATCCCTCGTATCAGAGAAAGCGAAGACTCCACTAGGCATGACCAGCTGTCGAGAACCTTTGCCTCGAGAACGCTCTGGTATAACTACCCCCATCAATCCGCCGGGGATGAGCTGCGTCTTGCTCGTTTGTCTCCGATCCGCATCCCACTCATGCATCATCCGGGATGGTCTTTGAATCAGTATCTGCCGTTCTTTGAGGATGGGTCCCATGCTACGGGCATGACTGTATACCTCGGTGGCGATGGCACCAACGGCATTGTCATACATGGACAGAAGCTCGATCACGGGGTTGGACTACGTGAAGGACTTTCAATGTACATGCCTTTCAACCATGGCGAGAGAATCGTACGGCTATCTCTTCTGAGTAGTAGATACAAACATCAAAATGGCCCTTTCCTTCTGGTGAGTGTTGCGGAAGCCCGTCATGACAGTGCCACCCGGTACGAGAGAATGGATGATGCTGACTGGAAATATCATATGCTAGGTTGAGACAGAGGTCAAGCCCGAGAATCACACAACTACGCAAGATGCCACTCATCGATGCGTCTTTTTTGGTCCTGCACACTTACTCTACGCCTTTCGGGAGATGAGCTGGACATCTCTGCTTCTAGGTTCAGCTAAGGGAGATATGAGTGTTCTCAAGGGATTGATCGTAGATCCGTTGGCGTTGGGTGAAGGCGCGAATCTCACCACGCTGGGGGTCCATGTCACCCGCACAGAGATGGAACAAAGATATGAGGCTCGAGATCAAGCCTCAAACAGCATCCATAAGATCATGTTACCAGATCGCAGGCCTCGAGAAGAATATTTTGCCCACCTAACTGTTGCCGGGCTCATCAATGTAAAGGAGCTCGCTATTCAGAAGACATACCGGACGGAGAACGCAAGGCCTCGGTGTACAGGGCTACTCATATGCTATTTGGATGACTCGAAAGCGGTTCTGGGACAATGGGACGTATCAGCGAGCTCGACAATTATATACGATGCTGCGAATGGGACACCTCTCACTTCTTTACTCTTTCAGAAGGGCCCTAGCGGTACTGGGCATGGTAGAGGCTACATGGTCGATATTGTTGCCAACACCTCAGAGGAGGCTTATCATGCTCAAAGTCTCCAGGAAGAAGTTGACTTTGACCTCGCTCCCGAATTGGCTGGTTCAACATTCGAATGGCAGGCATCAAGAAGTGAGGTAAGCATGCATCTATTCTGGTTCTGGAGGAGAAAGCTGAAAACGGCGGAGTATTGACATTCTTGAACTACAGAGCGTCTGCTGGATGTTCGGCCAAAGGTCGGATTTCGTGCGGTATTGCCAGTTGAAGAAGCTTGAGATTGAGCCCGGAGAAATCATCCCATATACAGTTCACCATATGCCGTAAGACACAATTGTTCGGGATTTGGAATGCAGTTGTTCAAGCGACATTGAAGAGCTCATGTCATTCTGAGAGGGTGGTCAAGAGAGATAGTTCGAACAATAGTAGTCCCCATTGCAATAATGTTCTTAAAAAACATATGCTTCAAGTTCGGTGGATTTGGGTAGTTGCGGAGTTATAGAAGTGGCACAATCCCTGTCAATATCCAGGCACACACAAGATACAGTATGACTCACCTCGCGATTTGCTACAAACACTTTGTTCTTCTCTCAAGAATAACTATAATAAAGCTGTCTATGATATAGAAACTGAATATCTCAAGATCAAAATGGCCGACACCGTGATTCTGATAGGCCCAGAAGGATCTGGAAAGTCTACAATCGGCAAGATCATCGCCGACGCCCTCTCAAAGGAACTGTACAGCCTCGACCGCCACCGCGACGAGCTCTACGGACCATACGACTACGACAAAGCCCTCGCAGAAAAGATCTACACAGACCAAGGTCTATGGGCATTCTACCAGCACTGGAAAACATTTGAATACAAGGCCGTCGCACACATCTTGCAGAATGCAAAACAGGAGGGCGATGAGTTTTATGGCAAGATTCTCGATTTCGGCGCCGGACACTCGGTTTTCGAGAACCCGGAGGAGCTGGCACACATAGAGAGTCTGATGAAGCCTTATGCCAATGTGTTTCTGGTCGTGCCGTGTGAGGATGTGGATGAAGTGGTGAGGATTACGGAGGAGAGGAGGGGGCATGAGCTTGGTCTTAACAGGCACTTTGTGGAACATCCTAGCAACAAGAGGCTTGCGAAGCACATTATTTATACGAAGGACCTAAAGGCTGAGGAGTGCGCCGAGAAGATACTTTGGATCATGGAATCGAGAGAGGAGGCGTAACGAGTCTCGAGCTTACAACAAGTAATGTCATCATAAAGGGGTTCACCAATAAATACATCCTAGAACATGCCTAATTAAGGTTCTCAAAAGGCATCCATTGACAGGATATGGTCCATTTCCAGGCATTACCTACTTCATAGACAACACCCAAGATAACTCATCGTATACGGAGCTACCATCCCCACGGTCATAACTCATTCTTCCAGATCAAGACAAATACCTCCAATCAACTGGCGCCATGAGCGACAGCATCTCGCTCTCCGTCGCCACCATCGTCAACTTGGCCTGAGCCTTGAGAAACTGCGCCTTTGACCGATCAAACGGCTTCCCATCCGCCCCAGAGAACTTGGTCCCGTGAAACATGAACTTGTCGCTGGGCATAAAGTCGCCGCCCATATCGATGCTGAATCCGCCTCCTGAATATGGTGGACATCACATATTAGTACATGCCGTCAAATCTGAATGACACTGAAGAGAGTCTATATGTTGACATACCTTTACCAACGGCGCCGGGCCTTCCAAACTCGCTGTCCGTCCCCGGCTGTCCCAGGTCGAGCTGGACTTTCCATCCCTGCGGCCACTTACCAGCCACAGCAAGAATCTCAGAGTCGGGCACTGTTCCAGGCTCTCCGGCATCGCCTCCGTCCCCAGATCCATCAAGGCTTCCCTTGACAGGTTCAAGAATGACCACAAGCCCGCCGCTCTTCGGCTGTGTCTCCGCTCCGCCCTTTTGTCCATTACCGCCGTGCCCGCCCCGGTACTGAACGCTGACTCCCATAACAGGACTCGTAAGGACCTGCGTGGTGCCGAGCCACTCCCCAGCAACCGCCAGACGGAGACGTCCGCCGGCGTATCCCGCATCTCCTTGCATGCCGTTCGTGCCGGGACTCGCGGGATGATCCGACGGATGTCCGCTGGCGACGTTGAAGCGCACCAGCGGGAGGATCGCCTCCTTGTTGGCGGCGTCGTGGACGAGCTCAATGTCCTGACATGTGATCTGGACCGTGACCGGATAGTCGGTCTTGCAGGGGACATTGAGTGGCAGCTTGTCCATCACGACCTTTGCTGCTGTGATGTCGTAGAAAACAACGTCTCCGTCCGCATCCTTGATGGCATAGTCGGCGAGATCATCATGGTTCGGGTCTGCGCCTCCTGAGCCGGTCAGGGTGATTACCTCTGGGAACGACCTTTGATACTTGTCATGTAGCTTTGCGGCCGGCGTGTTGTGTGCCTGTGCTTGCCAATCCGAGGGCGGCTCAGGCAGCTTGGAGCCCCTGATAGCTGGGCCGGCAGCTGGAGCTGGCTCACCAGAATCCAAGCATTGCTCATCCATGGCCTCCTCCTCGGCCGCCACCACCCCGCTCAGCTGATTGTCGGCAAAAGAAATCGTGCTGGCATTCAGCTGGTTGTTCCGGAAATGGAACTTGATTGGGCTTGCCTTTTTCTTGTCCCAACCCGTTCCAAAGTGGGCAAGCTCCAGCGTATCGTTGCCGTCAACACCAAGGCGTGCCGTGGTTTCTGGCTCGCCGTAGCCCTTCTTCTCGTAGTACGGATAGGCGTTGGCGATGTCGTGGCCATAGCTGTTGCCCTGCGAGTACGAGAAGACGGCGTACGTCTCCCCCGAGCTGCTTGCTTTTGGGATGCTGGCGCCCATCTTGGTGCCCGTGCCGAGCGATCTCGTGCTGCCGTGGTGAGTCGCAATCACGGAGCGCACGAGGCCGTCGGCGGAGCTGATTTCCGGAATAGACTCAAAGTTGGCATCGCCCGGGAAGAGCAGCAGGTTGTCTCCCTTGCCGACGAACAGCGCCAGAGCGCCGAAGTTGTTCTTGTCCGGGTAGTTGAACTGGTTGTTGCGCATGCAGCGAACAACGGTCACGTTCTTCATCTGGACGTAGTCGACACTATCCGTCCACTGATGGAGATTCCCGTTCTGCTGGATCAGCCACGCCGTCTCGTTGGAGACGGTCCCCGTGATGTGGCTCCGGCCAGGGGCGATCCATGGTCGCAACGTGATGTCGTCTGCTGAGCCCGAAAAGTCCTTTGCGTGACTGCTCTTTCCGATGCGATAGTGGTCGGCGTCCCAGTGGGAGAGCAGGATGGGAACGGCTGCTTGGCCGCGGATCATGTGGTAGCAGACCTTTTTGTCCTCGTCGTCCAGCTTACCGTAGCCGAAGTCGTTGGCAAAGGCTGCCCCGTACTTGTCAAAGGCACGCGCACTATGGCCTGTATTGAACAAAGAGAGTCAGCTCAGTACGACAAGTATACGAACAATTTGAGCAGTTATGGGGCTCAAATATCTGGCAAAGCGAGCAGACTACAACTTGGAGACTGGGACAACACTCACCCTGTCCGACATCATACACATGATACGCAATGATATCCGCCTTGTTGGGCAGAAGAGCGCCCAGAATATCATCCACCGTCGCTGGAGAAAAGAATGGAACTTTGGCAGCTGATACCATGGGTGCCGCAGGCTTTGGAGGTTGAACTTCAGACTCCGTCGTCTTGTTGTCGTCGTCGTCAAGGTGCTGCAGATACCCCTTGCCGGAAGTGTCGGAATGGACAATCTTCTGAACAAGATCCCGGACGGCTTCCCCAACAGCATTGAAGCTCCCAAAGGCCTGCTGCAGTGTTGTGACGACACTGGCAGCAATGTCTTTGCTGATCGTCTGCACCTCGGTCTGGACGACGTAGCCATGGTTGTCTTCAAAGTACGACTCGAAGCGGAACATTCTGAAGCTCAACCGCGGCTCGAGCAGCTCCAACCTTGTCATGCCATCTTTGAACGGCTGCTCAAGGTTAAAGTTTTGCTTTGTGACCAGCTGCTTGTTCTGCTGGTTGAGCTTGAAGTTGATCCAGGTCCCCTCGGTGACGCCCGGAGGCACAGCATGCAAGTAGATCCAAACCAAGGCAAGGCGATATCGACCAAATCCAGGGGACCCCGCTGCCACAGACATCTTCTCGACGGCGCGGATGAAGAGCTCGTCTGAGAGGGAATTCTCCGTGATCGCCTCAACACGGACCTCGTATCCATGCTTCAGCTTGTCGATCCGGTCAACATAGCCAAAGAAGCAGTCCGACCGAGCTTTCCGCACGACGTCTCTGCCCCTCTTGCGATCGCGCTTGCGCTTCCTCTCGCGATCCCTCTCCTCGGGCTGCGGAGGATGCGGGGGCGGAGGCGGATCTCCAGGCTGGCCCGGACGAGCTGGCTGCCCTGGAGTCGTCTGCGGCGGCAGGATGACGATGGGAGGCTGGACCGCCGGTGGTCGCCTCTTGCTCTGCTGGTAGCGGGCGTATGCAATGCCTCCCACTGTCTGGGTCACGAGCCCTGCGACGGCTACACCGATGAAGTATGCAACGGGTATCAGCGGTACAAACAGCTGTGCGTCCTCGGGGATGTTCTTCTTCAGAGGCTGAGTCTTGTCGATTTCCTTGTCGATGGAAACGACGCGGTGCATGATCTGGTGGCTCTCGCTGTCGCCCTCCGCCGGGGGAGGGGGCACATCATGAGTGGCCGGGGGCATGTGTCGCAGCAGATAGTCCTTGATGGTGGCAACCCACTTGTTGTCGTCCAGCTTGTTGGCCTTGATGTTTGCTGTGAAGAGCTCGAGTGGGAACCCCTCGGCCGCAGGACGATTCTCGACGAAGCGCTGCCCCTGTTGCCGGCAACGCTCTTCCAAGGCCATTTCGTATTGTGCCGTGGCATTCTTGGCGAGCTCATTCATGTGCGCGTGGACAGTTTCGGCGAGCTCGAGCTCGGCAGCCTCCTGCGTGACGCCGTCCGCGAGGGCTTCTCTGATGTATTCGTCGTAATCCATGGTGGCGGCGTTTACTACAACTTGAACAACTCAACTCGATGCCCTGACCAATTCGATGAGACAAGGGTAGATATTGTTGAGTCAATCTGGATCTGAAAGTCTGAGGGAACATTGCATCGTTATGGTCCAAAGACTCGGAGGTCTTATAACCATTCTAGCAAGGCGAATTGGGAGTTGATCAAATCTCGAGCCGTGAGTCCAGCTGAATCAACTGGCCCATGATCAACCATCTCCGGAGACTCTACCCCGGGACATCGGCTCATACTGGCGAAATCATTGAGGATCAAGACGTTCTAGATTGCCAACACGAGTGTCTGTTGATCACTCTCAGCTCGACAGGATTGGGAGGATATGTCTCATTTGGGGCCGCGTGGCTCCCAGCCGCAGCGGTTCCCCCGGCCCGCCTCAATAGTGGCAAGACTAGTTCCCTTCACCTGAAATTCCGTGTCCTTTTTACGCTCTAGAGGTTCAATTGGCGTCCAATCAGGACTTGAAAGCGGTTCATCACTTGTGTGAATATTGGGTGAATATTGAGGGAAAAGATGCCTTGTCACAATGCCTCGCCACAAGTGCCATGAAACCGGTTTGTCAAAACGTTGCCCCCGATCATGCTGATTGGACGATAGGATCAAGAGATGCATGTCTCAAAACGCTGTCAATACTGAAGAGACAAAATGCTTTGTGTTGCGTTTATGGAAATTCAGTTGATCTAGGCTCACTGTCAATGTCATCAATGAGATGCGCGATACCATGACCAAGTCTTTCGTGTCAAAGAAGAGGGAGCCAACTCTCAGAGTATATCGACTGTTGCGACTTTGTGAGACCAGTAAGACTATGACAGAACCCTTGAACCGCTGACGGGCCGTGCCTAGCTCTTCGTCTCGGGACCAGAGATTGGCAGTTGTAAGTGGGAGTACGGCCACAAGCGCCGATGAGCTGAAGTCTTGACTACCTGTTAAGTAACTCTTTCATAGTGTAGCTTGGTACTTAGGAATGGCCGTGTTATTGAGGAGAATTAAGAAACATTAGTTGAGACAAGTCCAAGAATCATAAGCCCTATAGTTCTCACAAATAATCTCGTTTCCCTTGGATTGCCAGCAATAGTCACAACTAAGGGTCGTTCCACCTGTTTTCGAATATAGCATGCCTAACTAGACGTCACCACAACTTTGCATGCCTCGTATAGCATCAAATACAATCTATACGACGACAACGTCATCCTTATCGATGGATCAAGTACTCTGCTAAGCCTCTCTCTGTGATACTATTTTCAGCACTCATCTTCTCCCGGGGCGCAGGCAGAAGGATCCCGTCCTCAGTCTGTGCAACCACTAGATGACGGAACGTGAGCATCTACAGAGGCCTAGAACACCATTGACTCCCTTGAACAACGCATACGAAAAGCCTCACTTCTCCAACCAGTAGCGTTGCGAGCGTATGATGGGGAACTCTGCTATTGCAGCAAGGGGGCTGACAGCCTCACCATGTTTGTACTACGCTCTGCATAGGACGATTCAGTAGCTTGGGTATCATTACATGACATATTCGCAACAAAGTAGGCGGTCCAATACAGATCATCGATATAAAAGGCCCTTTGGATGCCATTACCCTCCCAAGGCTTCCTCATCAGACTGAGCACCTCAAAGTAGCATCAAGCACACAACATCAAAAACATCATCAAAATGGCATCCACCAGCACCGGCAAAATCTACGTCCTCAAAAACAGCTTCACAGCCGCCGCCAAAATCCTCGCCCTCATAAATAACGGGGGCACATCCCTCTCCATGATAGACGCCCGCAACGTCAACCCAGACAGCCTCTGGTTCCTCACGCCCACCCACACGCCGCACTTCTACCGCCTGCACACCATAGCCAACGGCGTCAAGCAGTCTCTCGATGTCATCAACGACAACGGAGTGCAGAGCGTCAACCTCGAGCTAGCCAGTACCGGGGAGTACTCGGGCCAGTATTGGAGATTCGATGACTGGCATACGAACGCTGCGTATCCGTATCGTCTGAGCAATAACTTTACGGGGCCGAATGCGCATCTTGACGTTTATTCGGATACGTTTGCGGCGCATCTGGCTGGGGGGGACTATACTGGGCAGCATTGGGCGCTTGTGCCTGCGGATACAGTGGTTGTGACCACATCGTAGAGAATGAGGTTTCAACGAAGTTGGTGTCAGTGGCAAGTACAGCGCAAGAGAAGGGGGGCGATATCCAGAACAGAACACTGCTCTTAGCAGTTGATACAGTGGACAGACAGGTACAAATTAAGGACTGTTTCCATCCCTGACCTTGAGGCTTGTACCCGATGAGGGGGCTTGCATAAGGCAGAGATGGGCACAAGTAATATATTTCTCTTCCATTCCAGCCAGCCTACTACCTGTCTCCAGGTAGCAATCTACCTTAGGTACGATCCCCAAGGCTTGACTGATCTCATGTCTTATTTTGCTACATCCTATGAGATTGAGATATCGCCAGGTGATTAAGCCAAATACGTGGCATACGTAACGTAACAGTCAGGTTAATGTACTTTGTTCCCTCGCATTTCGGACACATTCGAGCGTCGAGGAAACTTTCGAGGCACAAGTTGGAAAATTCATGTATATCGAGTGAGCTTGTCGTGCTAGTAACCGTATGATATTCGCACAACCAACTTTTCAATCACCACCCATTCACAAAAGAGGTCCATCTCGCTTCTAACTTATAGCATTTATCTCTAACACTTGGGTTTCATACGTTGTCCTACCCATAGGTTTCTTCCTGTAGCGCGCGAGTTCTAGTCGTCATGGTTACATGTCCTGGTCAGCCCGAGGCGAGAGGCATAAGAACCCAGGATTCCTCTTCGTCATCCCGTTCATCCTTCGTATCTGTGGCGTCTGCAGGAGGCTGCTCACAAGACGCTTGCGGAGAAGCACTTGTTGCCGAGGGAAGCTTATGTGTGGCAACTCTCAGCAGATTATGCTCCAGCCTCCGATCCGCATCCGTATAAGGATCGCCGGCCATCTTCCAATCGCGAAGAGCAAGCAATAGCATAGCTCTCAGATTATAATGAGCGTAATGTCCGGGAAGGCTAAGTCTCTTGCACTTGATTCCAAACGTCTCGAGGAAACACTGTAAGCTGGGCCGCTGCCTCAACTGCAGCGTATATTGCGCAGCCCTGAGAATGTCCAGTCGAAAGCAAGCTCTTTCGGCAATTGTCCAACTCGAAAAACTCAGCGTCTTCAGGAGTTCGCAATCCCGCTGCAACTCTGACCCAACGAGAACGTAGTTGCGATCCTCGATGAGATGCCTGATGTTGGATGCAGCCTGGTCGGGGTTCACATACCGAGTCTCCCCGTAACGAAACTTTTGCGTGAGCCCGTAGTCTTTGGTGACGTTTTGATAGGAATGGGTTGCGGCTTCGGCCTCTTCGTCTGTTTCAATGGGCTTTGTCAGGCTTCGAGTGTCCAAGACGGAAACGCCGATGCAGAGACTATCCGGTGAGAAACGATTCTCGAAATCGCTTCCTGTAGCGACATCGATAGACACAAACAAAACATCTCTCATCAGAAACCCTTGCAGCTTCTCCAGATGGCGGAGCTTATCGGGCAGTATGGTCCCCCTTGATTCGCGGGCCTGCTCGTGGCGATATCCCAGCAGATGTCCCAAGACGATATTCTCTTCGCACAAGGGGACGGTACGTTGTTGAGAAGAAGCCATGTCTGAGATTATTGAAGGGGAGAGTTGGAAGATTGAAAAGCTCAAGGGATTTCAGCCAGGTTCATATACCTCTATGTAGGTAGGTTGGCACTTTTAAACTTTATGGCTGAGAAGGGTTTCCTCCTGAGAATTGGCCGAGATACCTCCTTCCTCTGAGCCTACCCATACCGAGCTCAGGCACGGTTTGATACCGTTGTGGACATCAGACAACTTCTTAATCTGGATGAAGTCGTGGTTATCGCCATTGGAAAGATCACGTAATTACTGATTCTACAGCATACTTACAAGCCTTTGTGCGTATATTCAGTATCATGGCCTGATGGAAGACACTCAGGGGCTTCTCGTGACGCAATGCATCGACCATGATTACCTATGAGGCTGTAGAAGACCCTATTATCGCTTCATTAAGCTTGAAAGAACGAATTGATCATCTCTCTTCTTTTATCAGCCTGTGGAAGGCAAGGTATACTGCTTGCAAATTTCGTCCAAAACGGAACGTTATCGACATGTTTACTGGGAAACGACATTGCATATCTCGTGCTTCAAGTGTCTTGTATACTGAACCCGTTCTAGCTAACCCAAACATTGATTTTTTAAACCCTTTGCGCCATAAATTTGCACAGTTTACTCTTCCCCTGCATCGTTCAGCCACTGGCACCCCGTCATGCCTTTTGGTCACGCCCATCAAGCCACTTGCTCATATACGGACCATCCAGCCAGTAGCCAAGCTTCTTGTAGTAACTCCTTACGCCCACACCCGAGATGACGCTGATCTTGTCGCTCCCATGCTCCTCCCTGGCTATCCTCTCGGCTTCTTCCATCAACAAAGTACCAAAGCCTTGGTGCTGGAATTTGCGAGGATCGCGTGCGTGGATAGGAACAGCAGTGCCATACACGTGGAGCTCCCGGATCATACTGGTAGGCTGACCGATGAGCTCCTCTCGGTATGTGTATTTTTCAGTGCATTTTCGGAGGCGCAGGAGGGCCACCAGAATATCCTGCTTCGGGTCTTCGTAGGCGAGGAAAGTCTCCCAGCCGCCGTTGGCAGTGTAGTCTCGGCGGACCAGTTCAATCTGGTTTGGCCTAATCTTGTGCTTGACCTCGTTGACTCCGACTTCTCTTGTTCTCACATCTCGACATGTGGTGCCAAAGTCCTTCATCCGAGCCAATGCCAGCTCTCGCAGGTTTCCGTTCTCAACTCCCGATGTGACGAGCGGCATGGGGATATCTCGCTGGACACGGTAGATGCGCGTCCACGGGGGAATGAGGGCCAGGATTCGTGCCACTAAATCAATCAGTTGGTTGGGGGTGTAGTTCTGGTATCTTCCTGTCCGCCACAGCTCGTATAGACCCGTCCCTCGAATCACAAGTGTCGGGTAAATCTTGAGGCCATCGGTTCGAAAGGCCGGATTTTCGAAATATTCTCTGAACTGATCAATGTCACGCTCCATCCCGACATTGGGCAGGTCAGGCATCATGTGGCTGACCACCTTGTAGCCTGCGTCCTTGGCCAGGCAGAATGTTTCTGCTACCGCCGCGACTGTATGTCCTCGATTTGTGTCTCGCGCAACATCTTCGTACAGTGACTGAACTCCAATTTCCAATCTCGTACAGCCATATCTCAACATGTCTGAAAGATGGGGTTGCAGACAGTAGTCTGGTCGTGTTTCGATTGTGATGCCCACGCATTTTATGTTGCTCATCTCGCCAGCCTCCACCGCTTCGTCGACCTTGGACGTTTGGTAGCCGCTAAGCGCATTGTGCAGCTGGGCAATGAAGTCCTCTCTGTAGGACTCTGGCAATGACATGAACGTTCCGCCCATGATGATGTATTCCACCTTGTCGACTGAGTGTCCTAGCGACTTGAGCTGATCTACTCGTCCTCGGGCCTGCTCAAATGGATCGTAGCGCGCGCGAATGGCTCGCATTGAAGTGGGTTCGTATCCAGTGTAAGACTGCGTGCTGTATTCGAAGTCGGAATCGGGTCCTCCAGGGCAGTAGACGCAGATATTGCCCGTATATGCGATGTGCGGGCATCGATGCGGCTTGCACATGACGGCGACGACGGCGATGCCAGATGACGTTCCTATGTTTGGGTCAGTGCCTTGAATGGGTTGTCACTGGTGATACGTTGACTAGGCAGACGTACGGATGGGCTTTGCGATGAGCCTCGGCAAAATGTATTTCTTATAGTGTTCGGGGATCGCAGCAATGATGGCCGTCAGCGGAGGGATATTGGCCAGCTTGTGCTTCTTGGCCAGCTTCGCCCGCAGCGAGTTGAGGTTGATGTCTCTGCCCGGCCGGCCATTCTTGGTAGCCTCGTGGTCTTCGATGAGGGCGTTGGCAAGATCCGCGCAGCACCGCAGGAAGCGCTCGCTCTCTGGCGCCAGTTCGACCGTCTTCTTCTGCGACGTCGCAACCGCCGTCATCGTGGTCGTAGCCATTGTGTCTGTAGTTGTTGCGCCGTTTCAAGCGCTCGTGCAGACGGCCGAGGTTGGTGTGAATTATGACTGGAGGTGGTTTTGATGCCCCTCGCTGATGGTGTCGATAAGAACTTTTGGCACTTTATCGCCTTCGGTGGGGCAGTCTGAATCTCGAATTTTTGGCGTTTACGGAACCAAAACGGCACACAGATATATTGCCGTTTCAAACGGAAGCGTCAGCAATAGTAGCACATCGGCGTAAACGGTAAGCTTTCACGCACGGACAAGCCCCTCACCGTAATGAATTTTTTTTAACGCTGCCATCCAACTGTCAATTCGGAAAAAGCAAGTGCCGTGGCCCCGGCAGCACCCGACCGCAGAGCTGCCAGAGCCCGTAATTTTGCTGCCATATCGACGATAATCCCTTCTGCCAAGCTTCAAGCCTCAACTCGCTCCCTATCCTCCAGCGTTTGCAACCCGCGACGCTTCGCTCGACGTCTTTCTTCTTCCTCTCCTCGGACCTCTCCCCTCTTCTTCTCCCCCTCCTTCACAGCAATGCAGGCCATTCCTAGAACCGCCGCGCGCTCTGCGCTGCGCAACGCCCGCCGTGGCTACAGCACCGCCAGCTCGCCGTACGCCAAGACGATCGAGAACCTGCGCATCAACAGCGAGACCAAGGTCATCTTCCAGGGCTTCACCGGCAAGCAGGGAACGTATGTTTTTGAACACCGGCTGTCGAGACGGGGGCAGTCTGAGACAGCGAAGAGGGCGCAATGACATGCTAATGGGAGGACACGCAGTTTCCACGCCTCGCAAGCCATTGAGTACGGTACGATAAAGCCTCGCCCTCGCCGCTGCGCATGACTGCTGGCCACGATTACTTACGCGCTGTCGCCTCTAGGAACCAAGGTCGTCGGTGGAACAAACCCCAAGAAGGCTGGCCAGACACATCTCGACCTGCCCGTCTTCAAGAACGTCTCCGAGGCCGTCAAGGAGACGGGAGCTACCGCTACTGCGCTTTTCGTCCCGTATGCGACTACACCCTCCTGATTTCAACCTCGATCCATATGTAATACTGACAACTACCAAAGCCCTCCCCTGGCCGCCGCCGGTATCGAAGAGGCTCTCCAGGCCGAGATCCCCCTCGCCGTCTGCATCACCGAGGGAATTCCTCAACATGGTCAGAACTCAAGAGCCCCACCATGGGACTTCCTATTCCCGCCCACAATAGGAAGACAATGCGAACGACAATGGCTAACCCTGCCACCACAGACATGGTCCGCATCACCCAGATGCTCAAGACCCAGGACAAGACCCGCCTGGTCGGCCCCAACTGCCCCGGCATCATCGCCCCCGGCCAGTGCAAGATCGGCATCATGCCTGGCTTCATCCACAAGCGCGGCCGCATCGGCATCGTCTCGCGTTCCGGTACCCTGACGTACGAGGCCGTCAACCAGACCACCCAGGCCGGCCTCGGCCAGTCCCTCGTCGTCGGCATCGGCGGCGACCCCTTCAGCGGCACCAACTTCATCGACTGCCTCAAGGTCTTCCTCGAGGATGAGGAGACGGACGGCATCATCATGATTGGCGAAATTGGCGGTTCCGCCGAGGAGGACGCCGCCGAGTTCCTCAAGCAGGCTAACACTGTCAACGGCGGCAAGCCCGTCGTCAGCTTCATCGCCGGCATCTCCGCTCCCCCCGGCCGCCGTATGGGCCACGCCGGCGCCATTGTCTCTGGCGGCAAGGGCGGTGCCGACTCCAAGATTGCCGCGCTTGAGAACGCTGGCGTCATTGTCGAGCGCTCCCCCGCTGGTCTGGGCAAGGCTCTGTACAATGAGTTTGTCCGCCGCGATCTGCTGTAACCAGCTTCGATTCCTTATTCTCTCGCATTTTCGCTAAAAACGGAAAAGGGAGGCAACGAAGAGTCGAGCTTGATCATTTAATTTACCTAGATACAATTCAAAACATATAAAAAATTATCACAGGAGGGAGTGGTGGGCTGTTTACCTCAAGGGCTGGAGTATGTAGATAGGCAAGGGGAAACGGAAGAACATGTCGTCTTTTTCTCCCAAGAGAAATGGGCTGCTTGCTTTGTTATCAAATCATGTGCTATTAGCAGGTGATGATATATTTGGCTGTCCAAAGAGGACGATACGTCGAACGCTATGCTTTTCTCTGTGAGTTTCGACGGACGTCTTGCCTCCAGTCCAGACAGAGTCGACCGGAACTCAATGCAAACGCCAAATCTCGAAAAAAAAAAAAAATTACAAGCGCTATTCGACTATATATGCTACTTTAAGTCCAACCTCCAGACTCCAGAATGAAGGGGCTTAGGATAGGCGTACTCTCCAGGCCTTTGTTGACCCGGATCTCCCCCCTAATCTTCTATCTGCTCCTCGATTCAACGCTCCACCCGCATCATCGCTGTATGAAAAGAATAAGAAACGCAACCAAAGGAGAAAAAGAAAACACCCCTCAAAAAACCCAATCCCAGATGGCAAATCAATAAAATCCCCCGTTCCCATGTTAAACTCCAGCCCCGTTTCCCGTCACCACGCGGTCGTTTAGCTAGTTCCGGATGTCCTGTCCATTCTACTGCTGTTCACCCAATAGCCGAGTTGTCACATCCGACATCCTAGCCGGCGGTAGACTCGTGAGCAGGTGATCAACCCTACAGTACTCGAGCGCTTCGACGACGCTGTCAAGGCTAAAGCCCATGCTTGTAAACTGCTCGACGAGCTCTGGCCTGTATCCATGATACCTAGAATCGCAACAGCTGTCAGCACACCCCCGGTTTCTGCCGCACCCTTTCGCCTCCTTGGGCCTGTGTGCATACCTGCTTGCATCGACGGGTCCGTCTGTAGGATTCGCCAGGCTCCTGTATCTGCTCTTGTCGAGGTTGGCCTGGCGCGGGGCACCGGCGTGTCGTACCGCCCACTCGTGCGCCATCTCGACGAATCGCTCGGGCTGGTTGAGCAGCATGCTTGCCACTTCTCCGTCTTGGGGGTCTGTGGGATTCGGGTTCTCGAGGAGCATTCGTACGGAGAGGAGCGCGGTCTTGATCGTCTGGACGGGGGACCAGTTCTTGTTTAGAGTGTCGAGACAGATGACGCCCTGGAAGCAAGCAGCGTATTAGCACACGGGTGTTATCTCATCTCGTTTTGCACCAGCAATCTAGTGATTGGCGCGAGGGATGGGCAACGCCCTCGCGCAGCACATACGGTTTGACTGCTGACGTTGGGATGCCAGATCCTCGTCTCAAACTTCATCTTGGGCGGCTTGAAGGGGTACTCGGTAGGGAGCTGGATCCTGATCACGTATTTACCGCCTGCGTACGGCGTGTTCGGGGGCCCATAGAACCATCCCATAAGGGTTGAGAGGGAGCCCTCGTGCTCCAGGGCAGCGTGGATGCCGGAGGTATCCTTGTCCTCGGTCAGGTCCTGCAGCTCCTTCATGATGCGGCGGTCTCTGCTGGTCATGGTGACGGTGTTGGTCGGGGATCGCTGGGGGAGCGGAGGAGGATGGTCGAAGAAGCTTGGAGGTGAGAGCTGATCTGCTGTTGTAAGGATAATGTCCGCTGATACGATAATACGAGAATAGAACAGTTGAGGCTGAGAGCAGAGAAGAGGTCGGGACGAGAAGGGCTTGGGGCGGGTTGGAAGGGTTGGCTCAGGTCGCCTATCAAATCAGATCAGCTTGGAGTCCGGGCACTGGCGCACACATAACTACCTAGTACATGTCCATACAGTAAGGTGGAGGGGGTAATCGCAGCTGGAGTCGAAGAGGGGCATTTGCGGCTCGTTCGACGTCAGGCCTATAGCGGGACGCTTTAGCGGCCTGCAGCTCCCGACTCCGGTGCGACGGGATGTCGGATTTACAGCGCTGGAGGGGCTGAAATGGCGGGCCTGACAGTGAGCGTCACGCAACAAACAGCGTCTGGGTCTTTTACGGTTGATCCAAAACGGTGCCACCTTGATGGTTTGCCGTTTGGTCTTGAGGACCTGGACAGTAAGACAGGGTGCATGTAGTAGGAATCCAGCAGTTCAGGCGGTTTGAGGCCTAGGCGCACCCCAGATATGGTTCATCGTGACATACCTACCTTATCCTTTTCCTACCTACTCGTTCTGCTTGCTTGTCTGTATCTAAGGATAAGGCAGTCTTACTTCAACAGCTAAGATAATTCGCCAGAAATGAAAAGAACTACCTAAGCAGATGTGAACACCATCCTAGAGCCAGAATGTTGACGAAAGACCTGGAGAGGTTCCAAGTTGGTGACCTTCAAGCCATGGTGGTCTCTTGTACAGATGCAGCACTGCTTGATCAATCGGCCACTCTCCAAACGCCCGGATCGACAAATATCGAGACACACAAGTCATCCTTGGATTCTAATCCGTTTGGGGACTAGCATCGAAACTGTATCTCCAAAAGCTGGCGACGGTTTGATATTGATGAGATCACCTTGGCCTACATGTAGTCACGTGATACTCGCTACCGTCTATATGCACGTGACCCGGCCGGAGCTGTCGTGTCTCTCTGTCGCCTAGCCCAGGCATGGGTGCTCTGTGCAGCATCATCCTGGCAAGCCGACTCGCCGCCTCGCCATCGTCACCATCAACAATCCTGTCTCTTTCTTAGCTGTTTCGTTCCATATACCGGAAGTCAGCTCGGGACAAGAGAAAACATTTCAACACAAAGTCTAGCCAACAGCCTTCCAGAGCTTGACCGGTCAAGATGGTGAGCTACCCTTGTGGCAGCAGCTGCTGTTACTCTTGACGTGGTGCATCTCTGCTGACATTTGCTCTCTAGGGTCAAGGCCAGTCTGGTATGGGTGGTGAAGGGGGACGGAACGAAAAGGACAAAAAGGTTCGCCATCATCTCCACTGCCCTCTTACGGTAGAAACGAGCAGCCACTGACTCCCGCGCAGAAGGATAAGCCCAAGTACGAGCCGCCGCCGAGGCCAACCACCCGCGTCGGCCGCAAGAAGAGAAAGCAGGGCGGTACCAGCGCCGCCGCCAAGCTCCCTGCAGTTTATCCCACCAGCCGATGCAAGCTTCGCCTGCTCCGGATGCAGCGTATCCACGACCACCTGCTGCTCGAAGAAGAATACGTCGAGAACCAGGAGCGGCTGCGCAAGGCCAAGGCCGCCAAGGAGGGCCAGACGGCCGGCCCCGATGTCGATGTTGATCGGTTAGCCGACGAGCGTGGCCGCGTTGACGATATGAGAGGAAGCCCCATGAGCGTCGGCACCCTGGAGGAGCTCATTGACGACGACCACGCCATTGTCAGCAGCACCACGGGCCCCGAATACTACGTCAGCATCATGAGCTTCGTCGACAAGGACCTTCTCGAACCTGGCGCCAGCGTTCTGCTGCACCACAAGAGCGTCAGCATCGTCGGAGTCTTGACCGACGATACGGACCCCATTGTCAGCGTCATGAAACTCGACAAGGCGCCGACGGAGTCATACGCCGATATTGGTGGCTTGGAGCAACAGATTCAGGAAGTGCGAGAATCAGTGGAGCTGCCGCTGCTCCATCCTGAGCTGTATGAGGAGATGGGCATCAAGCCCCCCAAGGGCGTTATTCTCTACGGCGCCCCTGGTACCGGAAAGACGCTCTTGGCCAAGGCCGTCGCCAACCAGACATCCGCCACGTTCCTGCGCATCGTGGGTAGCGAGCTGATTCAGAAGTATCTGGGTGATGGTCCCCGATTGGTGCGACAGTTATTCCAGGTTTGTAGCTTCCTTTCAGCAAGCCGTGGTCAAGTTCTGCGTATGCTAACTCGTGACTGTAGGTTGCTGGAGAAAATGCGCCTTCCATTGTCTTCATTGACGAGATTGATGCCATTGGTACAAAGCGATACGATTCCACGTCTGGAGGAGAGCGTGAGGTGCAGCGAACCATGCTGGAGCTTCTCAACCAGCTGGACGGCTTCGACGACCGCGGCGACGTCAAGGTCATCATGGCGACGAACAAGATTGACACTCTGGACCCCGCGCTGATCCGACCCGGCCGAATCGACCGCAAGATTCTGTTTGAGAATCCCGACCAGAACACCAAGCGCAAGATCTTCACCCTGCACACGTCCAAGATGAACCTGAACGACGATGTGGATCTGGACGAGTTCATCTCTCAAAAGGACGATCTGTCGGGTGCCGACATCAAGGCCATCTGCTCAGAGGCCGGCATGATGGCTCTGCGCGAGCGACGCATGCGGGTGCAGATGGCGGACTTTAGGGCAGCTAGAGAGCGTGTATTACGCACCAAGCAGGAGGGTGAGCCAGAGGGTCTGTATCTGTAATTGGGGTCCCTAGGTAGTGGTCAAGGGGAATGGAGATGGGGCCGGCCGTATATTTAGAAGCATACAGGTATTGGGCCAATGACTCGACTACAACGTGGATGCAAAGCGAATATCAGCATATCAGCGACGCCGTAGTGATGCCTAATATCAATCAAAGCGTTGCAGTGGCAGTGATGTTTAATGTTACACGCATGAAGCAAACACCGTGCCGCTACCTGTCCATGGTATATCAATACTCCAAGTCATTGACGTCGCCAATGTGACCCTACTGCTTGTCATGATTTCCGTTGACAGCCCCATCTTCCGTTCCGCCTGGCAACGTCTTGACGCCACTGCTCTTGCCCTGATGAGACCCCGCCGGAGCATAGTGGTACAGTTTCCTCACAAGCACGAAGCCCCCCGCTGAAGCTCCCCAGCAGAGCGCCGCAAAGGAAGACGTGATGAAGAGCGTGGGGACGAGGAAGATGCTCGCGACGCCGATCCAGAAGAGGGCGAAGGCGAAGGCGGCGGAGAGGGCGAGGAGGAAGGTTGACAGGGCGAAGGAGAGGAAGAGGGTGAGTGGGAGGAGGGAGAAGAGGAGCTGGAAGGCTGAGAAGGACTGTTGGGTTCTAGCAGGTTAGTGAACTGCTTCTCTTTTGAAAGAGAAGATGATGAAAGGGTGGGAAGGGGGGGTGGGGGGAAGAGGACGTACGAAGAGGATGGGTTGGTTTGATGCAAAGGCGGAGAGTCTGTTGTATGCGCGTTGGCGGGTGGATGGTGGGATGGCGGCGTCGAGGGAGGTTTGGGCGTAGGAGTAGGCGGTTGAGAGGAGGGCGTGAGGGCGGTTGTTGTTTGTTTTGGAGGCGTCTGAGGCGGTGCTTGCGGAAATTGTTGGTTCGGACATGGTTTCTTTTGGCGGATTTGTACGGGTTTCTTGTATGTAGCTAGTAGATTTCGAGTGTGGTTTGGTGCGTGATTGAGGAAGAGACGTGGTAGATTGAGGGATGTCGGGTGTAGGTATTAGGATGAGATGTGAAGCTTGGAAGCTTGACGATAAGGTAAGGTAAGGTGTAAATGAATGACACGGAGATGCGATTTGAGTGTGGGGGTGGCTGGCAGTGGCTGCGGTTGCGGCTGCTGAGAGACTGCGGAGGTGGAGAGGAAGGAAAGGATGAATCTTGGAAGTTTGTGTAAAGCAAGAGTTGGCTGTGAAAAGGGGAGGGGGCGCTGTTGAATGGGTTTGGGTTGCTTTGGGTTGTTTTATTCCCGTCTGTTTTGCTTCATGCCTGATAGGAGTGACATGTTTCGGGGTGCAAATGACGTGGGAGATTGCAGTGGCGGCAGCGTGTCACAACACGTGCAGGTGGTTTCTTTGAGCTGTGGTTGAGGAGGGTGGTTTTGGTTGGGCATCATGACGGATGGGCATTGGGTGGCGTGGGGAGATGGGATTAAGCTGTTTTTTTGGTAGCGAGGACAGTAGCCAGGTTGTCTTGCAGTACTACTAGGTAAGAGAGCAATATTTGTAGGGCAACAGTAGCAGACTGATGGAGTACCGTCAAAGAGAGCACAACATACTCATCAATACCAACTGGGATTCTACCCTCAAGTCAAGACCATTCTTCTTCTTTGGGCTCTAGTGATGGGCCGCATCTAAGCGTCGGCCAGTCCTACCCTATAATGATCGCCAGACCTGCTATGAAAATACCAGACTGGACTCTGCAACAAGAGCAGATGGATTGATTCGGGGTCTGGAAGCCTAAAGGGTCAGTATATCAAAATGTTAGTTTATGGCAGTGAATTGAGTTATCCAATTGCCTGCTATCATACTGTTGAAAATGCTCCAAACCAGGCCTTTTCTCGTAGCAAGTCATGTTGGTACAGTGATCTACAGGAACAGCAAACTCGCAGTCAAATAGCCAGCACAGGGACGTACAGTACATCATTCCCATCTATCAGCATACAGTAGAGAAGTCGGGACTCTTGTTCAGAAACGTCACTTCTACAGTACATAGGTACAGCAAGACAATGGCCGTGATGCATCTCCAGTAGGTATGACGTCGAGAGCTGACAGGGATTCACGAGCTCGGGATTGCCCCTTTAGCGGCGGTTCTTCAATGCGCCCTGACAGTACAGGATGCCGAGGCGCAGGATACATCGAATCAAGGGCACCTTCCGGCACGCAACCAGGTACCGACAGTGCCCCGCCATGTACCCCGCCATCCCGCCATCCAGGCCTCTTCTTCAAGCCACGACCCCTCCAAAAAGCGTTGACTTGACATTGGATTCTGTATTACTACTACTAGTACTCCGTAATCGCATCTCAACCTCCATCATCACCACCTTCTGCAGCCATTGACTCGCCAAAATGGAGTACGATCCCAAGACGCGTATGTCGGGCACCCAGATGCTGCTCCTGCAGACTTTACAAGTCGTCGGCTAACTCGCGATGCAGCAAAGTCGGCGACCAGCGAACCTCATTCCTTCGCCAGCGACTCCGTCCGCATGCGATGGCCCGTCATCATCGTGAGTGATGCCCGTCACACCCGAGCCCGACCTCGACGAAACATCTACTAAGAATGGACATTGCCTCAAAGACTGGCGCCGTAGATGATGTATACAAGGCCATTTCCAGCACAGACGACGCCGAGAAGCAGGCCGAGGGCAAGAAGATTATCGAGCAGCTGGGCAACCTCAAGTACGAGATGCTGCACGATCGCAAGCTGACGTATGGCACCACCCCCCGAAGCAATGTCCAAGGGTGCATCGACATGCTGACTGCGATAGGCCGCTACCTGATGATGGCTTCTCAGAAGAGGTTGCGGCCTACAACAAGGAGCTGGAGCAGCTGGGCAATCCCTCCTGGTTCCAGGTCCCTTGGCTCTTTGCCGAGTGCTACATGTACCGGTATGTTGCCCCCGAGGCATTCCGCTTTCAATTGACCAAGCTGATTCTTGTGCAGCCGCATCAACTCCTTCTTCACCACGACAAAGCACTGGAAGAGCTACGACATCTTTGCCCGCCAAAAGACCGACACCTTCCGGACCTCTCGAAATGCCGTCGTCGAGCTCGCCGCCAGATACGTCGACATCATCTCCAAACTCCGCACTGACAAGAACGCCGCCCACGATGTCGAGGCCGAGAAGATCCTTTTCACCGAAATGTGCGAGGTCTGCCTCTGGGGCAACGCCACCGATCTGTCACTCCTTACCAACATGACCTACGACGACATCCAGAAGCTGCAGGGCAGCGAGGCCAGAAAAGCCGCCGAGGAAAACATACTCGTCAACGACCTCCCCAAGACCTATGACCTGCTCAAGAAGGCCCAGTCAGAGGGCAAGAAGGAGCGCCGCGTGGACTTTGTCCTCGACAATGCCGGTTTCGAGCTCTACGTCGATCTGGTGCTGGCTGGCTTCCTCCTCAACACTGGCCTTGCTACCCACGTTGTGCTACGTCCCAAGTCCATCCCCTGGTTCGTCTCTGATGTTCTTCCGGCCGACTTTGCTGCCCTGCTCAGCGCCCTCGCCAGCCCAAAGAAGTTCTTTGAAACCCCGACGGAGGAAGAAAAGGTCGCGGATAGGACGCCGCCTCCTCTATCAGACAAGGAGGTCGAGAACCTGCTTTTCGTCTTCCAGGACTGGGCGAACCTGCACGCCGAGGGCCAGCTGACTATCCGACCCAACAGATACTGGACCGCGGCTGGCTCATTTTGGCGACTCCCTAAGGAGGCCCCTGAGCTGTACGAGGATCTGAAGCAAGCTGAGCTTGTCATCTTCAAGGGTGACTTGAATTACCGGAAACTGACCGCCGATGTAAGTAACTCTTTTAGACCAACCTCGAGTCTCCAATACTGATGACCTGTATAGGCTTGGTGGGACCCGACTACCCCTTTCCAAGAAGCTCTGGGCCCCATGGGTGCCGGCTCCGGTGTCAACGTCCTGGCGCTCCGGACTTGCAAAGCCGATGTCGTTGTCGGCCTTCCTCCTGGGAAAGACGAGGAGTTGAGGGCTCTCGAGGGCGGCGGCGGCGATACAGGTGCCAGGAAGTGGGCGTGGGGTGGCAAGTGGGCGGTTGTGTGTTTGTCCGAGGGCAAATGAATACGGTGGAATTTGAAGCGATATCTCATCACGGACGCCAGTCTGTCTCATCTATAATACTGCAAACAAGGCTCATAAATAGGTAGTTAGAGTGTATAGAGGCCGAAAAGAGGTAGATATATATCACATGTTAGATCCTAATGTTTCAATGTGCGCTGTACCACAGGCCGGGAGAAATTTGGTCTTCAAATTGCAAGGACAGACAATTCAGTATTCAGCTACCTATATAAAGTACAGAAAACGACAGAAAAAAAATAATACTGGGTTTGACTATTATTTTTCCCACAATATCGTCACAGTCCTCCAAAGATCCTCCAAGAGAAAGAAAACCTATCCGTACCTAATAACCTTCGTGTTTCGCCCAGAAATCGACCCTTTTTCCATCTTCCCCTCGTCCATCCTCTATATCCTGCTTCTTCTTAATCGTCTCTTTACCAAATTCTGCGGCCCCTGAATCCATAAGAAGGAGGCGGGCCGTAAGCCGGAGGGTCGTAAGATGGCGGCGGGCCATACGAGGGGATGGTGGGAACGGGGTAGTCGCTCTTCGAGGTGTCTGTGGAAGAAGACGCAGTTTCAGTGGTGGACGTCTCGGTGCCGGAGGACTTTGTGGTGGTGGAAGTGTAGAGTGTGGTTGAAGCTGACGAAGGATACGAGGAAGAAGAAGATGCAGCAGAAGAAGAGTAGTAAGAAGAAGCAGAAGATGAAGAGGAAGAAGACGTTGTTGTCGACGTCGTGGGCTGGGTGATTGCGTCTGCGGAGGAGGCGTATGAGACTGTGGAAGTGGATGTTGTGGCGGAAGAAGAAGAAGAAGAAGAAGAAGTGGTTAGGATGGTGAAGAGTGAGGAGGACGGAGCTGAGGACGAAGTAGCGGAATTAGCGTCGGATGTGGAAGATGCAGAAGACGCGGGCAGGGAGTAGTATGTCGTGGGAATGTCACTATAGCTGTACGGCAGTGAATACGGCGTGCTCTCTGTGTTGGCGGTCGAAGTTGAAAAGGTCGTTCCCGGTGCGGCGGAGGCATCGGTCGTTGTGGGCGTTTCACTGTAGGGAGGCGAGTACTGCGAGCTCTCTGTGGCGGTTGTCGAAGAAGTTGAAAAGGTGGTGCCCGGGGCGGCGGAGGCGTCGGTTGTGATGCTCGTGCTTGAGGAGGGGAGGATGTAGGTTGTTGTGCTGAGGGATGTTGATTGGGAGGAGGAGGAGGAGGAGGAGGAGCCTGTGGTGGAAGCGGAAGTTGACTGGGAAGAGGAGTAGCTTTCGGAGGATGTGGAGGCTGTTGACTGGGATGAATGGCCTTCGGAGGATGTAGAGGCGGTGGAGTTGGGGAGGGTGTAGATGGGCGTGGAGGAATCCGCGCAGGAGGATGTGTAGGATGGGGTTTGGGTTGTGCCGGGGAGGGCGGAGGAGTCTGTTGTTTGGGTCTCGATTTGGGTGGATGAGGCTGTGGATTGGGTTGAGCCAGAGGATGATGATGGTGATGATGAGACTGTGGTCTCGGTTGAGCCAGAGGAGGAGAAGGAGGAGGAGGAGGAGGGGGTACCGGAATACGAAGTACTGTGTCTGGTGATGATTGAGGTCGAAGGCTGGTTATTCTTTGATGAAGTTTCTGAGGATGAACCGCTGGTGCTTGCGGATGACGATCCGGAAGAGCTTGCCGTTGACGAAGCGGTGGATGATTGACCCCCTGAAGTTGAGGCTGTTCCAGAGGATGACTGGCCGCTGGTTGTGGAAGCAGATCCCGTCGACGTTGCAGCCGACGACTGGCCGGTGGACTGAGAGGCGGTAGTGTAAACAATCATTGAGGAAGATTTGGTGGATGAGCCTGTGCCTGTTGAAGAGCCTGTCGAAGTCTGAGTGGAGGACTCGGTGGAGGATCCTGCAGTCGAGCCGCTGGATGTACCGGATGACACCGTGGAATATCCTGTAGACGCCGTGGAAGATCCGGTTGACGTAGCTGCAGAAGAACCAGTTGTAGTCTCTGTGGATGTCTCCGTAGACGTACCCGTAGAACTGCCAGTTGAGGATATCGTCGAGGACGCGGTGGAGGATCCCGTAGTAGAGGCACCAGTTGAAGTACCGCCGGTGGAATAACCAGGAGATGATTCTGAAGAAGATCTAGTCGAGTATCCCGTCGAGTATCCAGTGGAAGATTCAGCAGAGGATCCACTTGAAACCTCAGTCGAATACCCGGTCGAGTATCCAACCGAAGAACCCGACGAACTGCCCGATGGAACAGAGCTATAGCTCTGCGAGCCGGAGCTCCTCGACACAGTCACAGTCTGCGTGACAGTCGACCCCCGCGTCGTCAACGTCGTCAATGTTGTGCTCTCAGACGCGCTCGCGGTTGCGCTCTCAGAGCTCGTCGAGGTGCCACGAGCTTGTGTCGTGGTGGCGAATTTGTAGGTGGTATCCCGCGTAGACGCTGACGTTGAATCAGACGACGCACTGGACGTCGAAGCAGAGGCCGAGGACGAAGTCAGCGTTCCAGCAGAGGAAGAGCCAGCAGAGGAAGACGACCCCGTACTCTCCGTGGCAGCGGAGGATGTGCTGCCCGGGAGCTGGCTCGAGTCACTGCTGACACCGGAAGTAGTAGCCGTGCCGGTAGCAGTCGAAGAAGTGACGCTCTTGATGGACTGGTACGTGTCCGTCTTGGTCGCAGAAGAGGCAGTACCGGTTTCATAGGTGCTGTACGATGCGGTCGGGGGGGTATAAGTCCCTCCGGAATAGCTCGGTCCAGAAGATGCAGAGCCCGTGGGATAAGTGCCCGTAGAGGCAGCAGACTTGGACTCAGTCTCGCTCTGCGACGTGGAGGTGGACACTGTCAAGGTGGCGGTGGAAGCGCAGCTCGTGACGACGGAGTAGCAGGACGAGGCGCAAGCCGTGACGGTCTCGGTTTTGGTGGTCGTGACAGTCACGGTTTGATCCGTTGCGGCGACGAGACTGGCTCTGCTGTCATGTTAGTAAAGTATATCTCAAATGGCTTTGCTTTATGATGCAGGGGCTTACTTACCCGAGGCCAAGCAAGGCCAAGACGATGGTTTTGTTCAACATGGTGTCAAGAATCTTTTTCAGCGAGAGTGATTGTGAACAAAAGGTAGTAGAACGAGTGACTTGCAAACGAGAGAACGCTTGTGCTTCGAGCTGTGTCGATGCGGTGAGGAACCAAGAGTCTGGAACTCAAAGCTCATCGAGCAAGGTCTCATCTTATATACCCTCGAGACGACTCGGAAAAGGCCTCCAAGTTGGAACAGGAGCTTCTCCGCTCGAGTCCGTACGGCAACGCTGCACGATTCCGCCTCCCGACGGCTTCGCACCGCGCCTTCATTTCCGCTGGACGTTACGCCATATGATCCAGGCTCCTTCATCATCATCATCATCATCATCATGGTGCTATGAACTATGGAATTCATGTTGTAATCCGTTAGAGCAACATCATAGCTCGAGTACAAAGAGAAAAAAAAAAAATCCCTGTTTCACCTTAATCTTGCTATATCGATTGGAGTCTTTGTGATGCCGTGAATCCAGAGCTATTGTTTCAAGCAGGGACATGCCGATCCGTCGCACGAGGATGCCACGAGCCGCACGAGAAAGACATTCTCAGCTGCCGTGGACCCTGGGGCGGTTCGAACAATGCAGCTCCTCTTAATCTGCGGACAGTACATATAGATCGTCGTGTACCTACAGCCATATGTTTAGATATGGGCTACATGAGCGAGGGGTATGACCTGGCAAGCTCAGGATGAGGAGCTGATGAGACGATGGATCGAGAGAGCTAACGGTTTCTAATGCGATTTCGGAATGGTTGCCGAAGATATGCATGTTTCCACCTGGTTCTTGTGCTCTTGAATCTTGGGTACCTGCATTGGTGTCGTGGCTCGGCCCTCTCTGGATCGTCGAGCTATTGTTCCGAGTCCGTCATCGACAGAGGGGGGGGGCCCTTGGATCTCAGATGTATCTGCTAGCCAACGATTTTTCTCAGAAATGATGAAATCATACAAAGGAAGATGTCATGTATAATCTGCAGGATTTCTCTCTATAGATCATCTACTCCTATGAACTACATCCACCGTACATCTAGTCTGACCCCAAGGTATTCCTACGGCATAGCTCACCAACATGCCTCCTCGGCATTGCAAAATTCATCTGTTTCAGATACAGACAGCGCATATGGGTAGACACATGGCCAAAGAGGTCTCAGACACGTGCGCGATTCCCTTGGTGGCGCAGGCAAATCCTCACCAGCTCAACTCAAAGAGCTCATTTGTGCAACGACCCCCCCCTCGCGTGGCGGTGATACCGGTTATCCTCCGCCCATACGATGGGCAATTTTCCTCCAGCTGAGGCACAGCATGACATATTTTGCATATATAAACGAGACGGGAGGGCGTTACTAGTAGTATTATCAGTCAGGGGCGAGATCTCTTGGCTGGTGGCACAGCGTCCTACATCGGTGTTGCGTTGGCTGCAGTAAATGGGGGCAATACGATCTCTGCGGGTTACACATGGGCTAACAGAGGCGATGGAATGGATTCATCAGAGGATCGCGATGATTTCTGCAAGCGACCTGCATATACACCGCATTTTCAGGCGTATGATGACTTTATATTTATTTCATGCTTGGGTTACGCTCCGCTTACAGCGAAGCCTTGAGGATCTTGAAGGCGTCCTCGCGGTCGCCCTTGAAGCGCTGCTCAGCAGTCTTCCAGTTGATGACCTTCCAGATGTTGTCCACGTAGGCAGCTTTGCCGTTGAGATACTGTCCGAACCATACTGTTAGCCGGACCTTAACAAAATAGACGGGAACCAGGTCATTTAAAGTAGCTCACCTGCAGGTAATAGGCATGCTCCCACATATCAATGCCAAAAACCGGCACCTCTCCTCCAACCACCGGATCCTGATCCTTGGTCGTCACGATCCGCAACCCACTCCCCTCCTTGACCAGCCACCCCCAGCCACTGCCCTGGATACCGAGCAGGGCCTTGCCCATGGCCTCCTTGAACTTGTCCAGGCTGCCCCAGGTCTTGGCAATCTCAGCCGTCAGCTCGGGCGCGCTGGCGGGGTCCGCGTCCGGGGAGGAGGCGGGGCAGAGGTTCTCCCAGAAGAGGGAGTGGTTGATGTGGCCGCCGCCGTTGAATTTGATGGCGGCCTGGAGGGCGATCTGGGAGGGCACGTCGTTGGCGGCGAGGGCCGTGGAATAGGTCTTGAGGGCGTTGTTGAGGTTGGTCACGTAGGTCTGGTGGTGCTTGCTGTGGTGAAGCTCCATGATCTGGGCCGAGATGCTGGGCTCGAGGGCCTGGTGATGATGGTGAGCATGATGGACGAATGAGTGAGTGAGTGAGGAGGATGATAGTGCAAGGCAGGCTAGAACTCACATCGTAGGCATACGGCAGAGCCGGCAGCGAAAAGGTTCCGACAGACATGGTGGGCTCAAAGGAGTCGGTTGGGACGTTGATGCTGGCAAAGTCTGGTTTGGCGGGAGCTTGAGAAGAGTGGCAGCTGAGAGGCAGCAGAGAGAGAGCCGTGAGGAGGACGAGTCGAGAGGCCATTTCGTTTGGACCACGGGGGCTGTCAAACACACACCAGACGGAGGTCAGCACATGACTAATGCAGCACGAGCTGAATCACGCAAATCATCCCAATATTTGCTTTCGTCATCCATCTGCACAGCTCCTTTTCCTTGCCATCAGGGTTCTTCGCGGGAAGATCGCAGCGTACTAGGTAAATCGCGAGCATTTGCGCTCAAACTTGCTCACGTCCCGGTTGCCGCATGGGGAAGGGGGGTGGGAAACGGAGCGCCGTGATTGGGCCGCCGCGACACACCGTTTCAAACGGGAACTTCTTGTGCTGTTTGCGTGAGATGGCCAGCCATGAAACATGCTCACGAGGATCAAGCAAACTGCAGGCGATTGTGTGCTGCAGAGAGGACTGCCGGTGGTATAAAGGGGTTTCTTTGTCTAGGCTCTTCCACTCTTCTTCATTCTGATGAAGTCGCCTAGAAGAAGCTCCATCACCCACTCTCTCCCTCATCAGCAGCGTCTCTTTATCAAAGACACGCATCACCAACAGCATAATCCTTTATATCTTCACCAAGACAGGCTCTCGAGAACACATCATGTGCGGCCCAGAAACATCCAACAGGCCTCGCGGAGGCGCACTCGCTGCCCTCTGCTCGCTCGACGCCGCCGGCCACGCAACAACCTGCGGCGACCTCGCCTTTCACACCCCAGGCCTGCCCGAGAGCAACGAGGCGACACACGTGAGACTCATGCCCGACGCCGCCTACGATGCAAGAACGCTAGCAGACCTCTCTGTGGTGATTCAGTGCGTGACCTCGCTTCACTCGAAGCAAATCCCACTCCTACATACTCGTACCGGCTTCCGTGCAGCAGCAGCTAACGTCGCACAGCTCAAGCGGTGACCCGAGGACGAGGATAGAGGACTGCGGCACGTTTACGAGATTCGGCTTCCCCACGACAGCGAAATCATTTAGCGAGACGCAGGCATTTGTTGAGCTTCCCCTCAGCAAGCCGCTTCTGCTCGAGGTTGGCAACGAGGGCATCATCGGGCGACGAGTCTCGCTGTACGCTGGGGCGTCCCCTAGCAGAGTCGTCGCCGAGGGCATCGTGGGCGTCAACTTTCTCAGGACGGCCCAGCCGTCTCTCGGGATGGTGCATGAGTGACGGACGGGGCCATCAAGGTTGTGATGCGACTTTGCACCTTGATGGACGACGGGGGGAAAGGGGGTCGGATGATGGGCCAGGAGGAGGCTTGTTGCAGGGCACTTGCTGCGCGGGTCCGAAAGAGGAGAAACCGGTGGCAAAGCTCATCTTCTTACCTGTGGCTGGTTGAATCTGGAGACTGTTGACAGTGTGGTTTTTGTTTTGGGGGGATTCTGGCGTCTTGGTATTGAATCGACAACGTGGCTTCACGATGTCAGCATAGAACGGCGGGATAAACGGCACTTCAGGCAGCTGAGCATGGAAACGGAGCACTAACAGGTTCTTTCTAGAATTGCATCTTATTTTTTAATCGAGCTTGGAGCAATCGAAGTTGATGAAAGAATGGAGTATGTCGTGCTTTGATGAAGACTGATTGATGATGGTAGATGAGTTGGAGACTGACAGCAACCGAGTCCGACTGCCCGAGAGCCGGTCGGAGCATTTGGTGTCCGAAGTCCACACACTAGAAGCTCCCCATGCAAATGTGAAGCCGTCGTCATCTTGCACCTCAAAGCAACTTCCTTACTAAACTCGTCATCGACAAGATCGTGTCTCCAGAAGTCTATCTACCAATCAAACCTGTAATATCCATTATATCTTGTGAACATTATGAGTGCTAATTGGTGCTGTGTAAGGCTGGAGCTCATGATGGACCTGCCTGCAGGAGGAACGGAGTTAGGAGCATTTTATCCGAGCCGCATGCATTACGTGATCCTTTCAGCTGGATCGAGAAGTCGGTAGATTCATACATCCTTCACCTCAATTGTGTCACAACACGGCCAACGATTCCGAATCAATGGTGATTTCCCCCGTATAATCCAATTCCACAAACAATGTCGACTCCAGCAAAGCCGCAAAACGTGTGCCGAGGATGCAGATCGAGAAAGAAGAGATGCGATGTAAGATGCACACCACCACTATCCAGCATCCCGTTCCCGTCTTGCCTAATCCGTGACATCAGGGCAGCCGACCGTCTTGTTCCTCGTGTTTAGCCAGAGGCGAGCTTTGCTACTATGAGAAGAGCGATAGGCGGAGCTTCCGCAGTGGCCGGGTCATTGGCCGGGCGAACAGCAACATGCCGTATCCCTCGGCGTCTCAGTTCTGGAGCTCGTGGCCGGTAGACGAGGTTGATGCGTTGCTGGGGCTCGAGGCCACGGAGATGAGCCTTGTTCCCCCCTTGGACGATGCGTTTGAGTGGCCAATGCCCAATGGCGGCGACTTGTCAGCCGTTGAGGCTCTGAATCCCTGTCTCGGCTCTTCGACAGTCAGCACCTTATCTCATGACAGTGCATCAGCAACGCCGCCGTTGGAGCCAAAGCTGCCCGATCTGCCAGACATTCTGCAGCTTGTCGATCTCTTCTTTGAGAAGTGCTATCGCTTCTTTCCCATCATCCACAGGCAAACCATACTAGATGCCATCAAGTCCGAAGGAGCCGAGGGGATCCCATCGGTTTTGCTCTACGCCATCATCGCCGTGGCAGCTGGCGTCCACCCCAATTGTCAGATTCGACAGTCACAGCAGTCCTGGTACGAACAAGCAAAGAGCCTCGTTTCAAAAGAGATGCAACAGCCACATCATGTCCTTCAGACATTACAAGGCGCCGTCTTGGTCGTCTACCTAGGGCTGGCCCTCGTCGATTACTCGTCTTCCATTGTCATTCTCGGCGAGGCGTGGCGAAAGACTGTTGCCGTGGGCCACAGCTACGGCGATGGACTGCGGAATCTGATTGTGCAGACGCTGGGAACGCAAGAGAAGGCCAAGTGGATAGAGAAGGAGGAGATTAGGCGCATCTCATGGATGCTCTTTATCATGGATCGGGGGATGTGCTATCCTATCGGACTAATGCATGCCATCGACGACCGAAGGATGAAGCTGGAATTTCCCATGTCAGAGGATGACTTTCAGGGCACTGAAGCACCGCCTCCAGGTCCTTTGAGTCGATTCACCCCCAATCTGGACACTCTCATAACGACGATGCGCGATAGAACTCTACAGGGCTCGGCAACGCAACTGCAGTACATCATCCTAGGATATGCACTCCTCGGACGCATCAGCGAAGCACTCGACCACAGCGACGACGGCGACGAGGCACGCAGAGAACGACTAGACACCCTTTGCGCACAACTTGCCAAGATCCGACTGATGCTCCCGCGCTCTGCCACAGAGCTCTCAATGGCCAAATACGATGAATTCATGGAAGTCGTTTGGCTCAACATTCTCCTGAACGCATGCACAGTGCTTTTGCATCACCGTCCTCTCCGCGAAGGAGAATCTCTCGACGATTCCGAAACCGATACGGCGAAAAATTGGCCCCATTGCGTGGCTGCAGCACGAAACACAATCTCCGTTCTACGAGACGCCTCTCGAGTTTCCATCGACTTTGTGAGCAACGCGCACTTTCCGTGTCTGCTCTTCACCTGCTCCAGAATCCTCCTTGTCGAGTACTTTTATCCCTCTAGATGCGGCAAAGGCGCTCGCGATCCAAAGCTTCGTGAGGATCTCGAGGTTGTTGCCCTGAACTATATCAGACTGAAAGAAGAGTGGCGAGGCCTAGGGCAAAAGTTTGGTAAGGGCATGTATTACTACTTACACCGAGGGGAGGGGTTTGCGCGTGAGACAAAGGCTGGTGGTGCGAGGAGTCTGCTCGGCGTCTGTGATACCTGGATTACCATTCCTGATGATTTTGATCTCACTATCCCGAGCTGAAAACATGACGCAGCTTAAGCTTTGAAAGATTTGTATTATGCTGCTCTTGCTCGATCGGACCTCTCTCTATGGCCATTCTGTACAACCCCCCACCCCCCTTAAATCAAGCACCGTAATGCTTCCACTTTCCACCTCAAATAGCACCAAAAGAACTCTTGCTCTCACCCACAAGCCGCCCGCCATCCGTCCCGATAATCGCCCCCGTCGCAAACGAATCCTTCATCGAATACACATACGCCTCCGCAACCTCCTGCGGCGTCCCCACCGTCCCCGTAATCGCCCAGTCCCTGAACCCTTGCAGCACGCTCTCCTTGTGGTCCTCGGGAATCATGTCCAGCAGCTCCGTCTGCACGGCGCCCAGCCGCACGCAGTTGCACCTCACGGGGCGCAGATCAACGGCGAGGCCTCGCGCAAGGGCTTCGGTGCCGCCGCCCGCAAAGGCGACGACGGACCAGTTGGGGAGCGGGCGCCAGGTGTTTGTTCCGCCGGTGAGGGTGAAGGAGCTGGATACGCTGAGGTTGATGTATTTGTGGAGGTGCTTGGCGACGATGATGGCGCCTGCGTTGCGGACCTGGTTGATGGCTTGGATGTCCTTGACGGTGGTTTCCTTGAGGTTAGGCGTCTTGAGGGCATCGCCTGCTGTGAAGACGACGTGGTCTAGTTTCCCGTCCTTGGAAGCAAACTCCAAGAGGTCGGTGACGCTTTGGTCGATGGTGTCGGGGTTGCTGAGGTCGATTGTTTTGGAGGAGAGGAGCTTGCTGGCGTCGCCGAGGTTGGCTGCTTTGATGTGTTCCTGGAGACGGGAGGCGGCCTTGTCGAGCTTGGTTTGGTTGGAGCTGCTGATGATGACGTGGGCGCCGTGCTCGAGGGCTGCTTCGGCAACGCAGAAACCTACGCCGGTGGAAGCTCCGATGACGAGGACGCGGCGGCCCTGGAGCTTGTTGACGTATTTGAGGGCGGACATGGTGATGGTGATGAAGGAAAGTTAATGTAAGTGTTCTCTGCCGGGTGTTTGTTTTGTTTGGCAAAGAAGTATACTTGTTGTCTTGAAAACGAAAAGAGTAGTCAATATGCAATCAGAGCTGCTGATGCTGTCCAAAGAGACCTCGAGATTGTTGATGGAAGTGGTCGCCTTTATATGCTTCGACTTACACGCACCTGGCAGCCAGTGTCCGTATGTGATGCACTGCCAGATCGGGACGATTCTGTCGGCGCTTCTGTCTTAGCGGCGGCGACGGGCCGCTAGCGTCGCCGCTTTGAATTTAGCAAACTGATTGGTCGAGAGAATGGAGCAAGCGAGGTGCTTATGAGCAAGTACCAAGTACTCCGCCCCCCTGTACGGGGTAAGGTACTGCAGAAGCCTTGAAGACGGGAGAGGACAATGGCCTCAAGAGTGAATCGTCGGAGCCTGCAGCTGGCTGGTGGGATTGGATGTGCCATCCCGACTTTGGCAGCATATATCTGCCTTCTTTTTCGCCCAAGGTTCTTCCGGGCCATGGGAGAATGCAGGTGCCGGTCACGCCTGAGGCTTCAACATGCACGCCTTGCAGATCGATACATGCATGATCCGCCTGGCCTATCAGCTTGTGGAAACGAACGCGGCTGAGTCGCTCTGATGAGGGGCTTCGGTCAGCAGGCAGTGCCTAAAGCTTTCATGAGGCTGAAGCAGAGACAGCGATCCGATGTTGTTTCTGATAGACTACATCTTCAGACGAGATACTCCAGCTGTAGCTGGCGGTCTTCCAACAGCATCCTGGCTTTTGAAGTTCAGATTGAAGTATATCCAAGAGGGTACTAAACTATCTATTTTCCGCTCAGTACCTGCCCACCACGAGCCGTCGTGTCCAGCGCCAATCGCCCACGAAGCAGCCAAATCACGCGACAGCGCCCTCGTTATCCAATCCGACAACACCAGCGGTTCCCACTCGTGATAGTCCACAAAGCTGCATCCGACATCGTCAAGAAGCGCCCATCTACCGGCGAGCACACCGAGAGCTCAAAGGCTTGGCGCCTGATTCCGAATGCCGCATAATAACAACAGAGACTATACCGTAGGATGGATCTGTGCCCTTCCGATCGAGCTCGTCGCGGCCGAGGCAATGCTGGACGAACGATACAAAGATGACAGCAGCGGCCAGTACACGCTCGGCCGCATCGGCCACCACAAAGTCGTCATGGCGTGTCTCCCGGCAGGCTTGATAGGCACCAACGCAGCCGCCACCGTCGCCACCAAGATGGTCTTCAACTTCCCGTCCATTCGCTTCGGCCTCATGGTGGGCATCGGCGGCGGAGTTCCAAGCGAAGCCTCTGATATCCGACTTGGAGATGTCGTCGTCAGTCAGCCGCAGAACGGCAACGGCGGGGTTGTTCAGTATGACTTTGGAAAAGCGCGGCCGGGGGAGTTTGAGACGACTGGCTTTCTCAACGCACCGCCGATTGCGCTGCTGGATGCTCTTTCGGTTCTGAAAACTAGGCATCTCCTTGGAAAGAGCCGCTTGGGGGAATATATAGGTGCGGCCACTCATCGACTTCAGTTCGCTCTTGAGACCACGAGAACCGATATGCTGTTCGAGTCAAATTATGAACATAATGGAGGCTCAACATGTAGAAGCTGCAGTAAAGAACGACTTGTCAATAGGAGGCCACGACGTCAAGGCCCTGCAGTCCATTATGGCACCATAGCCTCTGGAAATCAGGTGATAAGGGATGGCAGAATTAGAGACAGCCTGAGCTCCAAGCTGGGGGGCGTCCTTTGCTTCGAGATGGAGGCCGCAGGCCTCATGAATAATTTCCCCTCTCTCGTCATTCGAGGTATTTGCGACTATGCGGATTCGCACAAGAACAAGGCGTGGCAGCCTTACGCGGCAATCACTGCGGCAGCATATGCCAAGGAGGTCTTGACGGTCATACATGGAAATCAAATAGCGACGACAGAGGTCGCCGATGATGCTATCAAAGCCGTATGATACCATTTCCCGAGGAGAGAAAAGAAAACAGAAGAAAAGATGACGAAAAGCTAAGCTGACAGGAGAACTTGTCCACAGGACATGATTCGAATCGATATCGAATCCAACATTGACGCCGTGAACCTGGATTGGTTCCTTTCTGTCTTACCAGCAGTGAATCAGCCAGAGTTCAAGCCTAAAACGCCATTATTGGATCGTGAAGATCATGAGTATCACTGGGTCTTCAAGAATCTAGACTTTATAAACTGGGATAGAGGCAATTCTGGAGTTCTCTGGCTGAGTGCGCCACCCGACTGCGATTTGCAAAAAGTGGCATCGTCCATCCTGCAGCGGGAGCTTGACAAGAGTCCCCAGACACACAAGCGAACCCTCTATTACTACTGCGGCACCAATGCGACAGACTTGCCGACTATCAAAACATTCATCAGGGAACTTGCTCTACAAGTTATTTCGTCTGCGGCGGAAGCCAAGCAGGCGTCAATTGTGCGGACTTTTCTGCGAACTATTCTTCATCATATGTTCAAGAGAGCAGCCTCGGCTACGTTACTTCAGTGGCTCTCAGGCTACATCGAGGACCATCTATGCGACTTACTTGATGCCCCGGAAGACAGTCTCTGGGCAGCTTTATGGGCCATTCTACCTACAGAGCAGGACCGAAGCCTATCGGTGTTTATAACGGGAATAGAATACGTATGCAGGGAACACGAATTCATCAGAGCGATCCGCGATTTCATCAAAGCCCTACAATCAACCGGCAGGGCAAAAGTGCTGCTTACTAGCGGAATTGATTTTGAGACTCGGGAGATTCTCAGGGGGCTGCCCTACATCGACTATGACGAGGAAAGAAAAGGTTTGGCTATTTCACCGCTCGGCCTTTAAGCATGAATCGTCTCTAATCAGGATTAGAATGCCTTTCCAGTCTTTCCTTTGTCGACACACGTTTTGACAAGATCGTGAAAGCATGTGAAGGCACCTTTATGTGGCTCTGGGAGCATCCTCAATACAAGGCATGGACGACTCCACAGACCTCCAGCATATTATTGATTGAAGGGAAACCTGGCAGCGGCAAAAGCACACTCACCAAGTACTTTAATGACTACATGCTGCAAGAACAGCCATCGGCAAATTCAGCCATTGTTGCCAAGTTCTTCTACAGCTATAGAGATGGCAGTCTTCAGAGGAGCCACTACAGCATGCTTCGGTCCTTACTGCACGACATCATGAGCCAGGACCCGGCCTTCTTCTATCAAGTTCAAGCGGAGTACCGACGTCAAAAGCATTGCAACAGCAGTAGTGGCATTGTCGACTGGGACTACGACTCGCTGAAGCGGATGCTCAGATCTCTTCTCGATTACCCGCTGCCACGGTCGCTGTACTTGATCATTGACGCAGTGGATGAATCCGATGAAGAGGATCGACGAAGCATCATCAAGCTACTCTTTGAGATTGCTGGTAAGACCACACTGGGCGTCGTCAAGATATTCGTGGCGAGCCGGCCGGTGGAGCAGCTCGACGTCCGCCGGCAGAACATCAACAGCATCATAAAGCTGCAAGCAGAAACGCTGCATGATATATCTCGATTCGCACGCTCCATCTTGGATGGCCTCAATGTTTCACTATTACTTGATAAGGCGACAGAATACATCATCAACAACGCGAATGGAGTGTTCTTATGGGTGAGGCTGGTTGGGTGCGAATTGGAAGCTTCTTTAGAGGACTGCGAATCGGAAGACGTCATCTTTCAGCGCCTCAAGCAGCTTCCAACTGAACTGGACGACTTTTACCAGTTGATGCTTGCGAGGTTGGACAACAAGCCATACACAGCGGACTCGATAACTATGTTCCAGAGCATCCTTTGGGCAGCAAGGCCAGTTACGCCTGACGAGTTGCTGCAAGCCGTGGCCATCTCCAACATACCACCTATGGAACCCTTGACCGACGAGTCGTTGGAAACGCGAATCCCGCTCAAAGGTCGCATCACGCGTTGCGGAGGAAATTTCTTAGAGTTCAAGCAATCCAATGGTAGGTGGTTGGCTCAATCTATATATCATCAAGCTGCATAATCTGACTAGTCTATGGGATAGGATTCGAAACTGTTCAAATCATGCACCAAACCGTTCGCGACTTCTTCCTTCGTCCTCATGGATACGCTGCACAGACAAGGTTCCTGATGCGCGAAAAAGACGCCATCGAATATGTGGCAAAGATGTGTGTACGGTATCTCATCCTTTGCTCCAGGTGCACTATTCTGGCAAAGAGACTACCTGCCACCTCGCTGTGGAACTGGCAGCACTTTGACGCGTATGTCCGCTACTTGAACAGGAGGCCTCTAGTGAGCTATGCTTTGTCCTTCTTCGAACAATACGGAGATAGGGGCAATGGAGAGTTTGGAATGTCAGATCTTGTTGCTGAGCTCAATCAAGAAAGACAGGCCGGCGCTCCATTCGTCTACTTGCTCGAGAAATGGGCGTCTTCAACTCTTAAAATAGGGCTCATAGCCCAAGAGTCAGGTGCCCCAGCGGAGAAACCAGCGGATGCCGCAATGAACTTCCGGATCGACTTGTCGTATGTTGCTGTTACGGGCGGCTACCATGTCGCGGTGGAAATCCTACTGACCGCTGGAACCGACATCAACTATGAGTGGAAAGGGGGAAGGACGGCACTCTCTTTGGCAGCGGAAAAGGGACATGCCGCCGTTGTCAATGTTTTACTAGCAAATGAAGACGTCCTCGTCAACCGTCGAGATGAAAAGGGCAAAACACCCATGTGCTGGGCTGCAGAAAAAGGCCACGAGGACGTGGTTGTCGGGCTGTTAGGCCACAAAGACATTGAAGCCTTTCTTCAGGATGGCCAGGCAAGGACACCCCTCTCATTGGCAGCTGAGAATGGACATGAGGCCGTTGTCAACATTTTGGTAAAACGCAACGTTGTTGTCGTCAACCATCAGGATAACGAGGGGAAAACGGCACTACTATGGGCTGTAGAAGAAGGACACCTAGGCGTCGTCACCGGGCTATTGTCACACTACTATATTGATCCCAACGTCGAAGATCAATTGGGGAGGACACCACTATCATTGGCGACGGAACAAGAAGACGATGCCATGGTGAGATTGCTGCTTTCTCATCCGCTCGTGAAGGCCGATTCGCCCCAGGATAAAGGGAAATCCCGGTGATGTATGTTACACAGATCCGGCAAAACGCCGTACTTGAGGCATTACTTGCTCAGCCAGAGATTGAGGCATCTCAGAGAGATATTACGTACAAATGCGTCGACGTATACTGCAGAAAATGGCCTTTGCTGCTTTCCACCTAGTACTCCGGCTATGAAATCGAGAAACAACAATAGCTGGACTACAATTGTGCAGGTTCTTAGAGCAAGGGCATCACCTAGGGAACAAGCTGCTGCAGGCCAAGCATGGTGCTACTACTGATGGAAGCGACCAAAGTGAGTGTGTACCGTAATTGCGGACTGTACGACTGATTAGCCTTGACGATGTCGAAGTCGATATGAGAAAACTGCGAGAATACTAGAATACTAGGTAGTTTATAGTCAGGAGCTCACAACTGTGTGACTGCCAATGTGAAGCTACGTCAAAGCAGAGTGTTGATTGAACAAACCATCCCTACATAGGCTATGTTATTGTGACCTGTGTCGGGATATTAGTGAGGTGTTGCCAGTCACTAAAAGGCATAATACGGGTTATTTTCGTAATGCTTCACTTGGTTGCGTTCACCGCATATGCAGCACGGCTGCTGGACGCTTCACCGCTGCCTAGGAAGAACAGTACATATTCACCTAACCTTATGCCTGAAAAAGCAATAGATGACGTGGCACATAACTCGTGACTGTGTAACGGAAGCTCCGTCACCGCATAGCATTAGGCAGAAGCGTAACATGCCTGCCCGCAAGCCCAGGACCAAACTCATATGTAACGACTCCCTCTCCAACATCTTCACCGGTATTTGACCCTCTTCTAAACGGCATCGTGGAAATGCGCAGGCGATGGATGAAATTATAACGACCTAGTTCATATCTCAGTCTCTCATCATGCTAACCCACTTGGCGAAGCCGTCAGGGGATCACCACGGCCAGCATGAACCATCAACAGGGTTCAACCGCAATCATACAGACTGGTACTATACGTCCTGCCATTATAAGTACCAAGAAATATCATCCAAATATCACAAGGCTTTTTCAAGCCCTCAACCACAGCGACCTCAATAGCTGCCATCTTTCAAACAGATCGCTGTTGCATACATCTAACAGAAAGCCGAGGTAAAGACATATCAGCAACAATACATTCCTTTGTCCTTGACAATCATGTTCTATGAAAGCGACGAGGAAAAAACTCACAACGCGGATATTGAGCAATTGCATACTACAGACATTGCCGATGAACCAGCGACGCTCGTGGGTATCGCCTTGGCCTAGGACTTCGAAGAGGAACACAAGGATTGGCCGGCAGACGTCCTCGCGGCGTTCCGAGAGGAAGCCCCGACCATCAACTCCCCATGATACCAGAGACGACCAAGAGGACTAAATCGACTCAAACCAACCTCAAGCTTTGCATACCACAGCCTGGCCAGCCATCTCACACGATCACCACAAGTTAACCCGTCATACCACATACGGGCTTCATTCCTAGAAAGCGCCTGGAGCCTGACTGCCAGCCCCCTAGCCAGGACCAGTTGGAGGACGTGGGGGCCGCCCATGCGTTCAGACGGCAGCTACCAGCAACAGGCGCCCAATATGCCCCTTGCGGCGCAATGAAGAAGAATTCGCAACACTCATCGACAGTGGCTCGTGGTTCGCGTGCGATTGTGCTGTTCCTAAGGCGAACAACCACCGGCTCTACCGCCCTGTCAGGGCTCGTTCGACCTGGTTCAAGTACGTGATTCTGGCAGCACTTTACCATTAACAAGCTCGCTGTTCTCGATAAGCACGCTCGACCCGCTCCCTTCGACCTAACCATACAAGACTATACGCGTTTACAATGACATGGGTTGAGAGGAGACACAGAGGCAGGGTACTGGTTATTTGGGACCCCGAACCTCCGGACTCGCCATCCGCGCGAGTGATGTTCAAGCTCCAGAGTCTCCAGGTCGACATATACAAGTTTGCCCTCAACAACTGCGCTTCTTCACAGGTCTATTACAGAACCGATTCAGGTGTTTTAGTAAAGGTGGGCGCCTTTATCGGTCTTTAGAGACACTAAAAGATGGCTATACGGAAGAGACCTACCACAGGGAAATAGGATTGCCCCCTACTTGGTCAAGGGTATGCAGATCTCGATGCGTGGATCATCCTCCTCAGGGAAAGTATAGTACCGAGCTTTCGTGGATGGCTATACCTGTCTACATCAAAGAACATGGCGGGTTTGTATCTGGGAATTATGCATGCCACAAGCGTTAAATACGCTTTGAGACCGCTGGTCAACTGGGCAATACCGGCTATGACGAGAACTGGGAGGACGAAGAGGGTGCAGACTACGCTCACACAGGAACTATACGCTTCCTTTATTCACACGGTTAGAGGACGTGTCTTCTGGTCCATTACAGCAGTTATGGATTTTGAGGAAGTCAACCAATGCTCTTACGGCTTGCATGTTTTTGACATTAAAAGAGGGGCTTTCATGAAGCAATTCCAGATGTTTAACAACAAGACAATTCTTATATATCGACCTTGCGCATTCGAGAAGTCGGGAACATTAGCATTGAATGCAGACGAGCAGAAAGCCCCGTTTCAAGGAAGCACACATGGGGTAGCAGAAGTTATACGATATTAAAACATCAACGATACATTCTACTCATTGATACACCTTGCATTACTTCGCAAACCGGTTATATGGCTCAATTCTCTTTCTGTGACTTCTTGGCCATTCAGATGCAGTCCTTGGATGTGCCGAAGCAGTAGATGTAGTATGTGTTAATGGAGCCCCACGAATAGATCAACTCGCTTTGGTTTCTGCAATGGACATCTCAAGGGCAGGTGACTGAAGGATTATTCTCATAGAGCTCGTTCTCGATCTCCATGAGGTCGATTTGCCTAAACTCCGACGGCTTACTGAATTGCCGTGTGATGCTTGCCAACAAGATCCCCGACGCCGTTGCGCAAGGATGAATGGCTTCTAATGGCAATGGCTAACCAACGGTGGTTGATCCATACTGGTGTTGTTTATGGTAAGTTTCAGTCGGCTTTCTATTTGAAGTAGCATTATTGTGATTGAACTACTTACTATTGAACAGTTTAATCCCTAACCTCCCGTGTTCCCTCGTATAGCCATTCCACGTTCAGCCAAAGAGTCAGGCAACTCCCGATAGAGCGAAACAAACGAACCCAGCATTTGAAGACCTCTTACTTTTGTCACAAGCAAACATGAGCGACTATGCTTACATGGACAACACGAATAAGCCCGCGATTGTGGCGTTCTATGATATGACACCCCAAAACCTATCCATCGCGAAACCCTTGAACCATGATCCAAACATGGGAGCTAGCCCGCTTGGTTAGGATGAGACGGCAGGATAGGGCATGGTCTACGTTGACAGGATCGTGAGATTATATTTATAGCATCTACAGACATGATTAGCCGCAGTAGTCTACCTATTGAAGCTTCATCATTCGTCCCTCCGCTCTGTTTTCCGTGGCTTCAACTGAAGCCCCTAAGCGCTAGGAGACGGGTGACGAAACTAACTTCACGACGAGTCTGAGCCATCAGCTGATGACATTCAAAGGACATTGTATATAAGACATAGCCAGCATAATACAAAATGCCCTCCGTCACCCATTCGCCGTCTCACCTTTGCCTTTGTAGAAAAATCGCTGGTGTAGAATGCTCCGGACAGCACGATGGGCGACAAACCGAAATCCACTGACGAAACAATCATCCCCCTATCCGCCAAAGACCAATGGCGCCCCATCAACAACATCCGCTCCCTCCTCTTCATCGTCGTCCGCGACATCCTCGACGAGCCATTCATGAAATTGTCTCTGGACAAGCTCATCAGGGAACACATCCCCCTCCTTGGCGCACGCATAAAGACCAGACCAGACGGCTGGCTCGAATACCACCTCACCACTCCCTTCCCCTCCAAGCACAAACTATTCGGCTGGTCAACCAGCACCGTCTCCTCAACGCTCGAACAAGCACATCTCGTCCCTAACCCTAATCCCCAGCGAGGAATCACCATCCTCCCCGACGTGACGACCCTAGAACCGCGCTGGATACCATCCCACTGGCCTATCCTCCGGTGCCAGGACACACCAGACACACCTCTCCTCCTCGTCCACCTAACATACTACAAGAATGCCACCGTAGTAGCGACCAACCTACCGCACTGCGTAAGCGACCAAATGGGCTATGGCAGCGTTCTCAGCGCCTGGATCGACGTGATGAAAGGCAAAGAACCCCTTCGCTTCGTCGACATTCCCCCCGACGGACTCGATGGCGACAAAGACATACCTACCAAGGACCTTTTCAGGAAATACGAGTACCGGCTAAGAACAAAGAGGGAGCGGGCGGAGGTGCTGATGGGCATCGTGCCGGAGCTGGTGGTGAGGTCCAAGGAGACGAGGTGTATCCTCTTCTTGCCGGTGGGACTGGTGACTGGGCTGAGGGATAGATGGAGGAGGGAGTTGAAGGGCAAGTATGGCGCTGAGGCGAGTGATATTTCCAACGGAGATGTCATTGTTGGCATTATAGCAAAGGTATGTTGTTTGTCTTCGTTGTCATGAGCCTCTGATGCTGACTCGAGAAAACCTACCGTAGTTTGCCAACATGCATCGGAAGAGGACCAAGAAGCAAGTCATCAGCGGTCCAGCAAACCGTACGTCTCATCACTCCCACAATCCTCCCTCCTCACCTCTCATCATCCATCAAGGACCCCCATCATCACCATCAAACTAACAAACATCAAAACATCCACCAGTCCGAGGCCACCACCCCCTTCTCCCCCCAACAGCCCGCTACCTCCACAACGCCCTCATCTTCGCCGTCACCCACACCTCCATCAGCCGCTCCCACCCGCCGACATCCGACCTCGCATACGCCTTCCGCCTCGCCGTCAACGACGCCCTGACGCCCGAGAAGATGGACCGCGGGCTTGCGGTCTCGCGGGAGCTCTGCAAGAGGCGCGTCGCGATGCATATTTGCGAGCCGTGGGAGTTTAGCTACGGGACGACGAATTGGTGTAAGGCGTGGCATGGGCTTGACTTTTCGGTGGCGAGTGCGAGGAGGAACAGGAGTGAGGAAGACGACGCTGTTGGTGAGAAGAGACAGCAGCAGCAGGAGAGTGATGGGAGCAGTGGGGATAATGCGCACACGATGAATGGGACTGCTTCCTCTTGTTCTTCGGCGCCACTCATCTTTGGGCATTCGCTTGAGCGGAACCATCCCAATCGATGTGAGTACTCTCTCTCCCTCTTACCGCTCTAACCTAGAGCAATCGGAATAGTATGCTGATGTTGTGGGCTGGGGAACCAAAAAGTGAGCGCAGCCATCATGTCCAAGGCCGAAGGCGGATACTGGGTCGACTTCGCGGCGCCGAACAAGGGCATGGCGGCGATACGGGCGCTGCTGGAGCGGGATCCCAACTTGGAGACGATATGATGATGCCTTGATATCCCTGACAAAGTCTGTCGAGGCCGTTGAATCAGGGAGTTTGGCGGTATGGTTGTTTCGAGGAGCTGCCGAGAGAGCTGTCGGCGTGTAAGACTACAGTACAACTCCAACTGACAGAAGAAGCAGAGAATCGTGTAATTTGCAATGTTATTCTCATGTCGTCGAGGGATTCTAACACCCCGAGACTGCTATAGACCAACTCCTCTCTGAGAAACGACTGGTCGTCAGAGCCGAACAAATCGAAAACGCCAACTCCGGCTATGCCTCGAACAATGTAAGGTATACCTAAGAAACAAGCCAAAAACGCAACGCCAAAGCCCACCATAAACCCCATCAAAAGAGACACACAAAGTTGCCAACGCCCGGATCCATGCAGATATAATGCTCTTCTTACCAAGCCCCATACATCATCATCTGGGAACACTCCTCCAGCCTATCCAGCCCCTTCTTGATGGCCCTCGTAATGCCGTCTATCCGCTCAAACGCGAAAATGTCGAAATGATGGCCCTCGACATCCATCACATCGCAAAACATGTCGTCGTCGTAGTCCCCCCAGCCCAGCATCTCGTCCTCCCGATTCAGATCCAGGCCGACGATGCGGCCGTCCTTTGTCGGCACGTACTCCTTGGCACGCAGCAGCACCACCCTCGGCCGTCGGTCGTACAGGCTGCCGGGCCATTCGGGCAGCCGCCAGTCTCTGATCATGCGCACCGCCTCGGCCATGCACCGCTTGGAGCGGATCTGGTTCTGCGTCAGGCCGCTCTCGACGACTGTCGATGCCGGGGCCTCGTCGGAGGAGGAGGCGTCCTCCTCGCTGGAGACGTCGTCGTCGTTGAGCTTGATGTCGCGCATCTTGGGCTCGGCGAAGCGCTTGGTGGCGGGGGGCATCATCATCAGCGGCAGCCGCGCCGAGGACTTGCCCGGGTAGATGCTGTCGATCATGAGGATGCCCGTGACGCGCACGACGGCGTCGTCGGCCAGCTGGCGCGCGACCTCGAGGCTCAGCAGGCCGCCGAGGCTCCAGCCGCCGAGCAGGACGCTGACGGTGCCGTCGTGGTTGCGCGCGCGCGCCGGGAAGCCGTCGTCGAGGACCGTCTGGCGGATCCAGCGCGCGTAGAGGCGGCCCATGTCGGGCAGGCCGCCGTCAAAGACATCGCCCGAGTAGAAGCAGGGGTTGTGGATGCCGTAGACGTAGCGGCCGAGGACCTCGAGGCAGTGGTAGGCAAAGGTGGTGCCGCCGCCGTCGTGGATGAGGAAGACGGGCGTGTTGAGGGCGGGCTTGTCGGGTCGGGCCCAGTCCTCGGGCTGGATCAGCTCGGGGTTGTTGTTGGCAGCAGCGCCGCGCATGGTTGTTTTTATCGATAAGCGTTGAGCTGATCTGGTGTTATGTATGATGATGCTGCTGCTTGGTGTTTGTGGCTTGGGAATAGGTAGGACAGGACAATTGGTAGCTGGTGACGACAAGTAACAGCCAGCGTTAACAGAAGTAAACGAGAGCTAGACCAGATCTGAGATCTGACTATGAAGAAGAGGAGAAAAGAAGAAGAAGAATGTCAAAGTCAAATTGCACACACTGAACACAGTAAAAAGTCCCGTTTTCGCTCGGCTTCTTCCTCTTCTTCCTCTTCTTCTTCTTCTTCTTCCCCAGGGACCCCCAGGAATTTAGCTCGCTTATCAGTGGATCTCGCCGCCGCCGTTGTTGGGGTTCCAAAACTCTCAACGGAAATTCTGCAAGCAAGCAAAAGGCCGCGATTGGCCGAGGTTCAAACTGGAAAAGAAGAAGAAAAAATGGACAAGAGACAGAAACAATTAGACTTTGTCTCTGACGCGGTCTATTTTAGAAATAGTCCGGGGTTGAAAGCATATTATTTACGTGTTTTCTGATTCGGCGGATTTTGTTTGGAGCAGCGGTAGTACTGTATATGTACCTGCAAAGGGACGGGTGAGAGGAGGGAGAAGCCCGGATTTGGCGCGGTAAGCCGGCGATTTATTTGTGTTGTTTGTTCACGGACCAAAGGGAGGGTCTGTGTGGTTCGGGACAGACTTGATATTTGACGTAAATTATCGGATTCTTTTTCTTTTTTTTTCTTCTTTTTTTTTGCCTACCTTACTGTGTTTATGCTGTTTCTTTTTTTGTTGCGGCTGATGCAGGTGACACTTTGTCCTACCTACCTTACATGGGATCATCCAGATGATGTAAATGAAAAAGAATCCATGAGACAATACGGCCGATCCAGGAATGCAGACGAAGCAAAGCATCAACTGGCAATGACGAGTCAACCAAGTCCTACTACTACAGCCATGTATTGAAGTAATCGGCACACATGTCCAGGGATCTGGCTTACACAAAAGTCAAACAGTGACAGGCCTGTACCTGTGCCTGTGCCTTGTGCTCTCGATCGATGGATTACACCCTCATCACTCTCTGCAAAGTAGTACGACAAAGTATGTGTTGCAAACGGTAATCCGATGGTCCCTGTGCGAATTCAATCGACCTCTGCCAATCACCGTGTGAACCTTCCCGAAAAAGGTCCTGCATTCTCATCATGTCGCCGGTGATTGGTCGCCCAAGTCCATGGTGTGCCTTGTGCATGCATTACAACCTGTGAGAATCTACCTACTGCACCTACACAACTCGGATCGGTACTAGTATTTGACATTCGCACAGCCAAGACTGCGAATAGTTGCATAGGTAGTACTGACAGCTCATCTTTGCTCCGTTATCTGCATTCCCATGCGTCACGCCGCATCAAGACAAGGCATCTGTCGGAATGCAGCACTGTCTCCAATCTTCATCCCCATCATGCATGTGGCCCCCCCCCTCTCTCTGGATTCTCCGTCCAAGACGCCCTCGCCCGCCTTGTGCTTATTCCAAGATGTAAAGCCATAGATAGATGTGTATTTCCCGGTGCTAATTCTCGGGATTACGACATAATACAGCAACTCTCGAGCAGAGTCCTACGATTCCGGTGATTGCGGGTGACACAACATTGAATCCTTCCCCCGGGGCATTGATTACTCGAAAGGTACCTATGTAGGGTGTAGTCATCGAAATGCAAGATACGGGCTGCTGTGCTGACCACCCGCCATGTATGTGCTTCCCTTCCCCCCAGACGGGCCTCGCTTCCACAAAGCTATTGATACTGCATAAACGAAGAATTCCGATTCCGTAGCTGCAGAGCACCCGGCACCTCCGGGGAGGTGGGAGCAGCGCCGTAAGTGGTTGGCATGGCCAGAGGATTGCTCCTTTGGAAGTCGATTCCCTCGTGAGGGTGTGTCTTGAATTGCCGTCACATGGGATGCGGTATCGAGTGTCAAGACGGACATGTACGGAGTACGGAGTAAATAATTCGGAGTAAGATGAGGTGGTGTACAGAGTGAGGGCAAGTGAAGCTGTGGCACCGAATGCGAGGATGCTACCCTGTCAGTTGCTGCGACCAGGACAACGTGGTTGGCATCTGTTCTATTCCAGAATCTTCGCAACTACAATCGGATGATTCGTGTCATAATACCCAAGCCGTAATCCTTCTCAAAGCATAGATAGATATTCAAGGATCCTCGAGGCTTGGCTTCCTCGTTCGTAGTAGTATCATGGCCGCCATAACCCCCGTCATCCTACCGAGGGACGTCTGCACCGGGTTCTGCCAAATAGCCCTGCAGCCTCCACAGCAGCATGTGCAGCCTCATCATGCTCGTGCTCCCCCATTGCTTCAGCACGAAAATCTCGCCCTCGCGAAACAGCTCTGCCGACTCCCTCAGCCGCTGCACCTCCTGCTCGCCAAGCAGCCACCACAAGTTATGCACAACCATCTTCTTTCCGTATTGGGCGCCCTCAATGTCCAGCGTCGCGTACTGACGTGCGGCGTCTCTCTTCTCCGGCAGCCAAAGTACGCAACCCCGCAGCTTGACTCCTTCGACATCCTTCCAGCTGGCGCAGGGCTCAATAAACCTGTGCTTGTCCTCGTGCGGCTGTAGCCTGTTGCCGCGAAGAACCAGTGCATCAGTTGCCTGTTGGCGCATCTTCTGCAGCAGCACCTCTCCCATGTCCTCTCTCCACACGGCCTCGCGACTGTCCGGCGTTACGGCCATGCCTGTGCGAACCGCCAGCAGCACGGAGAGGTATTTCTTGTTCTTGCCGCCAATCATGTCAACGAGCGACTTGCGATTCAGCGTGTAGCTCGTGATGGGTGCCCTCCGTGGTCGTCGGGCATCCTTTTCGGAATCTGCTGTGCCATCTTTCCGGAGCGCCACAGGAGCCGACTCGGGTTTCCTGGTCAAGGCCTCCTCATTCAGTCCTTTGCTAATGTCCGGCTGTTCCTCGTCGAGCCGCTTCGTAGGCTGCACATGCTCGAAAGATAACGGGCCGGGAGCCCACCATGGCTTGCCGGTGGTCGGGTGCTGTACCAGCTCAAAGTCTTGTAAGAAGTATCGCGGCAAGCTGATTGCGCTGTTGGGGCATTTCCGTATGGGCGTAGCGAGTGCCTGTGCTACTCCGAATTAGCTTTCTGCGCATCAGTATATTCGAAGCTCGTCATACCAAACGGGTTGTTCGCCAGCTTCCGTCGAAACCTGCCAAGCGGGGGGCCAGGAGCAGCCTTTGCGACCTTTCGCCTGGCCTGCATCCATGCCGGGTCGAATATTGGCGAGATGGGGAGATTCCCTACGGCCGTCGATATCGTCTTGGCCTCGGCATCGATCTTCAATGGCTTGCCGTCGGCATCGCGTCCCAGCCCAGCTTCGACTTTCTGTAGCAGAGCCTCTTTTGTCAAGGCGGCCTTATCGTACGAGTGCCATCGTTTAGCTTGGTGAGGACTCGATGCCCCAAAGCTGCTTGGGCGAAGCGCTGTGCATCGTCTCATCGCCTGTCGACCGCGTGCCCAACAATCATGTCGCATGGGTGGGAAACGGTTGTCGGCCGACGCTGTCCGAGGTGCATGCAATCAATTTTCGAGGCAACGCGATAACGATAAGCCTTATGTACCGTACAGTGCTGAGATAATGTGGGGAACAGGTCCGTAGCATCATCACAGCTCCATCTGCACCTTTGTAGGCAAGCTCTGGATTGTCTACCATCTCCCAGCTGTTCGCCGCTATACAGCAGCCAATCCTCCCATTCCTCCGCCAACATGTTTCGATCCAGATTGTTACCACGCCTGCGGGCACTTCCAATACGCCAAGCACGATACTTTGGCTTCTCCAGCTCATCCAGCTCCGTCCCGTCGATGAACATCCCCATGCCGTACATCGAAGAGACATCAGTAAGCGGCAGCTTCAGCTCTGTTGCCGTGGACATGGGCTAAAAACGGAGCAGGCAACGGGCAGGAAAACATGTACGCTCCCCAATGGACTTGTATCGGGGTGATCAGACAGCTCACATGCCCAAGGGGACATCTTCTCCAAGCTTCTACAGGTGACTCTCCATTAGGTAGCCATCACACAATGGTCGTGTTGACAAACCTCTGACGAGCCCAGCAACGAATAATATGTCTAAACGGCGAAATCGACGACTACATGTCCGCCTCAATAGTCGCCCAGCTCCTCTGGCTAGAATCAGACGCTCCCGACAAGCCGATTACGATGTACATCAATTCACCAGGTGGCTCCGTCACGTCAGGTGCGTTTCCCTCTTATTCACAACGCGGTCGCAGATGTTTACAATGGGCTAGGCATGGCGATATACGACACGATGACTTATATCTCGTCGCCCGTCGCGACAGTGTGCATCGGAGGCGCGGCGTCCATGGCAGCCATCCTGCTGGCCGGTGGCGCGCCTGGCCAGCGGTGTGCTCTCCCGCACAGCTCCATCATGATCCATCAGCCACTGGGTGGCACCCGAGGGCAGGCATCGGACATTCTGATCTACGCAAACCAGATACAAAGGATACGGGAGCAGTCCAACCAGATTATGCGCTATCACTTGAACAAGGCCAAGGGCTTCGACAAGTATACCCTGGAAGAGATTAACGATCTGATGGAGAGGGACAAGTATCTGAGCGTGGCGGAGGCGCTGGAGCTGGGCGTCATCGACCAGGTGTTTACGACGAGGAAGGACAGGGATCAGCCAAAGAAGGAGGCGGAGGGGGAGGAGGAGAGGAAGTACTGAAGTGGCAGAGGTCGTGGTTCGATAGGGAATTGTCGGCCTTGAATGTGCCAGCCGGCACCGTTGCAAGGTAGTACGGCTCTTCGCTGTCATGAATACAGGTCCTAGATCGTGATGAGGAGTGGGCGAATAGCTGCAGTGCTGAAGTTGTAGACTGCTAATGACGATTATCGTGTTAATCAACAATGGAGATTGTACAAGTATTCAATCACTTGGTAATGCTGCCTTTAGTTGTTGAGTTGCTCGAGACATCTTGAGCCGATATCGGCACGTCACAAGCTGGACATCTCCACTGGCAGCTTGGTCAAGTGGGACATCTTCATGAAGCCTCTTGGATGTGTCCGGTCTCTGTGAATTACAATTCTGCTATTATGGTTTAGTCACCAAGATGGCTGCTTATCTTGCAAAGCATGTATAGGCTCAAGGACGGAATGCTTCACGTAAAGCATCTTGTCAAGATGTCGATAGTATTACTACTACTACTACATACATGACTCTCCCAGTAATAAAGACACCAGATAATGCACGAAATGCTCTAGCCAGGGATCCGCCCTCTATAACTGCATCCCTCCAGCCAATCAAACCCTCGCCAATTCGATGCTCTCAGCAGCTTCCAGGGCCCCAGAGCGGGGCAACAATTTTTCCCGGCTGCGATCTCTGGAAATTCTTAGTGGGGGAGCTTTTCTGGCTGGGAGCAGCTCGGATCACAGGGAAGATCACAGGGACAGGACACACAAAGATCGGAGCCTCACGTCAGCCATTGCGGTCCGACTAGTATTTTGTTTGTTTCTGGACTCGAGCCTTGCAAAGAGTCACACGGGCTGCGACTTGGTTACTACTTGCTCTACGATCTCGAGAGCTGCACTTCAAGAGCGGCGAGATTAGAATTGGGAGAAGTAGTACCTGTTGGAAGAGTGACAGGTACGTCAGTGTGGGCTGGGTGAAGCTTTTGGCCCAGCGTCCACGATGCCATCCATGCCCTTGTCGATTTCCCTCTTCCTTTGCAGAGCCTGATTTCGAGAGGCTGGATCGCTTCAAGCAATTGTTCAGCGTCAATTGAACCAATTGCCTTGAACTCCCTCTTTCAGCGTGTCCCGCAGCGTTGCTCGTTCCTACCGCATCCGTTCAAGCTGACACCTTGCTCCGATACAGGACCAATCTTGTGCAACATCGTCACGATGCTGTCCCGAACACTGCTCAGAACCCCTTCAAGGGGCCTGAATGCCCTCTCCAGAGCCAGCCCGCTCTCTGCAAGAAACCAGACGTAAGCCCAATGATGAGCCACAGCCGAATCGACGACGCCCACAATCGCTGACCAAAGCCATCCAGCCGCTTGCTGTCAACCTCATCCGCCCGACATGCCGACGACAAGCTCAACAAGGTCTCCGCCAACATCACACAGCCCAAGTCCCAGGGCGCCTCGCAGGCCATGCTCTACGCCACCGGCCTCACCGACGCCGACCTCAACAAGGCCCAGGTCGGCATCTCCTCCGTCTGGTACGAGGGCAACCCCTGCAACATGCACCTGATGGACCTGTCGGGCCTCGTCCGCGAGTCCGTGGCCAAGGCCGGCCTCGTCCCCTACCGATTCAACACCATTGGCGTCAGCGACGGCATCTCCATGGGCACCACTGGCATGCGCTACTCGCTGCAGAGCCGAGAGATCATCGCCGACAGCATCGAGACGGTCATGAACGGGCAGTGGTACGACGCCAACGTCAGCTTGCCCGGCTGCGACAAGAACATGCCCGGCGTTGTCATCGCCATGGGCCGCGTCAACCGCCCCAGCATCATGGTCTACGGCGGCACCATCAAGCCCGGCTGCACCAGGGGCGGCGACTCCATCGACATTGTCTCGGCCTTCCAGGCCTACGGCCAGTACATCTCGGGCGAGATCACCGAGGAACAGCGCTACGACATCATCCGCCACGCGTGCCCCGGCAGCGGCGCCTGCGGCGGCATGTACACGGCCAACACCATGGCCACGGCCATTGAGACCATGGGCCTGACCCTGCCCGGCAGCAGCAGCAGCCCTGCCGAGGACCCGAAGAAGAAGGCCGAGTGCGAGAGCGTCGGCGCCGCCATCCGCAACCTCCTCAAGGAGGACATCCGGCCGCGCGACATCCTGACCCGCCAGGCCTTTGAGAACGCCATGATTGTCACCACCATCCTGGGAGGCAGCACCAACGCCGTCCTGCACCTAATTGCCATTGCCGACTCCGTCGGCGTCAAGCTTACCATTGACGACTTCCAGGCCGTCTCTGACCGTATCCCCTTCCTTGCTGACTTGAAGCCGTCCGGCAAGTACGTCATGGCCGACATGCACAAGATCGGCGGCACCCCCGGCCTGCTCAAGTACCTCATCAAGGAGGGCCTCATTGACGGCTCCGGCATCACCGTCACCGGCAAGACCATGAAGGAGAACGTCGAGAGCGCCCCCGACTTCCCCGCCGACCAGGACATCATCCGGCCGCTCACCAACCCCATCAAGCCCACCGGCCACATCCAGATCATGCGCGGCTCCCTCGCCCCCGGGGGCTGCGTCGGCAAAATCACCGGCAAGGAAGGCCTCCGCTTCGTCGGCAAGGCCCGCTGCTACGACGCCGAATCCGACTTCATCGACAGCCTGGAAAAGGGCGAGATCAAGAAGGGCGAGAAGACGGTCGTCATCATCCGCTACGACGGCCCCAAGGGCGGACCCGGCATGCCCGAGATGCTGAAGCCTTCGTCCGCCATCATGGGCGCCGGACTGGGCAAGGACGTGGCGCTGTTGACCGACGGCCGCTTCTCGGGCGGCTCGCACGGCTTCATCATCGGACACATTGTCCCCGAGGCCATGGAGGGCGGCCCCATTGCGCTCGTCAAGGACGGCGACGAAATCACCATTGATGCCGAGAAGCGCATCATCGACCTCGAGATTTCGGAGGAGGAGATGGAGAAGCGGAGAAAGGCGTGGAAGGCTCCCAAGCCGAGATACACAAAGGGCACGCTGTCCAAGTATGCCAAGCTGGTGAGCAATGCTTCCACGGGATGTGTCACGGATGGTGCCATTGCGTAAATCGGAGCGACGGGTGGCTTATCTGAAAAAGGGGGTTTCGCGGCTTGTGGAGACACAGATGGTTTGTGCATGAGGAGTTTTGCTTGGATATCCGGACGGTGTGGGCTTGAGAGGGCCGAGTACTTGTCGTCTATGTATATGTAACATGTCAAAAGAGATCCCGATATGATCAATGGAATGCAGTTCCTGCTACGATACATCCTCCTTCGTACAAAGCGCATGACGATGCAAATACATGATACAGTTGTACAATCCGTCAATAACCTACAAACACCTTAGCCCGGCGACACTTTCCCCCAATGACGCCTATTTCCCACTCCACGCCTTCACAAACGCAGCCTTATCCTTCATCGTCAAGCCCACCCTCTTCACCCTGCTCAGCCTCGCCAGCGCCTCCCCTATCCAATCCAGCAGCTTCTGCTCTTCGCTGCTGACTCCCCCCGTTGATCCACCCCGATACGTCAACTCGCCGGACCCAGCGCCGGCTGAACTCGACGCAGCCTTGTTAGTCGTGCCCTCAGCGATGCGCACGCGGATACACGTCGTCGGCCGAGAAAGCAGCGTCCACAGGAAGCGAAGCCACTGTCCGGGCAGAGGAGTTGTAATCTCGGGAGGCGTGTAGCGGAGACTAACGGGGAAGATGTGGACGTCGGGGGGAGTCTGGAGGATGCTCGGGCTGAAGGGCAGGATGGCCTTGCCGTTGGTGGTGCCGCACTCGGGGAAGACGGCGATGACGCGGTTGGGATACTGCTTGATGAGGTCTTTCAAGTCGACGAGATTTGCGCCCTCGTCGGGGGGTCCGGTGTTGACTGGTGCGAGCGCCATCATGATGGCGGACAGCAATCCTATCTTGCGCACTCTGCGCTCGCCGGGGTACGAGACGGTAAAGACGGGATCGAATACCGCGGCGAGATAGACGGCGTCAATGGGGCTCGTGAAGTTGGCGGCAATGACCGAGCCGGGATGGGGCACTCGTTCGCGCGGCTGCTCGGAGAGGGTGCCGCGCTTGACGCCGTCGAGCTGGAGGTCGATCCACCAGATGCCGGGGATGGCCATGAGGCCCCATAGTGCGATCTTGCGGGCGAAGACGGGCAGCGGGAGGGGGTGGAAGAGGAGGAAGTAGCCGAGGGCGTAGGTGAGGAAGATGGGGAGGCGGACGAGGAAGAGGAGGGCGTGGGTGAGGGTCGAGAGGGGGGAGCTGGTGGAGGAGACGGGGAGGAAGGGCGCGATGCCGGTTGCTGTTGTTTTTTTGTTTTTTGGTGTAAGTCAGTGATTTTCTTTTAGTTTGCGGCGTGTAAGAGAAGAGTTGAGTTGATGAAGGAGAGGCTGTTTACCTCTGTCGCGGAACTGGCTATACTTCTCCATGGTGACGGGAAGTAGGCTGTTTGCTGCTTTTGTCGGCGCCTTTTGATGTTGCGTGGGAGAAAAGGCGTCTTTGTTGTTTGGAATATCGAGGTTGGAGGGAACAGCGTGGCGTTATCGAGACATTGGAGACGACTGGCCGAGAGGATGGAGCTTTTCTCCCCTCTTTTACTTGGCAAAAGGACGAGAGACGTGCCACAGAGAGGAGAGGAACAAATGGAGGAGAAGAAGATTTGGAGGGGAAGAAGTTCCTCGAGAGGTACTGCAGCGGTAGAAGATGGTTTGTGTGGAGCTGGGGAAGCTGCTTGGAGAGAGGTCTCCATAACTTGGGCTTGACTTGTGATGGTTGGAGGTGGGATTACCTCAGCAGGAGCGCTGCTTTTACTACCTATGGACCAGCATGTGGGGGTGGATGTGTGTAACGTGGAGAACAAGTCACGATATCTCCTGGTTTGCGATATGTAACTCCGGAAGATGGATCGATTGATCATTGTGTCTTTGGGAAAGACGTCATTGGAATTCCATGTACAGTACAGATCATAGGGCGGCGAGTCTACAGTACACACGACTGAGACAGGTGCTTTTGCTTGCCAGAATGGGGCATCGTCAGCCTTCCGTACCGCAGCACCGGTCTGTCTTTTCAGAGGCACTCCGACTGGGGATTCGAACGGCGAGTCTTCAAAACAGTTCAACATGATTGTATATCCTCACTGACTTGTCTCGACCCCAGTCTCATCACCTGTCCAAATTCCAGCATTATAAATCCACAGGAAGGATATACTAGTATGAGGTACAGTGCTGGCATGTGACAATCGTCGGCTCCCTTGCAGCGGCGGCAGCACTAGGCCTCTTCAGACAAGTCGAGCCCGGTATATGGTACGACGACATGCGAACCACCATGAGCTCGGCGAGCGGAAACGTCACTGTCTTTGACATGTGAAATGGGCAGATTGCGATGGTGGGAAACTGCTGGTTTGATGCGGAATAAGCACTAATGATACAGAGCGGCGTCTGCAGCTGTACAAATGCGATCAGGGCTCCAGATAATGGGAATGAGAAGTCCTGAAGCAGCCAAGATGTATTACCGTTTCTAATGGTGCACTGCTATTATAAGGTACCTCGTCTGTCCAGGTATCTAGAAGCACCAGATTCTTTATTCGTCAATTTGCAGTATGAAGCAATTCAAACCCTAGGTGCCAACATGTATTTCACCGCTCTTCCACCGCGACTGGATGGTAGGTATGGTAGGAGAGTTGGTAGATGTTGCTGCTACTGATGGTCAGTGACAAAGACTGCGCCACATCCTCAACCCCCCTAGCCACACTCCAGCCACCGTTGCCCGGCCCACGGATACTTGGGTAAACAATCGGAAACATGAAATCAACGCCTGACCTTTCTCCACAACTGATACCGCAGAAAGGTCCCTTGACTCGCAAGCCAGCAGCTGGCGCCTCCATCCACATAACCTGCAAGGTCAACAAACGAGACAGGGGACGATTTCGAGGTGCCTTTCGCTCCCTTGGGGTCCCATTTCTTGCATCATTGTTCGAAGCATCTCACCTGTCGCGCTGCGCTTTTCGATTGACGGGGCGCTGCTCCAACTCCGAACGCGACTCCCCGACTTTTCGGCTTCCTTGTTTATTTTTTTCTTCCCTCCTATGATCTAAGACACGGCGATTTCGTTTCGGGCATTGTTACAATGGAAGCTTCAGAGAACCAGGTTCGCGATGCCGCAGAGCCAGAGCCGCCACCGCACGACAGAGCGCCAGATGCTGACCGCGCACCTCAACAGCCCTCGCGGCCCTCGAAGATCAGTCGCCTGCCCGGGCCGACGACGACAGTCCATGGCGCAGGGCTGACCGAATGGAGCGATTCGCAGCAGAATGCTCGATCCCAGTCCTCGATCCCCGCGCCGCCCTCAACGCGGGGGCTGAAGCGCGAGCTCCCGCAGTCCGGTACGAGCCCAGGATGCGCTTCACTGCGTCGCGATATGCTAACGCCTGTCAGCCGTTCAATCTGAGTCCAAGCGAAGGCCCCTCGCCGAGCGCGCGCTCGACTATCCGTCCAAGATTTCGACCCCCGGTCCTCGAATACCCCGATCCGCGGTCAAGGGCCAGACCTTGGCCAGTATCTCCCAGGTGAGACATGCCAGCATATGCTCAAAAGGGCGAGCGTGGCTGGTTCGATGGCTAATGGTCCGTCATAGCTTAAACAACCCCGACCCGTCTCCTCCGTCTTCAGCTCCTCGGTCAGCAGCAGCTTCGCAAAGAGCTTTGGCCCCGAACGAACCGGCGCCGCAGAGAAGCCATCCATCTCCAGACCAGTCACCCGAGCCAGCCACGCGAGATCGAAAAGCCAGGCGGCGTCACGGCCCCGTACGGCACAGGGCTCTCGGGAGGAGGAGGAGGGCCAAGATGAGGCGGAAAACAATGGTATGACCACCTCTGAACAGCTCACCAGCATGACTTTCAGCACGCTTTCCAACCGCAAGATCAGAACTGCAAAGTCCTCATCGACGCTCTCCACTACAAGGGACAGCTCCCTGACGACGAGATTCCACAAGCTCTGTCTCGAGGAAGCCGTCGCTACTCACAACACTCGTCAAGTGACAAACCTGCTCTCAGACACTACATCTGCTTTGAACAACATCACCTCTATTCACCCTCCCGGCAATGAAAAGAGAAACAGCAAGGAACCTTGCTCCGCCATGATGGTGCCCGTGCAGGGAGTCTAGGATGGCCCCTCCATGACACCAAGCGATAAGCAGGTGAAGCGGCAGGTTGAAAAGCTTCAAGGATGCATCGCTCTCTTCAAGGCCAATTCTCCCACAAAGTCCCCCACCAAGTCACCAACCCGCTATAACAGTTTCTTAACGAAGGATTCTAACCTCACTGGGTTTGTAGCCTTTGATGTCGATGGTCGAGTCGGCGACATTGAGTCGCAGTTTAAAGAACTGAAAGCCATGGTGGACACCACGCTGCTTGACAGGAAAGGCATGGACGATGCCCTGGAACTGGCCAAGAAACGAGGTAAGAACAGATTGGGTCCGTGACGAACCATTGCAGTACTGACGCATCGTGATGATTCAGTGTCCGAACTGGAAAGCGACAAGTCAAGGTTGGAGAGCAAGGCCGAAGTATTACGATCAGATCTCGATGCTTCCAGGGATGAAGGGCGCAAGTTGAAGCATGATTTAGAGAAGCTTGAATGGGACCACTCACGGCAGATTGACGATCTCACCAGAAAGCACCAGGCCGAAATAGACGATCTCTCACGGAAACACCGCACAGCAATGGACGATCTGACCCGCGAGCTCGAGCGATTAAAGACTCAGGAAGCGAACGAGCATCAGCAGCAGATGGAAGCTCTGATACGGCGGCATCAGCAGGAGTTGGAGGATGAACAGAAGAAGCGAGAACAAGAGATTCAACTGTTACGAAGCCAGATGGGCAACGACAAGCAGGAGGTGGAGGTTGTTCTGCAAAGGAAGGACCGAGAGCTGCAGGAAATCCGCTCAGTGGCAGAGGAACTACGGTCGAATGTTCAGCGTGAGAGGGCTCTTACCGGCAGCCTGCAAACGAGCATATCCGAGCTCTCGGCCTCAAACACGACACTGGAAGCAAAGATCAACTCTCTACGGTCACAGGTCGAGTTTCTGGAATCCGACACCAAGGCGCAATCCAACGCATTCACGGCAATGGAAACCAGACTCCAAGATGCGCTCCGAATCGCCGAGGACGCACGGCAAAAGCTCATCAAGGAGGAAACCGAGCGCCGTGTCCTCTTCAACAAGTACCAGGAGCTCAAGGGAAATATTCGTGTTATGTGCCGAGTACGACCGCCTCTTGGAAACGGCGAGGGCCAGGTGGCCCAGCTGTCCTATCCCGACGACAAGACCTCGACCGAGATTATGGTGGCCGGACCAGAAGAAAAGTCGAGCCTTGGGATTGTGCAGAGGAAAAATTATCCGTTCGAGTTTGACCGAGTGTTTACGCCCGAGATCCAAAACAGCGAGATCTTTGACGAGATTTCCCAGCTGGTGCAAAGCGCGCTCGACGGCTACAACGTGTGTATCTTTTGTTACGGCCAAACAGGGTCAGGAAAGACGTACACCATGTCATCACCGGATGGCATGATTCCCAGAGCTACACATATGATTTACGACACGGTGACTCAGCTCAAGGAAAAGTCTTGGGAGTACACGATGGAAGGCTCCTTTGTTGAGGTGTACAATGAGGAGCTCAACGACCTCCTGACTCCCAGTGAGCGCACCGCAGAAGGACGGCTGATGAAGAAATTGGAGATACGGCATGATGAAGCCCGGAAGCAGACTTCAATCCTAGGCTGCAAGTCTGTCCGGCTCAACTCTGCCGATACTGTGGAGATGATGCTGGAGGAAGCGCAGAGGAATCGGTCCGTGGCGGCCACCAAGGCCAACGAACGATCATCTCGATCTCACAGCGTCTTCATTCTAAAGCTCATTGGCGAAAACTCGGCAACGGGTGAGCGGTGCGAGGGCACTCTGAATCTGGTCGACCTGGCGGGATCGGAGCGTCTGAAGCACTCGCAGGTCGAGGGCGACAGGATGAAGGAGACGCAGAACATCAACAGGAGCCTGAGCTGTCTCGGAGACGTGATTGAAGCACTGGGCAGGGGCTCGGGCCATATTCCGTATCGAAACTCGAAGCTGACGCACCTGCTGCAATACAGCCTGGGCGGAAACAGCAAGACGCTCATGTTTGTCATGGTGTCGCCATTGGAGACGCATCTGAAGGAGACTCTGACAAGCTTGAGATTTGCTACAAAGGTGAGCTCTGCGAATCTTCTTTGATACGCGCCAGAGGAATGCTTGAACTAACAACATCTCAAGGTACACAACACGCATATCGGCACAGCACGGGCAACCAAGAAGATCAGGGCAGACTCATGATAGGGCCGCCCAGACGAAGTGACTCGTTTCAGTCAGCGAGGTGGGGGGGCATCGTGTTTGGACTTTGTATTTTGCATTTGGCTTTGTGGGAGTTGGCATCTAGGTATCTATTCCAAGGTCTGGGGCGTGGTTTTTGGCTTAGGGCGGACGGCTTGTGTGACGAATTGATATCAAAACGGAAGAGTAGATGTGTGTATCAAGGGCAATTAGTTCCTAGGGACGGTTTATGACGGCTTGCGCCATCTCATGCAGTACCAGGCCGGTGATCGGGAATGGGACCAGCTCCGTGGTACGAAGTCTTGTCCTTGTTTCCTCACCTCAGGCCATTGAGGCGTCACCTGTGATCGACATGCAGCTGTACCTACAGTAGCAGTATGTAATTACAGTAGCTGAGCAAGCTGAGGTAAACAGGCGAGACGGGGGGGGCAGCAACTCTATGATGCAATGCCTATTGAAGCGAGAGTGACAAAAAAGAGGAACCGTGTGGAGAGCGGAGGATGGACTCCTGTCGAACTGTTGTTTCGATCAGATCCTTTCTGCTATGGTGACTGATTTGCCTGGCTTGACGTGAGGATTGCGTGGGTGGGTGAGAGGCGGGCTGTGTGATGTCATATACATGGTGCAGCAAACAGATACCTATATAAGTGCTGGTGATTGAAGGGATTCATTCATGAACAAGACAAGAAACATTTCCATTGCAATTGAATCACTACGACAATTCAACTACGACTGAACCAATTACCAAAATCTCTCTTACACAAAACTTCGAATCAACCCATCAACATGTCTACTCGAGCGCAAAAGGCTGGCCCTGATGGCACCAAGGTATGTCACTTATACCAACACCTCTACCACATCACATCACGTACCTTTTGCAAAGCATCAGCAATTTGATGAAAAGGAATAATCTTACTGATAATCATCACCAACAGGTCACTCCAGGCCACCATGCCCCCGAAACCCAGGAAGCCCCCGGCGTCGTGCAATCCGAGTCCCTCGCCGCCCAGTCCCTGCACTCGGGCGGCGAATTCTCCCACAACCGCGCCTCCCAGACGGAAGCCGTCTCCAGCTCCGACCTGAAGACGCAGTCCGGCCGCGGCGGCGAAGACTCAAACGGCGCCACGGCACCCGGATATGTCGTGGACCAGTACCTCACGGGCAAGGGCGGCCCGCACGGGAAGAACCTCAAGGAGGGGATTGACGAGTCGGAGCTGAGGGGCAAGGAGAGCGATGGGCTGCAGAAGGCGTTGAGGGCGGAGCCGGGGAGCGAGAACGATCCGAGTCGGCTTGCGGAGGAGAGGATGCTGCAGAGGGATACGATGAGGGCGGAGGGGGCTGGGCCGAGGCAGGGTGGTGTTGAGGGGGGGACCAAGTATGATCGGTTGGAGAGCGAGACTTCTTCGTGATTTGGGGATGATGGGGAGAGGATTATTTGAGCGTTGATTAAGGATTAATGAAAGATTTGTTAAAAGGTTCCTCTTTTACTGGAAACTTGTGTTAATTGCAGTGAGTTCTCGGTGATACGTTGCTGTGCTGCGCCTTGGGGGATTGCGTGTATCACAGAAGCAACCTGCAGCTGTGTAGGTAAGGATCACAGAGGAATACCAGGTTCATCTCACCAACAATCAATGAGTGATTTAAACTTGCAAATGATTCCGTATGGAGCTGTTTGTCCACAACATGCCTTAACCTGCTGCCTACTTTTCCTTCTCCAGGGTGCAGAGTTAGTTGCCGCCACTTCTTACATGGCAACAGGCCCGGATGCTGAAACGGGTGGCTAGGCACCAGCATTTCGCCCTGCCGAGCATTCCATGCACTCACTATACTTGAGAGCCCTCTCGCTTCTGGTGGTATATAGCAGTGGGAGGCTCCTTTGCTTGCTTGCTTTCCTAGCACTTTGCTAGTTATGCACGAGAGGAGACAGAGGCGGATGATGAGAATGACCAATATCTTGTAAGGGCGTTGCTGACGCATGCGCTATGTGGTGTGGCTTTGAGCTGATGGTGGTGCAAAAAAAAAAACTTCTAGATGGCTTCGTCATTTGTTTGATCGATTTCACTCGAGACCCTCCATCTTTCGAGAGAGTCACGCCTCTCGAACCGACAAGGCTCTTCATCGCAGCCGGCAGCAGCAAGCAGCAGACATGCCGAACATGCCAGAGGAAAAGTCATTGCTGCGACCACCACGACCAGACGCTGCATCGACGCAACAGAGCAGCCCAAAGGACGACGCAATAGCAGGGACAGGCTGGAGAGACGCATCCAGAAACACGGATGTGCCTTCAGAGCAAGACGTTTACGCGCAGGAGATGGAGCATCAGCGGTATGGAGAGGCGCAGCCGCAGCTTGTGCCGACGGACATGATTGAGACGATGCTTCATACGGCGAAAGGGGCGAAAGAACAAGGAGAGACTTGACGGCGCTGCTTGATTCCACGCTGCACTCGGTGAACGACATTCGCCACTTGCAGGTGATATACGATATGGATTCGGTTTATAATAATGGAGGAATGGCTGGGCGGGAAATTGATACCATGATGAGAACTGTTGATATGGGTGTTTTTTGTTGGAATTGCCACATTTGGCAGCGGTACAGGGTAGGACAGAGATATGCGCAGTACATATGTGGTGGACCCACTTATTTGAAGGCGAGGGTGACGTCAAGCTACGTGAAGGTTTTTTGACATGTGCGAAGAGGAATCTCTGTAGACTTTTGGCGAGCTTTTGGGGTAGATTGGCCTGTAGTATAGGGAGAAGAGAACCAGAAGGTGATAAGAAACTTATCAATACTACCTACTACCAGGTAGCGAGTCAATTTTAAGTACCTATTGTAAGTATAGAGGTCCTTACGATTGACCCTCTACATGTACTAGTATAAGTCGTAGCACCGTAAAGAACGGCATTAGACGTGGATTGATACATGTATTAAACGAGACAATGCTCACCGTAATAATCCGCAATCGCCTGTTGGCCGCAGTTTTTATGCCTTAGCTTGATGCCTGACTGTGGCGCCCCTTATCGCACAATCAGCGCCTTCTGATACGGCCACAGCCCCACCAACCACGGCGCAGAAGAGAAAAAAATTCACCCCGCCCAGAGCCAAACAATTTCAAGGCCAGCGGATTCGACCAGCCAGGAATCCATTTCTTTTGCCTGCTTCTTCTCTCTTCCATCAAACAAAAACGCATATTCAGCGGCTGTTGAATATCGTCTGGGAAAGTAATTGGAATTGCTTTCTATTTTCCAATTTCTTCTTCTTCATCTCTTCTTTCCTTTATCCCCCCCTCTTTTTTCTTAGCAGAAGCAACCTCCACCACTCTCTTTTTCCTGCTTCTCTCTCTCTCCATCCCTCCAAAACTTTCATCAAGTCACCCGCATCACCACCACCCCCAGACCGCCACAATGCCGCCCTCATCCTCCAAGGAAAAGCGACTCGCCAAGAAGGCCGAGAAGGCTGCTGCCACCGGCAAGAAGGTCGGCAAGGTGGGCAAGAAGGAGCCCGAGCTCGACGTCCACGGAAACCCCGTCCAGGACACCGACGGGCCTGCCACCACCGATGACAAGCTGGACGAGGTCAAGCGCCTGGCCGACCAGATGGACCAGCACGGCATCTCGGACCGCGTCACCACCGGCGTGCTGTCGTCCACCCAGCAGAGCAAGGACGTCAAGATCACCAGCTGCTCCCTCGTCTTCCACGGCCGCGTCCTCATCACCGACTCCACCCTCGAGCTGTCCTTTGGCCGCCGCTACGGCCTGCTGGGCGAGAACGGCTGCGGAAAGTCGACGCTGCTCAAGGCCATCGCCGCCCGCGAGTACCCCATCCCCGACCACGTCGACATCTACCTGCTCAACGAGGGTGCGCCCCCCAGCGATCTCGGCGCCCTGGAATGGGTCGTCAAGGAGGCTGAGAACGAGATGGAGCGTCTCGACAAGCTGGCCGAGAAGCTGCTCGAGGACGAGGGCCCCGAGAGCCCTGTCCTGATTGATCTCTACGACGTATGTTTCTCCTTGAATTCTTTTCCCAACTACCACAACTCCACAACTCGGATGCTGACAATGCCCTGTAGCACATGGACAAGATGGACCCCTCAACCTTTGCCACCCGCGCTTCCCTCATTCTGACCGGTCTCGGTTTCAACAAAAAGACCATCCACAAGAAGACCAAGGACATGTCTGGTGGCTGGAGAATGCGTGTCGCCCTGGCCAAGGCCCTCTTCGTCAAGCCCTCGCTGCTCCTGCTCGACGACCCCACCGCCCACTTGGATCTCGAGGCCTGCGTGTGGCTGGAAGAGTACCTCAAGAAGTGGGACCGGACGCTGGTTCTCGTCTCCCACTCGATGGACTTCCTCAACGGCGTGTGTACCAACATGATTGACATGCGCGAAAAGGCCCTCATCTACTACGGTGGTAACTACGACTCGTACGCCAAGACTCGTGAAGAGAATGAGACGAACCAGATGAAGGCCTACACCAAGCAGCAGGAGGAAATCGCCCACATCAAAAAGTTCATTGCCAGCGCCGGTACCTACGCCAACTTGGTCCGACAGGCCAAGTCGCGCCAGAAGATCCTCGACAAGATGGAGGCCGACGGCTTCATCCAGCCCGTCGTTCCCGACCGCGTCTTCACCTTCCGCTTCGCCGACGTTGACAAGCTGCCCCCTCCCGTCCTCTCCTTTGACAACGTCACCTTCTCCTACTCTGGCAACCCCGAGGATGACCTGTACCGCAACATCGACCTTGGTTTCGACATGGACTCCCGAACTGCTCTGGTCGGACCCAACGGTGTTGGCAAGTCGACGCTGCTGCGCCTCATGACCGGCAAGCTGTCGCCCACTGGCGGCTCCGTCAGCCGCCACACCCACTTGAAGCTCGGCCTGTACTCTCAGCACAGCGCTGAGCAGCTCGACCTGACCAAGTCCGCCCTCGACTTTGTCCGAGACAAGTACAAGGAGAAGTCCCAGGACTACCAGTACTGGCGCCAGCAGCTTGGCCGCTACGGCCTGACCGGCGAGTCCCAGACCGCCCTGATGGGCACGCTGTCCGAGGGTCAGAAGAGCCGCATCGTCTTTGCCCTGCTGGCCATTGACAGCCCCAACATGCTGCTGCTCGACGAGCCTACCAACGGTCTCGACATCCCCACCATTGACAGTCTGGCTGACGCCATCAACGCCTTTAGCGGCGGTGTTATCGTCGTCTCCCACGACTTTAGGTGAGTTTACCCTCGTAATCATGGTTGATGAAACGACTTGCTAACCCAATCCTTAGATTGCTTGACAAGATTGCGAAGCAGATTCTCGTCTGCGAGAACCAGACCATCCGAGCATGGGACGGCACCATTGGCGAGTACAAGAACTACCTTCGCAAGAAGATGATTACGGCCGGTGCCGTGTAAAATGGGCGACATGAGACGAGCAGCAGAACTTAAAAGTGCATATTCCAAATCGCTTATAGAACGGATGATGAATGACAGGGAATTGGGCGGCGGCTACATGGGAACAGGATGTCACACGCGGCAACCCACAAAAGCCATCATAGAAGATTGGCACGCTGGAAAGTTGCCAGCAGAAAGGTGCGCATGAGCACGGCCGCGATACCCTAGAGATGCAGGATGCATGCATTCATGATCATGTGTTTTCTTGTTTATTCAAATGTTTTCAGTTTCCCGGGATAGACTTGGTAGTATCATTTGAGATTTCTTCTTGGGTTTAGCTACTACTAGGTTTGAATGGAGGTTTAGACTGAATGAGGTGATTATTGCCTGACGATGCTTTGGTGATGATGTGAATTGTGACAGTCTGAGGAGACTGTGAGTTGTGATGATTGTAGACCTCGGCGAATGACTCACTTGCCGAATGAAGCGGATCATGAGACTGTAGTGGTTTGGTTATGGAAGCTGATTGTGATGGGAGTTTACTACTAAGGTACCTAGTAGGTGGATTGTACGCCCTTTTGAGGGTTGTGACAGGCTTTTTAGTGGCAATCTTTGACAAGTCGAGGAAATCTACAACTTCCCACGAGCACACGTAGCGCTACTACCTACCCTTACTTGTAAACCCAGAATCCCCAAAGCATCATAAATTTGCCAAACCTCAGTAGGCCCGTTCTCTCCACCGTTGCAATCCTGATCACGCATGCATAATATACAAAGAGCCAGAGCAACAATGGCCTCAATCACGATACGACCAGGCACACCCGCCGACGCAGCCTCGATTGCAAAAGTGCATTATCGCGCGCAGGGGAGGTATCATGGGTTTTACGGGGCGTTTTTCGTGAATAGCCCGAGGGAGATTTTGATGCGTGGGACGGAGAGTGCGGTGCGGAAGGGGGGGAATGTGTTTTTGGTTGCTGTTGAGGGGGGGAGTGGGAGGGTTGTTGGGTTTGTGAGGTATGTTGTTAGGGGGGAGGGGGAGGAAGAGAAGGGTGTTGATGGGGTGAAGAGTGATGAGGAAGAGAGAGTTGATGCGTCGTCATTGTTTGCGGTGAAGGAGCATTTGAAGGGGTTGTGGGAGGAGTTTGATGGGAAGCAGGTTGCTATGGATGAGTGTTATGAGAGGGCGGCGAATGGACAAAGACACATCTGTTTGTTTCTCCCTTACCTCTTCCACCCCTATATTCACACTCCTCATTCTTCGATTTCCGTTCTCGTTTGTTTTCCCACGTTGGATTGGAGATGGATGGCTGACGAGGTTGTGTTTTAGATATCAACCACCTGATGATCGACCCATCATATCAACGCAAGGGCATCGGCGGACGACTCCTTGCCGCAGTGTTGGAGAGGTGTGATAAAGAGGGGATTCCAGCGTTTTTAATGTCGTCTGCTGAGTCGAGGGGGTTGTACGGCAAGATGGGGTTTGAGAGTCTGGGGACGTGGAGGGTTGATAATGGGGTTTGGGCGGGGAGGATTGCGGAGGTTGAGAGGGCGTTGGGATTGAATGGGAATGAAGGGCTGAGTGAGGAGTTTAGGGGGGTTGGGGAGGTTGAGGATGTCATGGTGAGGTGGGCGAGGTGATTTATACGCGTTTTGGCTGGTTGATGTCGTGGTGCTGGTTGTCGAGACGGGATGCGGATGACTGGCCGTTTGTGGCATTGTCCAATTGTATATGTCTTTTTTTTTCATAAAGCTGGATTGAGAGAGGAATCGTCATTCTTGGTTACATGCTGTGTTTACTTCATATTCCATTGGACGAGCTTTGATAACGGTAGTGAACTGCTTCAGGGTCTGGCTTAACCAGAGTTGACACGGTGTATTCAGGATGTATGCACTGTACAATCAATACGGAGGGGAGGATGACCCGAAGTTTGATGCCATCGTCAAAGTGCTACAAGAGAAGAATAAGAATGAGATAGAAGGAAAAAAGAAGGAAAAGGAATAGTCAAGAAAAGGCGCTTGATTTATTCTTTCTAGGTACGCAGTGGTGTCTGCAATTCTTGGTTTCGGTTACCTGGAGGGTGATGGGGTTGTTTGGAGGATAGGAAGGACGTGTATTGACCTTGGTATGTTGTCTGTGTGCTCTCTTTGGTCCAATTTCGATTCCGGTGCGTGATTGTACGCATCATCGTCTCAGCCGAAGGATCAGTGTCCTCACGGCTGAAAATAGAATATTCTGTATGACTGCATGGTGCAGTGCAGTGCAGTGCAGTGCAGTGACAGATGTGCTACGTTTGCAATTACTACCAGGACGTGTGATGATCTGTTGGTGATACCGCATGTATGTGCAGTGCTGCTTATCCTGGCTGTTGAGGCTCTGGGAGAAACCGGGGGAGTCTGTCAGATTGCAAAGGCTAGCACGCAAGTCGTCAGGCTAGCGATTCAAGGGTCGCGATAGTAGCATGGGGGAATTTGGGATCCCCTGATGTGCAGATATAGGAGAAGAATGGAAAGTTGAATGGTAAATTCTGCCGATTCTGCTGTTGCACCAAGACTTCTTCTGAGGTCAGTGTGAGGATGATGCTGCCACCTCCAGACTTTGAGCTCATGCTTCTGCTGAGTGAGATGCTGGTTTCGGGTTGATCGAATCTTTCGCTCCGTAGGCTGATGCCAGAGCCAGGGGCACAGAAACACAGTCTTTTCTCGGTGTGTGATTGGCTGATGGGGGTCAACCCACGATGTATCGCCATGGGCATGAGGATAAGGCGTGGCTCCTGGGCTGCATCTCTTCGCTTATTCCATTTCCTGCGAGATGCCAGTTTCTACGCACCGTGTCTATACAGTCTGTTCCTCGGGCTAGAGGATGTCCAAGTGGAAGAGGAGCTGCTCGTGATTTTGAGTGCGGGTTTGTGAGGGTGGCTTTTGGGAGTGGCGTTGTTGGGGCTGATGTCTGAGAAGACAAAGAGGTGGAGAGTGTGCTAACTGTAATGTTGTATCTTAGACTTGCAAGTCAGGGTACAGAAAGAGGTGTTTGTAGGTATAGGAACATTCTCTCTGTTAGCAGGGCATGGAAAGAAAAAGGAATTTGAGTAGAGAAGGCCCTTGTTTGGTGTAGATCCGGATCTCCAAGGCCAAAGACGGGCCCAGGTCAGGGCGGGCAGCCCGGCTGCAGAGAGTCCAGACTCGGTTGAGCCAACGCATCCAATCAGTCCACCATCACCACGGGTCTCGTCCTGGGCTGGTGCTGGTGCTGGTGCTGGTGCTGGTGCTGGAGCCGGAAGCTGGAGCTGGAGCTGGAGTTGGGCCCTCCCTTTTCCGTAGCCTCTCTTTCTCTCTGACTGACTCTGACTGACTCCGATTCTCTTTTGTTGCTGCTTCGTGACTTTTGCCACCTGCAATCCTGCCGTCTCCTCATCATCGTCTCTGTCCCGCAGCCGCGCAAGAGGAGCCTCGCGTGAAGCCATCGCCATCGCCGGCGTCATCCGCAAATCGTTGACGGGGCTCGATGTTGGGCTGCCGACTGTGCCTCGCCTTGACAGACGTAAAACTCCGATAAACTAAAATCTTCACATTATCACTTGTAATTTTCTTCTCTCATCATCTCTCTTGTCTTCCTCGGCGCCAGTCCGGCATCGTCGCGAAAGGAACGACGCCCGCGCCTCCTTCGCATCCAAAACTCTCTCGCGCCGCAGATTCGTCATCGCCATCATTCTTTAGCGAGGCTTTTCCTGCCAGCTCTAGCCGGCTTTTTGTCATCCACCCATCATCTCCAGGTCAAACCAAACCAAACCAAACCACAGCAGATCAACCCCCATCCATCCACCCTGCCATCCATCCATCCATCCATCCATCCATCCACCCATCTAGCCGACGCGATTCTTGCCTGCCTACTCTGGTTCTCACCATCTCGTCGCCTGCCAGCGATTGCCTCGACAGATGCCCTCTGGCCGCGAGCGCGTGTAGACACACAGACGACAGCAAGAGAAAAGACGCACACCACATGGGCTCGTGTGCGTCCACCTAGACGTTTTTCCTCCACAACCTCAATTTGCTGCTGTCCCTTCTCCTTCGCACTCCCATACGCTCTCGCAACCTCGCCCGCCAACGTCCTCCTCCTCAGCCTTGTCTGAACCCGTGCGTCCGCGATGGACTCGAGCTTCCGATCGACGGTGATGCACCGGCGCGGCGACGACGAGCGAGAGCGTGACCGTGACCGAGACCGAGACCGAGACCGAGACCGGGAGCGAGATCGAGATCGAGACCTGGACCGCGAACGGGAGCGAGACAGAGACCGCGAGCGCCATCGCCTGGCCCAGCGCGACGTGATGACGCCCAGCTCGCGGCACTCGGCCTTCAGCCTGCGCTCGCCCTCGTCGACGCACACCCAGGCCGAGTTCCATCCGCCGCTGCCCTTCGCCAGCGATCACCAGTCGCCGCCGCGCCTCAACCCCAACCCCAACCCCAATCCCAGCGCCAACCGCAGCCCCTACATGGCCTCGTCGACGCCGGCCGCCCCGGGCGCTGCCGCACACGCGCTGCCCTCGGTGCTCGCGCCGGCGCCGGGCCATCACCAGAGCCAGAGCCAGAGCCAGAGCCAGCATCAACACCCGCTTCACCACCAGCAGGGCCCGTCCGCCTCGCCGCTGCACCCGCCAGGCGCCTACTACCCGCCGCCTCCGCCGCGCTCGACCGTGTCGTCGGTGCTGTCGGCATCACCGCCGCCTGCGCCTGTTCTGACGGCTCCCGAGCTTCATCCTGCTGGCGGCAGAGTCTACGACCCAACGACGGACACGACCAAAGAGCGCCCCATCGCCGCCTCGAGGCAACACGCGCCCCAAGTGGCCACGCCAAAGGTAAGCAGGCACAAGCACTCCAATTCTTCACCTCCCGTATGCTACATACAAGTCCGCTTCCACTTTTTGGCTTGGAGAACCCACTCGCTTCCGCCCCTTGGGCCTTTGCATTTGTCCTCCTCCATCATCTCTCCATCAATGCCTCTTTTTTCCTCCATCATCTGCCTCCCGCCGCAACCACAGCTCGATGCATCGCTAGCCACCGAAAAAAAAAAAAATTAAAATTCAAGCCCCCCCTCCCCTCTCCCCAAATTCACTTCGGCCCTTGCACTGCCAACTCCCGCCTCCGCCCATCCCTGATTTCTCAAACGCGTCTTTCTAACGTGATTTTTCCTCTTTCTCTCTTCCCTCTTTTCTAGCCGTACCAACCTCGCGAGCCGTTCCAGTATCCACAGCCAATTGACCAGCAACACCAGCCGTCGTCGTACCGCAACGGCGACAACAATTATCCATCGCCTCGCGAGAGGGCCTCGTCCTTCACCCGCCGCCCGACCAGCCCGCTCTCCCTCTCGCACTCGCACCCGAGCCTCGCCACGGGCTCTCACAGCCCGCCCAGCCGTCACTCCCACATGACCTCGCCCGTGTCCAGGCATGCGCCCGCGCCGACGCATGCCACCAACGGCACCTCCCTGGCGCCCATCATGAAGACAGATCTGGCTGCTCCGTCACCGCCGAAGCCGGCTTCCGTAAGTACAAACTCCATTTCACACCAACCTTGGAATTCTTTTGCGATTGCCTTTCCTTATCATCCACTGCCCGATAATTGGTTCTTCGCCTCTTTGCTTCCCCATGCCACCCGCTGCCCCCAACAAGGATCCATCGCCAGCCAAAAAAAAAGAAGAAAAAAAAGACAACGTACTGACAGTGCATACCAGAGCCGAGCTGCCGATCCGATGTCCTTCTCCAACATCCTCTCCAACTCAGAGCCCGCTCCCGAGCCCGTAACCAGGGAACCTTCACCCAAGAAAGAACCGACCTTGGCCGCTCCCATCTTTGAGCTTCGAGAACCGGACAACGACGGCGATACCGAGATGGAGAAGGAGGCTGACACCGAGCCCGAGCCTGCGCCTGTCAAGAAGTCGGAAACCGTCAAGAAGAAGAAGCCTGCCAAGAAGCCTGCCAAGGGCCGAGCGTCCGAGATTCGGGGAGAAGACGCGTCCAAGAAGAACCGCCGCCCATCCATCAAGAAGGAGTCTCCCACCCCGCGACCGCCCTCGAAGCGACAGGCAAACGGCCAGCCCAAGCAGAAGACGTGGTCCAGCGAGATGGAGAGGTCGATTCAGCACCACGAGGCATTGCTGGACAAGCAGGCCGAGTCCCTCGATGAGGACGAGTTTAGCGAGCGAGCGTATAAAGAGGGAGCCTTTAAGCGCCAGCGCATCATGGCTCAACTCGATGCCGACAAAGCCTATGCCCGGCGCGAACAGTTTGCCAACACCACTGGCAAGAGGCTAGCAGAACACTCGGATCTGGGCAAGCGGCGATACGACGACGTCTTCTACGATGAGGCCCTCCAAGAAGTCCGCGAACAAGAGCTCTTTGCGGAAAAGGAGCGCAAGAAGGACATGCAGCGAAAGCGACGGCGCGAAAAGTCCATGGCTGTCACCATCGAGCAAAAGGAGGCCGCCCTGGCCCGAGCCGAAGCCGCAGAAGATGAGGAAGAGCGCCAAAAGCACTTGCGCGACGCCGAAAGGGCCAACAAGAAGGCCCAGCAGACCAAGCTCATCCTGCAAAAGGGCATCAAGGGCCCCGCCCGCAACGTCGAGCTCAACCTCGATGGCGGCACCATGTCCAGCTTCCTCGCCTCCGATGCCGAAACTCCCAAGAAGAGCAAGGGCCGCGGAGGCACGCGACCGAAAAAGTCCAAGGAGCAGAAGCAGGCGGAGAAGGACTCGGCCGAGGCTGCCCAGGCCGCCCTGGATGCCGGCGAGGAGCTGCCGCCCAAGGAAGAGGGCCGCGTCCGCATCAAGATCAAGGGCAAGTCCAAGGGCGGCGACGGAGAAAAGGCTGCCAAGGAAAAGGCCGAAGCTGCCAAGGAAAAGGAAAAGGTCGACGACGTGCCGGATCTCGAAAAGAAATTCATCTCTAAGGGCTACAATCAGATTTACGATCAGATTTGGCGTGACATGGCTCGCAAGGATGTCAGCAAGACCTTCAAGCTCGCCGTCGACTCGTACGCGACCAGGGGCTCCAACCTCAAGAAGACGGCCATCCTGGCCTCCAAGGAAGCCAAGCGCTGGCAGCTGCGAACCAACAAGGGCACCAAGGACCTCCAGGCCCGCGCCAAGCGTGTCATGCGTGACATGATGAGCTTCTGGAAGCGCAACGAACGTGAAGAGCGAGACCTGCGCAAGGCTGCGGAGAAGCAGGAGATTGAAAACGCCCGAAAGGAGGAAGCCGACCGAGAAGCCGCGCGGCAGAAGCGGAAGCTCAACTTCCTCATCTCCCAGACGGAACTGTACTCGCACTTTATCGGCAAGAAGATCAAGACGGACGAGGTCGAGCGCAGCACCGACAACCCCGAGATTGCTACCGACCCGCAGCAGATTCCCGAGAACAAGCTGTCCATCCAGGAGCCCACCGGCCCCCTGGCCTCCAGGGTTACCGACTTTGAGAATCTCGACTTTGACAACGAGGACGAGTCGGTCCTGCAGGCGGCCGCCATGGCTAATGCGCAGAACGCCATTGCCGAAGCGCAGAAGAAGGCGCGCGACTTCAACAACAAGGGCCTGGACATGGATGACGAGGGCGAGATGAACTTTCAAAATCCGACAGGCCTCGGCGACGTCGAGATCGAGCAGCCCAAGCTCATCAATGCCCAGCTCAAGGAGTACCAGCTCAAGGGCCTCAACTGGCTCGTCAACCTCTACGAGCAGGGCATCAACGGCATCCTGGCGGACGAAATGGGTCTCGGCAAGACTGTCCAGTCCATCTCCGTCATGGCCTACCTGGCCGAGAAGCACGACATCTGGGGTCCCTTCTTGGTCGTGGCGCCCGCCTCCACGCTGCACAACTGGCAGCAGGAAATCGCAAAGTTCGTCCCCGAGTTCAAGATCCTCCCCTACTGGGGCAGTGCCAGCGACCGAAAGGTGCTGCGAAAGTTTTGGGACCGGAAGCACACCACGTACCGCAAGGACGCGCCCTTCCACGTCTGCGTCACCTCGTATCAGCTCGTCGTGTCCGATGTGGCCTACTTCCAGAAGATGCGCTGGCAGTACATGATCCTCGACGAGGCCCAAGCCATCAAGAGCTCGTCCAGCTCGCGATGGAAGTGTCTGCTTGGCTTCCACTGCCGAAACCGCCTGCTGCTGACGGGTACTCCCATCCAGAACAACATGCAGGAGCTGTGGGCCTTGCTGCATTTCATCATGCCGTCACTCTTTGACTCCCACGACGAGTTCAGTGAATGGTTCTCCAAGGACATTGAGTCGCACGCCCAGAGCAACACGAAACTCAACGAGGACCAGCTGAAGCGACTTCACATGATTCTGAAGCCGTTTATGCTTCGTCGTGTCAAGAAGCACGTACAAAAGGAGCTTGGCGACAAGATTGAGCTGGACGTCTTCTGCAACCTCACCTACCGGCAGCGAGCCTACTATAGCAATCTGCGCAACCAGATTAACGTGATGGATCTCGTTGAAAAGGCCACCATGGGCGACGATCAAGACTCGGGAACTCTGATGAACCTGGTGATGCAGTTCCGAAAGGTCTGCAACCATCCAGATTTGTTCGAGCGCGCCGAAGTCACCGCCCCCTACTCCTTTGGCTACTTTGCCGAGACCGCCTCGTTCGTCAGGGAGGGCAACACCGTCTCCGTGGGCTACTCCAGCAGAAGCTTGGTAGACTACGAGCTGCCGTCTCTCGTCTGGACCGAGGGTGGCCGCCTTGACAAGGCCGGGCAGGACAACCAGAAGGCCGGCTGGCGCAACAAGGCCCTGAATCACATGCTGAACATTTGGACTCCGGAACACATCCAAGCCAGCGTGGACGCCGACAAGGCCTTTTCCTGGCTGCGCTTCGCCGACACCTCGGCTGGCGACGTCTACAAGGCCACCCACAGCGGCCTCTTTGACCGCGCCGTGGATGAGCTCTCGAAGCGCGACAGGCTCGGCCCAATGAGCATCGCCTATGATGAGGACGACAACAACTTCACCCCGGCCCACTGCTTGTTCAAGATTCGGGAGCGCCGCGACTGGCGGCCTCTGGCCGAGGTTACCAGCGAGGGCATCCTGAGCAGCTTGATGAACATTGCTAAGGTGACGTACCGCGACTCTGGCCTGGGCCGCCTGGAGCCTGCTGGACGACCCCGTGCATCGGCTCCGCCCATTGAAGTCTCGTGCAATAGCCCCAGCGCCGTCGCCGAGCACCGAAACGTCATGTTCAACATGCACATTCGCAAGACGCTGTACGGCCCGACCATTTACGATGAGCAGGCGCTGGTCGAGAAGAAGGTGCCGATGGAGCTGTACCCCGTCAACAAGCTTCTGCCCGCGCCAGACCACGAGAAGAAGCGCTTCACCAACATTGCCGTCCCCTCCATGCAGCGCTTCGTCACCGACAGCGGCAAGCTGGCTAAGCTGGACGAGCTGCTCTTTAAGCTTAAGGCCGAGGGCCACCGCGTGCTGCTGTACTTCCAGATGACTCGCATGATCGACATGATGGAGGAGTATCTGACGTACCGCAACTACAAGTACTGCCGACTGGATGGTTCAACCAAGCTCGAGGACCGTCGCGACACCGTGCACGACTTCCAGACCCGGCCCGAGATCTTCATCTTCCTGCTGTCCACTCGTGCCGGTGGTCTCGGTATCAACCTCACGTCTGCGGATACCGTTATTTTCTACGATTCGGATTGGAACCCGACCATTGATTCGCAGGCCATGGACCGAGCACACAGACTGGGCCAGACCAGGCAGGTCACCGTGTACCGACTCATCACCCGCGGCACCATTGAGGAGCGGATCCGAAAGCGCGCTCTGCAAAAGGAAGAAGTCCAACGCGTCGTCATCCAGGGTGGCGGTGCCAGCGTCGACTTCTCCGGCCGCCGTGCTCCTGAAAACCGCAACCGCGATATCGCCATGTGGCTGGCCGATGACGAGCAAGCCGAGATGATTGAGCGTCGCGAGAAGGAGCTGCTCGAGTCTGGAGAATACGAGAAGCAGAAGAAGAAGGGCGGCAAGCGGAAGCGAACAGATGCCCCCGCCAGCTTGGACGACATGTATCACGAAGGTGAGAGACACGTCACTACTGTGGATGGTGGAATATAATATGCTAACCTACTCTTTCCAGGCGAGGGCAACTTTGACGATGGAAGCAAGCTTGGTGCTTCGGGAACTGCCACACCAGCGGAGATTGAGCCCAAGGGCAAGAAGGGCAGAGCAAAGAGCATCGGCAAGCGGGCAAAAACGGCTAAGCAACGCCTCGCCATTGCTGACGGGATGATTGACGGTTGAGCGATTCGACAACACGCCACTGCCGTCGAAAACAGCATGATACTGGGTGGCATGTGGAACAACCTCACGGTTTGTATGATTAATACTTTTTGCTTTTGTTTTTGTCCTTTTCGAGGGTCGGCACGGATGGACATGAGGAATTTGGAGTGCACGGCGCAGAAACCAAAACGACCTTTTTACGGAAGGATTTATTGTGAGTGAATGTGGATCATTACACGAAGGATTTGCTAGAGGGGGATACAAAAGCACCGGTTGATGGACAAGGTGGTTTATCGTGCTGAGGAGGCATCGCCGATGTATGAGTACGAGTATTGTAGTGTTAGAGAGGATATATAACCACGGATGTTTTCCGTGTGCTAATGTTTTGTATCTGCATGCTAAGGTGCCTCAAGCGGGTGACGGCTGTTGGTGTAATCAAGGGCTCATCACCATGCTCGCGGAAATAGTAGAGGTGCTTCTATGAGATGAGATGTGCAGGATGGGTGAAGATACGAGATGTCGAGTGAATCGAGACTTTATTTCAATCATTATCCAAGTTCCGGGTAGTGGGTGGTCAGTGGACTTTATGCTTTTGTCTCCAGGGAAAGGCAGGCTACTACTGATGTGTAAATTGTTATGTGTGATATCACCCTGTAGCTTCTTAACAACATTGCAAATCATTTATATTCCATCATTTCAGATCTGTTATCTCATAATTGCCAGTGTTTATACCCCAGAATCGACAACCCTATTGAAGCATTTCTAGACTAGTCTATGTTGTGATCTATCAGATAGGTAGGTATCTGTAAGATTCCTCGCCAGAGCTTGGGTTCCTTTGCTATGGGCTACAGGAATTTTTGTGCCAGGGCTATGGGAGATCCTTGGCAAAGGGCTATGGATGTGTCGTTTAGGCCTTGCACTCCTTGCAGGTGTTGATGCACAGGGTCTGTTATGTACGTGTTAGTTGAATGATCTTGACGGTTGTGTTGCTCAAGTAGAGGAGTAAAGGCTTGAGAGATTGGGATCGGTGTAGAATTCGATCTCAGTGGCTTGGATTGGGTGAGGGGAAGGTTGGTTGAGATAAGGATTCTCAGGGAGTTTGAAGAAGGGAAAAGAGGCATGAAAGAGGGTCGACATGAGGCGGGAAGGGAGAAAAAGTATCGCCGGAAGAGACAAGGCGAAGAGGCTTGATGCAGAGAACGTACCCTGTCGCTGACGCACTGGTAAGTGCAGTAGCCAAAGATGCCGCGGTCCCAGCAGCCCTCGCGGCAGACCTTGTAGTTGGGCCTGCAGTCGGAGCAGCAGGGCTGCTTGGTGGCGGCGGCGGCGGCGTCGGCGTCGGTGGCGGGGCTGGGGGCGGCGAGGGCCAGGGGGAGGAGGGCGAGGACGAAGGAGAACTTCATTTTGATGGTTTGAAAGTGGGGGCTTTTGTTTTGTTTAGGTTGTAGTGGTTGTTTGTTGATGGCGGTGATGATGATGGTGATGGAATAGGCAGGAAGGGGTTCTGGAGGGGGGGAAAAAGGGGGATGGCGGTTGGTTTTATAGATGAGGGTGATGAGGGCTTTACGGGGGATGTCCTGGGGATATGGGGATGTGTGATGGTTGGTGAAAAGGATTAGAGAAGTGATTGATGGTTGTTGGAGTGCTTTCTTTGGTGGGTGGATGGGGAATTCGGGGGGGGGGGGTCTGTGTTGATGATGGGGGGAAGGGATTGTATGCTGGTTTGAGCGCTGGGGGGGAGTTTGAGTTGTAGATGGAGCTATTTCGGCGTATTGGGTCTTGGCTGTTTGGAAAATTTCTGATGTAGAGAGAGTCATGGGGCGAAGCTGGGCTTGTTTGTTCTTGATGTTGATTTGATAGGGGAGATGGTTCTCCAGAAGGGACCGTTGTGAGTTCTGAAGGGAAGAGGTTGTGTTAGTCTACTAAGAAGGATATGTCTAGAAACAACATGGCCTGTATGCATTTAGTAGCGTAAGATAAGTGTGTAAGTTGAGATGAACCAATCTGGGATGGTTAAAGTGCCTGTATATGTGTAAATGAGAGTCTATGTGGAAGAATGTTGATGGGACAGTCCTTGGGGGAGGACTTTCTAGGGTGCCTTGCGCTTCTACATCTGCGAGATTACCTCTTCAGTCACTTGATTCACTTTGCAATCTCAGATGCTCTGCGTTAGACTGGGTCAAAGAAGCGATACTCTCATATCACCGATGTTCCAACGGAGACGGAGACAGGCACAGGCACCCTCGAGCACATTGCCACTGCAAAATTTCCTTCCACTAGACTGTTCCAGCTACACTCATCACAACCAGCTAAATCTTGCGACTTCTGAAAGAAACAACCAATGGAGTGCTGTGCCGGAATATTAATGACATTTTGTGAAACTGTTACTTCTATTGACGTTGAAAACGTGAATAAGCTCCATAACGAGGACAAAGGTCTGGGTTGCGCTTATTCGGGACGCTCGAGCCGCTTGCGCACTGACGTCTTGTTTCTGCATCGATGGACGGAGACTTACGATGAATATCGGCGTGTGGGTTAATTAATAAGGTTGTATAGTAGGTTGGGTGTTTATCCGAGTAGGTAGTAAGAGTTGTGACGTGCATTCAGGGATCTAGATCGTAGGTTTATCCTGTGTTGTATGTTAGTTAGGGGTGGCGATGATGACTGGAGCTCCGCGAGACAGGTTGTGGGACTGCTGCCAAGGAGGTTAGGTATGCAGGAGACATCAAGGTACTAAGATGAAGTGTGGAGTTTGATGGGGAGGAGAAGTTGTGAAGACTGATGGCTTGCCCAGGACTGGTTCAACGGTTGCAGATGTTGAGATGGTACATGTAAAAGACAAGGTACTGATCGAGTACACACGCCTCTACGTCAGGAGCGCGGTTTAGACGGCCACGAGTAATCACTCTGCCCAATGAAGTGTAAGGCAATGCTCATTAAGTCTATATGGCTCATAAGTCCATCTTCCTAGTCACCATAACCCGATTTCCAGCTTGTCCTATAGCTCTCTGAACTTGCAGTGCCGTCAGCTATCGACCTCCTCTCCCTCCTCACACGCACGCCGCTCTCAACAATCTCATCAGCCCAGACAAGCCTCCCTGAAAGGCTCCTACTCACAGACGCCATCTTCTGGACATGCACGCTCCTTGATCTCCAACCCCCCGCCGACATCCACGCGACATGTACCTCAGCCTCGAGCCCAATGTTGTTATCTCTGGCGCAGTACTGCAGGCGGTCCATGTGACGCCTCAACTCGATTGCAAACTCCTTCTGGAGGGCGGCTCTCTCGGGGTTCTTTGGAGGCGTGAAATGCTTTACGAGCATCGTGGCGAAGATTACCCCTAGGACGACACCTGCTGTTCCGAGGAGGAGGGACATGAGGCTCGCTGAGGCGCCGCTGGTTAAGCCTAGGACTGTGCCTTTACGAATGCTGCTGAACTTGCCCTTGGCGATGGGTTCTTTGCCTTCTATGATGTGTATACTCGAGGGGTCGTAGGTGGGCAAGTCGAGGGGCGGGATTCCTTCGTTGACGGACCGGGGCAGTGTTCCCGGTTCGGGGAGGACTTTGAAGCTGTACGTACAGAACACGTGCCTCCCTTTGTCTTCTAAGCGGTAGTCGTCGTCAATGTCAAACCAAACGCTGTTCTGCTCGTCGAAGCCAGTGTTGGTAAGGATGCTCGTCATGGCTTTCCTCAGCACGGCGCCGATATGCTGCTCGATGGTGTTCCGGTACGACTGCTGGACGAGACGGCTTTGGAGAATGACGGAGACTGTCTCTGATCCCATGAGGTTGCTGGAGAGCTTTGACACGATGCCCCAGAGGGCACCAGCTATTGTCGTGCCGGCTACGTGACGGAGGGCGCCGGGGTCCATGATGGCGGCGAAGGCGAACATGGTGCCGAGGGCCACGGCTGCGCTGAGCATGGACGAGAGGAACATGAGGGACCAGCTTCGCCTCTTTTCGACGGCTGGGGATTGTTTGTGTGTCAAAGAGGTGGAATGGGCCATGTCTGCTACTCGACGGTATTGCGATATCGAGGCCTGCAGAGGTATGATATGATGTTGTTTGAACCGAAAGAGATGGACATCATATGTATGAATGGGCTTCGACATGGCTGCCTAACTCTGCCTTGGAGTACATGGAGTACAAGTGACTCTTGCCGTCGACCAACATCCGATCTTCTGTGGTAGGCTACAGCATTTTGTTTTTTTGGTGTTTGGGATGCAACGCCTATTGGTTCAAGGATAATTACTGTAGATATTGCTGTCGATATTGGGCGGCCGCGGCAGGATGACGTCGCGGCGGCACGTTACTCGCAGCCTCGTGGGTGGTACAAGAGAGGAACAAGTACCTTGTACGATACTACGTGGGCTGATTTGATTAACAGGAGACGCGGTGGTAAGCCTACATGCCTGCGTGGTCGCGTTGTCTGCAATGGAAAGGTCTTTAGCTTTTGGTATTGGTGGAGGGTCAGGCGCTGCCTGGCCTTGTATGTTTGCAGGATGCTGCTCATTCGGGGCCCCCAAATCAATGTGAAACGGTTGAGTGCAGAGTCTTTGACTTTATTTGGGTCGCATGTCTCTGGTGTTGTTTGGCTGCCTGGGCAAGACACAAGGATGATGTCTTGTGTGCTGTATGTTGTCTTCCACTGGGACGACGTTAATGTAAGCCATGTTGAGTAGCACGACTGAGATGAGGTTGCCTTGCTTGATGCCGGCAATCTCAATCGATGAAGCTGCTCGACTCTGGATGGTGCGGGCAAGCATGTCTTGGTTGGGGCTGTTGCGTGAGTGGTGGATGGTGATGGCGGAAAAGGCGTCTTGCATGGAAGACAGGAAGAAGCTGTCGGCGTAGAGCTGGCAATGGATAAAGGGGCATTGGCCGTTCTGAGTTCATTTGACTTGCCAGCCTCGAAGTTGCTAGATAAGCTCCTAGAGACTACATTAGAGCTTGAGATAGCTCTGGGCCTGGAATCTTCGACAGTCCAGGCCTCGGGGGTGAGGAGCCATGCCTAAGAGGTGGAGGAGAGGCTGGATATGTTGGTGTTGGAGGAGTAGACGTGGCCTGGACGAATGTCGAGCAGTATCAGAGCTTGGTATCGGAGCAACAATCATGAAGTGATGGCCATGGGGAGTAGTGAGCTCATAATGCATGCCTGATTCTTCAATGGCTTCATGTAGATGGCTTGACTTTGCTGTCCGCCGGATCGGGGCCGGATTTCGGCAGTATAAACCCCTGTCCTCGCATTACCGACATAACGGCCGGACTTGATCGCAGCGCCGCGTCGCTGTTATACATGAGGAACAGGCTTTTGACCTTTTCTGAGCGACTATGTATTCCTCATAAGGTAAAAAGCAAGGTAAGAAGGGTCTAGAAGTGATCATGGCTCGAGGTTCGGGCGGGAGACGGAGATGATGCAGACAGGGGTAAAGAGGCGGCGAGCTAGCGGAGCTGACGGTGGAATAGCAGCGGAAGCGGACGGGCTTGGTGGAGATGTAACGGCATTTGTAGCCAATTATGCTGGGATTTGGGAGGATTTATAGCCAGAAGGGGTGAAGGGGCGGAATTGGAATGGAAGTGGTTGAGGCGTTTGTAAGCTGTGATGGTTGGAGATGATGATGATGATGGATGGTTCATGTTTCTAGTACATGAAGATACCTATATAACTGGACGTAAACACGGCCATTCTGACTGATGGTGTATCAACTCTTGACAAGGCTTCCAAGGCTCAAGAACCCATCACAATGCCGCCCAGTCGATCGCAGCTCATCGCCACGGCAAACGCCTTCATCGCCGCCTACAACAAGTGGACCGTCCCCGACATCCTCTCCATCCGCAGCCCATCCTGCAAGCACCACGTCCTGCCCGGCAAGAATCCCCCCAGAAACAATCAAGAATTCGGCGAATTCCTCGCGGGCGTGATTCCCGTCATCCGCAACCTTCGTATGCAGCTCGTGGACACGACGCCGATGGTGGTGGATGTGGAAGTGAGGAGGGTGGTGATGCATTTGACTAGCACGGCGGAGACGGATGTCGGGCCGTATGGGAACGAGTATTTCTTTGTGGTTACGGTGAATGAGGATGGTGAGAGGGTTGATGAGATTGTGGAGTTTCTGGATAAGGCGTATACGGCTGAGTTTCTGAGCAGGTTGAGCAGGGAGACGGGGCAGACGTTGGGCTGATTGAGATGATATTGTACATACATTCAGTGGTTTGCAGATGTACCTAGGTGTCTTGTGTATGAATCTATTGAATAAAATGGAGTGAGGAAACTGGTTGATTGTAAGTCTGATTGTGAGCAAACAGGAAAAGTCTGACCTTTCTATTCACCGCGCTCTCACCTCACCTTCAACTCACATTGCGACTCTCTTTTCACTCCACCACAGCCATTAGGAACCGGAGAATCGCAGGGCGCAATGTTTAACCTTGGCCTCAACATCTTCAGCATCGAGCGGCTTCTTGCTTTTGTTTGCGGCTATCACGGGCCCCGAGTCCTCGCTTACTTGCATCATATCGAGCTTTTGAGCTCGCCAAAAGGCGACGATGGAGAACCTCGCCAACGACGTTGTCAACGAACCTGCGCACACCCCCGTTGACCTCGCGCTCAAGGACTACCTCATCGACGGCCCTGCTCCGGAAGGCGAGGGGGACAAACTCTTTGCTTGCCCGCATCTAGGTTGCGATGGGTTCACGTTTGAAACGGTCGAAGAGTGTCAAGTTCACGACGAGGAGTGGCACAGCCCTCCGTACCTTTGCTCGGACTGCGGCGCAAATTTTGCGGCAAAGCCAGCGCTCAAGAGACACCTCAAGATCAGCGGCCACTTCAACTGGGTCTGTATTGAAGAGGGATGCGTCATGAAAGGCATCCTCTTCGCTAACCAGGCCGAGTTTGTCTCCCACGCACTAAACACTCCGGGACACGAACATCTGTTTCCCGAGGAGGCACTCCAAAGCCCCGGTTCAGCCAAACGGATCAACTACGCGGAAGTTCTCACTATCATGGAAGGCGAATCTAGTGAGGGAGACTCATCGGATGATGAAGACCAAATTTGCCCTGAACCATCGTGTCGACGGTACCAACACACCTTTCACAAAGAGGCCGAGTATATCAGACACATCGAATCTCACGGCCACGTCCACGCCGTCAGATATTCCGAGAGCCTTCGAGAATCGGGAAAATCGATTGCCAATATCACACTTGAACAAGAAGCCGCACGAGAATTTCGCTGCACGGCTCATCACTGCACCTATTTCGGGGAAAAGCTCAAGACAAGCCAGAGCTTTTACCATCACATCACCACTGTCCAGCATTTGCATCCGCGATCTGCCGAGTCGAATCCTTCTTCACCAACGGCAGACATTCGCCTGAAGCTGGCCCAGATCAATCTGACCTGCGACGAACCCGAATGTCCCAGGTTCGAGCACTGTTTCCTCAACAGGGGCGCCTATGGGCAACACACAAACTCGGTTGCTCACAAGAGAGCCATTGAATACGGGCAGTTGAAGAGAGCGCTGGCCGGTTCCGTCGCTGGAAGCCAGGACGATGCGGATTCTCAGACTCCAGAGCCGCAGACGCCGACTGCTAAAGCGATACCGCCGACGACGCCTCAGATCTGGAGTCGCAGCTTGTTCACGCCCATCAGCCCGACTACGCGTACTTTCACCCCAATCCAATTCGTTACCCCGACCAAGCGGCCGGCAAAGGACGTGGTGATGATGTCGCCACCGCCTTCGTCACGACGGGAGGAGTCGTTGAAGAAGAGGAACCGGGAGCTGGAAGAGGAGCTGAGGGAGACGAAGGAGAAGATGGAGCGAATGCGGAATACCTACCAGGAGCAGATCAGCTCTTTGTTTCAGACTCTGGGAGAGACGCAGAGCCGAAGTGTGCGATGTGATTGAGTTGACGTTGTTTGTGTGGATTAGGGATGACTAGTCGAGAGGTGGCTTGTTTGTTTGAGTGATCACGCTGGATGCGAGGCTGAAGGAATCTGAATTGCTAGTGGTGGATTCATTTACACATGTTCAGAGTTGGTATTACTTGTCGAGAAAGGGTATAACGTAGGATGCTGACAAGCAGATGCGAGTCGAGTCGCGGCCTGAATCCTTCAGCTTCACTCACTGTTCATGTAACTCCTTGCATTCAGTAAGAACAGTCGATATACAGGGTACTATGCAAGTTGAATTCTCTCTAGAAATGACCAAAGGCTGTTCGTTCTGATAGGATGCCACTGTGTATACCTGCTATTGTTTTTGTATCTTGAACTTGGCATGCAATTGTGTCTGACCGCGCCATCTTACGAGGCGCTCGTGTAAGACCTATGCCCTCAGTAGAAACGCCAAGGCAGGTGAAATGGAAACAGAGAAGGCAATGCACTTGATTGGCTCATGCTCATCCTTGGACGAACTGCTGACTTTTAAACAGCTTGCATCAGCATTCATCATAGGAGCCCATCTAGTATATGGAATCATCACCATCACCTCCTGACTTTACGGCTATTACGGGACGTTGATAAACCTCTCAGGCCCGTAAAGATGCTGGATCCAGTCTCTCCCTTCTTGGCAATTTGGCGAACAGCCCCTTGTCTACTGGCGGGACCTCGCAGAGACGGGAGTCCTCAAATAGTAGCTGCAACTAACCATCCCTGCAAGGCCAGCTTTAGGCTTCTCACCTTGGCAAAGACGCAAGAATCTGTGATAATACAGCCTCCAGATCCAGCAGGTGAGTCTTTAGGTGAATGCCTTGAACGCCCTGCCTGGTTTCTTCCACCAATCACCACCGCTCCGCCTTCCCCAGCTCGTGTCCCGAACAAGACCATGGGTATTCGATGCTTCGACCGGAATTCTACACGTGTTTCTGCTGGAGAAAAAGGCGGATCGACGGCACTTACACAGGCCGACCAGCGCTAGCCTTGTCAGGGGCTCATGTTTAAGACCTTCCCGACTTGTAAAGTCTCAAACGACGGCACGAGGAGGCTGGCGGTTGTCATAGGTGGAATATTCCATCTGCTCCGCTGCCTCGTTCGAAATGGATATTGATGATTGCGTAGCTACTCATGTCGTCCTGACGTACAGTACAGTACATAGACCCATTCATCATGTAGGTAGGTATTTATCTATAGGTAGAATTCGTATATATAAGACCGTCCGGATCGACATGATGTTATCCTAATTCCCCCTTTATCCTCACCACCAGCAAATCCACCTCCAACCACCGTCAAGATGCTCATCAAGACCCTCCTCGCCACCCTCTCGGCCGCCTCGGCCGTCTTCGCCGCGACTCCCCTCGAGAGCGGCAACTGGGTCTCGGTGAACCCGGGCTTCCAGACGCAGACGTGCGCCGGCGGCAGCGTCAGCGGCACCACCTTCACCATCCCCACGAGCCCCAACGGCAGCACCTCCGGCTCCGGCTGCTCCAACGGCCACCTCCGCGCCGAGCGCCGCTACAACAACGACTACAGCTCCGGCGTCCACCAGTTCGCCGGCACCTTCAAGATCAACTCCATGGGCGGCAGCCGCATCGCCATCAAGCAGACGTTCAACGGCGACGCGGGCCCTTACTTCATCCTTGCTGTCGACACCGGCGGTCGTCTGTACAGCGTCGAGGGCGGCGCCACGCTGGCGACGGGCGTTGCCAACGTTGGTTCGAGCGTCACCATCAACACGGTTCACAATGCGGATATTCACAGCTACCGGGTCTATGTCAACGGCCAGTTGGCGTTCCGGGATGACAACGCCCCCGGCGGAAGCTTCTACGACAAGTTTGGTGCTTATACTACTGATAGCGGTACTGGTCCCATGAGCATCACTTGGTCGGATGTTGCCTTCTGGACTCGTCAGTAAACGCCTGCAGTGCGTTGGCTGATGGGAGAAGAAGTTTCATGTATATCGTTGGAGGACTTGTTCATGCGCTTGAACTGAGCGATGAAGTCTTAAAGCTCCTGCTGAGTATCTGTATATAAACGCTTCATGATGAACAATTGATGACATGGATGCCTTTCTCGATAGTATATCTTCGTCGTTCTCATGGATTCAGCGTCACCTGCAAGCAATTGACACGGCTTATCGCCGACATGAGAGACTCTGTTAACTAAACTGAATCTGACTGCAAGCGCTGCATCGAGACCCATTTCCGCCATTTTCAGACTTCAGGCTCCCCCATGTGGCTTTGCTGGGGTTCCAGGCTGTCGAATCAATCTTGCAGATACCCCATGTTCATCCTGCCTGTCCCCACGTTCAGCGCAGCAACATATGCCATGGCAGCTGAAAAGCTGCAGAAACCAATTGAAAGGCTTCTGCTAGCTGTCAGTAATGCTCTAGCGACCTATGACCCATTGCCACGTCTGCAAGCATGTCACAATACCCCTTCGTCGCAGGCGTGTATATGCAGGCTGTGGATGAAAACAGTAACCCTGACTCCCCACATCACAAGCAGCCGCATCTTGGCATCACACCAATATCCATGGCATCCGTATCCCTACAAGCAAATGCTGAGTGGCGAATTCTCAGGCTATTTCTTCATCCTGCCAGATCAACTGTCTTCAACCTCATGCTTTGCTGAATGACTGAACAGTTCAGAGTCAGAGTCTTGACTTAGCTGGACAGGATATTCACAGACATGGTGGAATACAGCAAGATTCACTTGCACTTTCTTCTGGTAGCCTGCTTGGCTACGCCCGTCACGGCATCATGGTGGGACGACTTCACCAACAACTTGGCCACGGACCTCACGCCGCTGATTGCGCTGTTCGGCGAACAAGCAACCAAGCAATTCCTCAGCGAGTCAACAACCATACTGGACAACTTCATCTTTGCCATGGCACCGCTCGGAATCCTCACCGGAGTCGTCTCCGCCATTCGAGTCTGCGGAGGCCCTTCACTGAGAGCATTCATTGGCCGCGCACAAGAGGGAGGAGGCATTGCCGAAGCGGAACTGTGCTCTTCTACGAGTCGAGACGTCTGCGAGCTTTACCATAACGGTGCCATTGTCAGAGTCTTTGGACGGCCAAAGATTTTGGAGATTGTCTATGATCCGGTCCTTGAGGCGAATGAATCCGGCGACAAGCGCGAGTTTGGCATCAACATATCTCGGGAATACTATCAGAAGTCCATACGGAATGACACAAGGTGGCAAGAAAAGGGGCAGTATCATTTTGACAATGAAGCAAAAAGCACTTCCTCATTCACCATTGATGCGTTTGACAGCTTTGCCCCAAACCCCAACCTGTCCCTCAACATAGGCATCGTGAAGCGCTCTTCATTTGTATACGCAATGGCAGCTCTTTTTGGGTTTCTCGCGCAGTCATCTGTCATTGTGTTGGCTGGGATTGTCCAATACAAACTCAAGTGGCAGAAGAACGAGAGTACCATCGATCCTTGGGCTTTCCCCTTCATACTCGCCGGAACAATATGTGTCTGTTACGGCATGTATCTCTGTGCTGCCTTGGTCAATGATAGCACAAAAGAAAGGGTGTTTGAGCGCAAAGCCGACCAGAAGGCATCGCCGAGCCCCATGCTTTACGTTGTACAGCCCGGGAACCAGGTGGTTGGGGATCAGACTTTTGATCCTTTTCTCACTTCCAAATCTACAAATAGTTATATCACATCTTGGAAGTCACCAACGTCATCGAGTCTGAGTTCTGGGTCGCAAGTCTCAACGACGAGCCGAAGCTGGAGGGTTTTCTACCAGAGTTTGAAACGACCATCGGAGGAGATCTCGGTCCTGATCGCTACGTCAATCACCACCCTGGGCTTTGCCTTTCAGTTTGTTGGCTTGAGAGCGATGCACTCGATCGTTTCTCTCTTGCAACTCGCAGTCACCATCATCATGAGCATTATACGAGCATTGCTGAGGACGCAACGTCTAAGCACCGACGCAAATGTCCTGCGTGATCGCCCCGACGAAGTAAGCAGCCATGAACTGGACTGGCTCGCTCTGCAGATAGGAAAAGGGCCGGATGAGCCAAGGTGCTTTTGGAGAATTGTTTCGAAAGTTCCTGCTCAAGCTACAGAACTGCCATCGGAAAGGCTGGGCAACAAAGCATTTGAATATCGGCTGAGGCTTGCCGAGCTTACTGGACAATCAGCGAACGCCGACTCAAAACTCTCCAATACCTGGGGCGACGATCTCGTCAGTGGACGGTTGCAGGCTCAACAACTCAGAAAAGCGATTGAAGAAAGTATATCGATATTCATTTCTCATGCCAAGGAGAAGGCGGATTTCGGCAGCATGAAGAGCATCCCTTGGTCTCTTCATGTTGCGATGGAGAAATTGGGCAACATGCCTCGCCAGGTTCCAAGTTACCAGCGCATGGATATTCCGCTGAGGGCGGAGGATACTGTCTGGACCGTGGACCAGAACCTTCTCGAGGCCATCATTGGTCTGTGGTCATGGTCCATCGTCTCGGATCCGCTTACAGAGGGAGAGGCCTTCGGATTCAGAACATCGACAGCCTCAGACATACCAGTCTACAGGATTGTAGCGGCAGGGACTGAAAGCAAAGTGCAGCAGGCTTGGGCGGAACTCCAAATCTGGAGCGAGGGCTATAACATGATACTGTCAACACTTGCGATGAAGAAACTGTCATCGAGTGATCCGGACACTACGGGAACAAACGCAGCAACGATCTGGAAGGATTGGAATGGCGGTCAACTGACAGCGGTCAATGGGGGCGACTCATCAGAGACGGGTGTTTTGTTTGGCAAATCAGAACCGTATCAGCGACTCTTTGGTTGGCACGGCATCGTTAACACCGATTGTGCTACGGTTGGAGCCATCAGGATCAAGTCGAACCACATCCCTACGCTATGTGCTCAAGACATATATCAATCTTTCCTGTGCACCATTGCAGCATACTTTGAGCTCGAGAAAGCGACAACGACAGTCACAAGAGAGGAGAATACGATGCGATTGGAGCACCGACTCATCACCAAATTGACGGATTGTTTCGAGGCGAGCGGCTTAGGATCGAAACAAGATGCATTCCTCGTCATCATTCCAGCCTTACAGAGCAATCGCCTCCTTCCACGTGCCGTGGAGGCTGTTCCGACTGCTTACCGCACCGCGGTAGAGCTCAGAAAAAGTAATGGCTTCAGAGAAGCAGAAAGGGTTCTTCGATGGGTTTGGGGCGTCGTGTCCGGATCGGGCGAGCCCCTGGATACTGTAATGATTGAGCTGGGTGAACTTTACCGCTATGCTCTTTGTTCAGAGAAATGGCCTGCTTTTGGTAGACAAGGAATTGCCTGGATGGGCATGCAAAGAGGCTCAGGATTGTCAGATTCGGCAAATGAGGCCATAGCTCGCTATGTGGCGCTCGAGAAACGGCCCAGGGAAAGCCGAACGGCACAGCAGGTCCTCGACGCCCTCTTGAGGCGTGACAGAGAGGCAGCACTCTGGTCAATCAGCAACATTGGCAAAGAGACACAGTTTCCGGTCGAAGAGAAGAGCGGCCGATCAGTCCTCTCTTACGTCTGTCAGGAAGGGTGGTTTGAGCTCGTTCGAGCTGTGTTGGAGATTGGTTCTGTGGTCGAAGCTGTTGACAATCATGGCCGAACAGCATTGAGCTATGCTGCAGAACACGGCCACGTGTCTATTGTTACCATGCTCATGGAGGCCAATGCTTCACCCGCTACCGAAGACACATCCCGGCGATCTCCACTCTCATATGCTGCTGGTCAAGGCCATGTTGCAGTCATTGAAAAGTTGCTGACCGATCGACGTGCGAGTATATACTCCGAGGACGAACAACACCGTTCACCACTCCATCACGCCGCCATCAATGGCCGACATGATGCTATCGAGTGCTTGGTGAATCGAGGAGCTAGGATAGATGCTCTGGACAACAACTCTCATTCGCCGCTCATCGCTGCGCTATCAAATATCCGACGACGGAAGGCCGATAGATGGCAAACGGCAGAGCTACTGGTGAAGCTGAATGCAACAGTCGATCTTGTTATTGAAGGAAAAGAGGCTTGGGAATGGGCACTCGTAACTGGCGAGTTCATGAGCGCTGAATTCCTTGTGGAGCACCACGCGGCACAAGAAGCCATGGGAGTTGTTGTCTATGTCACAGCAGAATTCAGGAACCTGGTGAAATTGTCGGCCCCCAAGTCCCAGTTTGGCTTCAAAATCAGGTTTCTCGGTGATGACTCCGAGGAAAGACAAGTCACAATGGAAGATGTGAGGCTTCTTGCAGAATGCGGGTGCTACATCACTATTTACTACATACTGGATGGCACGCCGGAAAGAACGATCGACTGCAGCAAATCATACAAGATAATCAGCACGTTACTAGACGGTCTCCCAGGAGTGGATGGCATCGAGATAGCGCTCGAAGCTGCATCGATGAACTGGTCTGATAACGAAGCCATCACACCAATCCTCCTTGAACACTGGTACACGCGAAGCCGAAGACCGCTCCAGATAACCGATCACCTAGCGAAGGCTCTATCCACAACCCCGCATAAGAGTATGACCTTGACCAGGCTTCTGCAACTAGAGGAGACCATCCACGTCACGGAGGCGGCGTTACCAGTCATTTGCCAAAACTTCGGTGCGGAAGTCATAAAACTGCTCATTAGCCGGCTCGAGGGGCATATTCACATTACGATGGAACTGCTCGGAAGCCTATTTTCTCATCCTGAGCATACGGAGTCCATCCTGGAGATGCTTCTCTGCCACTCAAAGGCAGAGGTTCGTATCCCGGAGGAAGCGGCGTGTATGATTGCTGAACATTCCAGCGAAAATGTCATGGCAATACTTCTAAGCCGGCATGGAAATATTGTGGCGGTTACGGACAATTTCGTTAATGCTGCAGCGGCCAACGGGCATGGAGCCAAGGTGTTGGCACTGCTTCTGAACCAGCGACAAGCACAGGTCAAGATCACCGAGGCAACGTTGGTGAGCGCGGCCAAAAGCCAGAATGGGCGAGAAGTCATTGAGATGCTTCTGAATAAGCGAGGGGCGCAGGTCCAAATCACAGAAGACGTTGTCCAGGCCGCAGCCTCCCACCCTATGGGTGTTCTCGTGATGGAGCTGATCCTTGACCGACGAGGAGATGAGTTCCAGATTACAGACAAGATTGTCCAGCTCGCAGCCGCAAATAATGGACAAGAACTGCTCCGACTATTTCTTGATCGGCGGGGAGAAGAGATTCATATCACTGAAGAAGTACTCAAGGCTGCAGCCAAACATTCCAAATGCGCCGTTGGGATACTGGAGCTGCTTCTTGAGAGGCGTCCAGAAGAAGTTCAGATCACTGAAGAGGTCGTCAAGGCTGCAGCTGGAAATACCAATTGCGCCGATGTTGTTATACAGCTTCTTCTTAAGGAACGTCCAGGAGAGGTTCAAATCACTGAAGAATCGCTCAAGGCCGCAGCTGCGAATTGCAACTTTGCCGACAAGGTAATAGAGCTGTTTCTTGATGAAGGGGGAGAACAGGTTCACGTGACTGAGGAAGTGCTCAGGGTTGCAGCCGGAAGTAGACATGTTTCGGCCCCGGTACTAGAGAGGCTACTTGACCAGCATGGAGACCAACTTCAGATTACGGAAGAAGTGGTCAAGGCTGTAGTTGCAAATCACACGAATCCCGTGAAAGTGCTGAGGCTGCTTCATCGCCGGCATAGACACAACATCCCTATCACTGAAGAAGTGCTCAAGACTGCAGCTGGGAACCCCCGTTATGCCGTCGAGATATTGGGAAAGATTTCTCGAATGGGCCGAGAGCATATTCGAATTACCGAAGAATTGGTCCTAGTGGCAGCTTCAAATGAGTCTCAGGCCCAAGGCATATTCTGTCTGCTGCTCGACGAGTTGAAGCTCGGGAGCCAAATTCTTATTACAGAAGAGGTGGTCAAGGCCATCATTGACAATATCGGGGACTCATATAGCGGTGAACAAAAACAGCAAGAGCTGATGGAACGTCTTCTCGACGGGAAATGTAAGATCAAGGTCACGGAGAAGATGGTGGAGTATATACCTGCTGAGTGGACGGGCATCAGAAAAAGGATATCTGAACTATTGGAACACCGGAACCGCGAGGCTTATTCATGATACACCGAGAGGGTCACGGATAGATACGTAGGTAGGCTTCCCACCAGTTACCCATGGAAATGGAAGTTTTGGCAAATGAACGGACGTTGCCTGCTGTTCTTCGCCCGCTTCATCCCTCGGCCAGTAAATTCTCTTCTCTCTGTTGAGTCTCATTGTTTTTGGCTTTTTACTTGGAAATATATCTGGCTTGAGGAGTACGCATACTACAAGGGCGTGATCGCTATGGTGTTATCGTTACAGTTTCGAAGCGAAGGAGGACATTATAATGAGATGGCATCAACCCTCTGCTCATACACCTCCTTGTAATCGCTGGACATATGACGAATTATTGTCTTTCGTGCCCCTTTATCTCCTGTTTCGGACTTCGACTCCCGTTGACAGGGAGCTACCTATGTAGAGCGCCTGCGGCTCCTTTTAAAGGCTGCGACGAAATTACCTATAAGGTAGGTACAAAACGAGCTTCTCTCGTAAGTTGACCTTATGTCACTTACTGCACGGTGGCCTACTAGTTACCTTTGTGTTTGTGTTGTGAAACTACGCATTACTACCAGTACCTTAGTGATTGAGACGCAGTAGCTGTCGGCAGATGTTGCGAATAGATACCTAAGGTACGTAGGTAGATATTTGGGCTAACACAACCGCCGATCGCTGACAAACAATGAGATATCATCATCATTCAACTAACTAATCTGAATGTCGCTTCTGAATCTCAAATTACTTCTGCCTCTTATCAGACTACCTTATGCAATTCCAGGAACCAGCACGATTTGTACACCTTACATGCACCAGCTCGTCTCAGTAGACTATGGCGGAAGTTCCAGCAACGATGGAAAGTCAAGAGTTGAGCCAACTCTCTCCACTTGAGTGGATAATGCCACGATCATACGTCAGCCAGATCCTCTGCTTCCCATCGTCAAACCCTCGAATAGCCCAGGTGCTTCTCGATGGCCTCGCAGGAACATTAAGAGATGTCCCATATCTCGCCTCGAGGGTAGTGTCCAGAGACCATCCCAAGGGTTCTGTCGCCTTGAGCCTCCCACGCGACTCATTGAGCGATTTGTTTCGCGTCAACAGTCTCCTCACGACGGTTGACTACAACACTCTCAAGTCGGGCGGATTCAAGCCTTCGCTTTTCGATGGACTGATCTTATCTTCGCCCAATATAAATCCCGCAAACACGTCGCCGAGCCCAGTCTTTCGCGCCGTCTTGTCGCTGGTGAACGGCGGCTGTTTGCTCTGGGTCAGTATGCATCACTCAACGGCCGACATCACCGCGTTCGGCTCGCTGCTGAAAATATGGGCGTCATATTGCAGAACGGGTTCTTCTGAGGATATCCAGTTTGATCCAAGCTGGCTTGACCGCTCAGCTATCGTCAGGCAATCTCATGATGTTCCCGCTGATACGCCACTTCTCCTTCACAAGGAAGAAAGCAGCAACTCGGCTAGCCAGCCATCAAAGCCTCAGAATCTGGAAACCCACTTCTTCAGATACTCTGCACAGTACCTGAAAGGTCTCAAAGTCGAAGTCAACAAGCACCTGCCTGAAGGGACGACTTGGGTCTCGACGAGCGACATATTGACTGCTATCATTTGGGGGTCTATCGTCCATTCTGAGGATGCAGTTGCCAATGACAACGTTGCGGACGAGACATGCTTGATGCGGATTGCTGTCAATTGCCGCAGTCGCTTCAATCCACCGTTGCCGAAGAACTATCTTGGCGCAGCGTTCGGAGTGACGCTGGTGAATGCGAAGAGGGCCGACCTCATTGCGATAGGCACGGCAACTGAACAAACACTTTCTCTCCCCGCAATCGCAAACGTTGCGGCATCCGTACGCCAAAGCGTCAATTTTATGGATGGGGACAAGATGAAGGCCATCGTCAAGCATCTGACAAGTCAACAAGATGTCACAAATCTCAAGCTCTGTCAAGAGCCGGCACCGAGGGTTGCCGTCGTCTCATGGGCCGACCAAGGAGTCTATGAGCTCGATTGGGGCGCTGAACTCGGGCACTGCGAGGCCGTACGACTGCCGTCGTTCAAAGCAAAGCGGTATCCGGTGGTGTTTCCAAGACTTCCGAATGGAGACCTGGAGGTTCTTGTAAGCTTTGATACGGAGACGGTGAAGAAATGGAAAGCGGCATATGACATGAGTCCGTGGAAGGCATAGATCACAAGCGGCCTGCATAAACATCGTCAAGCGCTGTTTGCTGTTAAAATGATGAAGCTTGTTCGATAGGAATGCAGTGATAGATTTCGCCATCGTCACTATATACATGGAACCACATCAATGTCCAGACAAAGGGCAATAAGAGCACCCATCATCAACTGTGAAACTTGAGCGCAACTTTGCCATTCTGATCCTGCTTCTCCATCGACTTTACAATCGCGTCAATTGCAGGGCTCATATCGGCCAGTTTGATCGTTCTCTTCGATGGTCTCCAGCCAAACTCGGTGGGAAACCTCTCTTCCTCAAACCACATCCTGATACGGTCCTTGGGACCTTGGTATGCTGAGGGAGGGGGATCATGATCCGCATCGGGACTGTGATCAGCCATCATGGTAAGCGTCATTGCAGCCTCGAAAAGAGTGAATGTGACTTGATTGTCGGGAAGGACTCTTGGCTCTGACTCTTGTAGGAGGCGCAAGCGTGTCTTTGCAATGGAGTCGACTGTGAGGAAGGGAGTGTCGCTATCAGCGAGGAGACTCTCTATTCGGAGAGGGTCTGCTTTCAGCTGAGGCTGCTCGGGGGTGTAGTCGTCCCGCGTGAGAGACGTTATATGCTGTATTATGCCTGGTGTGTTGAGGTCGACTAAGTCGAACACGTCATGGCCAAAAGCTTTGGCAAAGTCTCTGGCGGCATCTGCGAAGCCTGCTTCGACGTTGAGGAATGAGGTGAAGGCGTGCTCAATCATTGAGGCGGTGATGTTGCGGCCATGATGAGGTCTGGAGGCATGTTAGCAACGCAATTCGACACTGTGGTTTGACGGTGTCCTTACAGGTAACCATGATTGGCAAGAGTGTTGATCATAGGACACGGTCCTCGAGAATCATCTGGTCCAGGCGGCACCCAGGGCTTGATTTGTGGCTTTGGAAACCTTGCGGCACATGCTGCCGTAGCAAGGGCCGTAAATGAGAGAAGAGAGCCCAAGAGGAGCATATTGATATGAATACTGAGGGAGGTTGAAGCACAATGTCACAAATGGCACGCTCTAGGATATCAGGACAATGTAGACTGGAGGGGAAGACGGTGCCCTTTAAAGACTTCACAACAACTCTGCACAACACAAGAGGCACAATAGATCGACCTGCACGCGTCGGAAGCTGCCATGTCTCTCCGTCACCTCGCAGCTCGCTCTCCGCCCAAGGTAAGACACGCCGTTTCATGCCTGCAATTTGCAAGTGTTTCTTTTTTTGAACGTATCCACCGTCAATCTCAAGACAAGATGCAGTAGCGCACACCTGCCGGGGTCCAAACACCCGTTGTAGACCAATGGCTTCTCGCTTGGAGTAAGTCTGAGATGTTGTGTTTGTCCTTGTGTTGTGCCTTGTGCCCTGCTTCGCTGCAGTTGGGGCTGGTTACGCCTCTTTATTCCGATTTGTATGGTTCAACCCAAGGACTCGGGATCCCGAATTTGTCATTCTTCGGGTTGCCGTTGGGCCCCTCGCAGCGGGCAACTGTCTCTCAGACGCATGTCGGCACATAATGCATCCTTTTGATTTGGAATATCGCAGAGAATGGGGGACCATGGGCGTGGGCAATGGAACAAGCAGTCAACTTCGTTTTTGCACCCCGACCACATACAAACGGCCAGGGACACGTAACACTTGGCATGTGTGTGATACCCGCGGTCATCTATCTAAGGCGCAATTGACCATTTTGCTCTTGGCGAACACTCAGTACTACGTCCAGCTTATACCACAGTCTGTGCCTCTGATCTATCTTTGGCTGTTAGATGACGCGACCTGTGAGACACCCAACGGTTCTGTTGGCGCTTGGCCCTATCTGTCCCCTGTCATTAGGTATACAAGCATACAAGTAGTATAGTAAACGAGAGCTCTCTTGAGTTTCTGCAAAGTCCATTATGACATCCCAGTTAGATACAATACCGGGCGAAGAGATTGCCTGCGGCAACAAGAAGCTGACGCAAAGTGTCCATTGGTGTAGATGATCGACCTAAAACAGTGGTAGGCAGGGAGAAGAGGAGCCGAGCCTTGGCCTCGAAAACGGCCATTTACTGTTGCAGTCGAGGTAATATCAGTAAGTCACTTAATGGCAAGCATTCTTCCGAATCGACCGGGCCATGCTTGGGGCAATAATAAGACGCGAACCATTGGCCCGGGAATTTCGTATGTATGTTAGACGATCTCGATCACCAACAGTCGCCCCGAAAGTTGTTGTTGTATGCCGCGATCCGACTCGGAACCGATCAATCGGCGTACTATCAGCTTTTTGGCTCGATTACGAGGAACGATTATGCAGCTAAGCGACGGCAAGCTGCTCCAAGACTTTACTCAGCTCTCCCTGCCCAGCCTACATTTTCGGGCGTACAAACATGGGACGCAGTCGACGCATAGAACGTGATTCAAAAGTGAGCCGTTTTGTCCTCCCTGCAGGATCTTAGTCGTCGGCAGCTCTCTGCTGACTGAAGGGAGGAAACAAGGGCTATGGGGGATTTGAGCTAGCAACGGCACCCCAGGGATGTGTTGACACATTGTTTTGTCTCCAGACATTGTTGTCAGAAGCTTTATTTATAATGTATCTGGGACAAGTCTCTCTCACTATGAGGAATTTCTGATGTAAACTATGAAGGGAAGCCTGCGCGTAACACGAAGCCAGCCTTTCAGCAGCCTTGATACTACCATGCAGGCGGCGATATTGAGTGTTCAAGGTGGTGGGAGATAAGAGCAAAGGCGAAATACTCAGCATATCAGCTCTTCGGACTGTTGCAAGAGGCCGTAGAAGTCTCAGAGCTACATAGGCATGCAATGCGAGGGGGATTCAGCTCTCCGTTTTCGCGAATGGCAGCGCTTCGGCCCCCACAGAAGGATGGAAATAACATGTCTCACGCCTCGGCGATCGGTAAGTGTCTCAGGTTCGGGAGAAGAGGGCTTTCCCCATCCTGGGACTTGGGTCAGCCGTTTTTCCGAACGGGTAGTATCTCTAGTTGGTGTAACTTGGTGATAGTAACAGGAGGGGGTTGGACCTATCTTTGGCCATGTTGGTGTAACAGAAATAGCTCCGACAAGCCGACGGTGTGAGACTCTCAACAGCTGGTGGATGTAGACCCTCTCCTCAACGAAATGGTAGATGGAGGTTTAGTGTAGTGTGCGGCAGATACCAGTAAAGGCTTGTGATATCAGGTAGAGGTATTCCATGAGGAGCATCTGCTTTGCTCAACATACTTCTGGGCTGGGCTACCCGGTAACTATTGCATCTTGCGTCTATGAGGTTGTCAAGGTTCGATGAAATTCCAATCATAAGGACACAATGGACTTTTTAGAAGACAATGGCTATCTATACGCTTATCGATTGGCTTGATTGTAAGAAATTGAACGCTCAATCTCTCTACAGCTAATACCTATTAAAGTCATAATAATACCACTCACTGGATCTCGACCTATATAGTGGTTACTGTACTATTTAATAAAGGGCAACTATAAACTCTCTTCTTTTATAAAAGACTAGCTAAAGAGAAAGAGAAAGAAAGGAAAATAAATAAATAGCTATAAATATATTATAGGCCTAAGGCCTGTAGTGTTATAAGGTAGTCTTAAGTTATTAAGGTAGGGACTACTTAATATATCCCCTTTAAAACTAATATATTATAATACTATTATAATATCTTAAAAAATTAATAATATTTTATTAATTATAAAATATAGGCTATTTTACTATATATAAAAAATATAAAATAAATTTAAAAAATAGCTGCTATTTTTTTAATTAAAAAGAAATAGTATTAATAAAAGTAAGTAAATTAAATTAAGGTTTTTTAGTTATTAAAGTTTAAAAGTTACTTTTACTTATTAAAGTATAAGGCTTTTTTAATTAAAATAAAAATAAATTATTAAAATAAAAATAAGTAAAAATAAGTTATTAATATAATAATAAAAGCTTTTAAATAGCTTTTTATTTATTAAATAAAATGCTTTTTTTATAAAAGATATATTAATATTATTAATATAATAATTAAGGTTTAATAAAATACTTATATCTTAAAGTATTAAAAGTATAAAAAATAAATTTATTTTAATTAATAAATAAAATACCTTTTATAATAAAGGTCTTTTAAATATAAATTTAGTTAAAGTAGCTGCTTATTTTAAAATATAAAGGATAAGAAGACTTATATTATTTTTTATTATAAATTTAATACTTTTAAACTATTTTAAATATAAATTTATTATAGTTTAAATTCTTATTAATATAAAAAAAAGAAAATAAAAAATAAAGTATAGCTAAGGTAATAAAGTTAATATACTTATTATAATTACTTTTACTATTAAATAAATATATAAACTTAAAATAAATCTTTACTATTAAATAGTATTAACTATTTTTAAAAGCTTTATAAATTTAATATACTTAATTTTTTTAAGTAGCTTTATTAAACTATTTATAATTATTTTTTATATATTAATTTACTATATTTTAAAGTCTTTTTATTTTATTTTATTAATAATTTATTTAAAATAAATATTTATATACCTTATTTATACTATATTATATTAATTAAGAATAGTAATTTTAATATTTTAAGAATTAATATATAAAATTATAAGCTTTTAGTTTTTAATATTTAAATTATTAAGGATTTTTTTAATTTAAATAGCTAATATTTTAGCTAAAGTAAGGTTTATAAATTTAGCTTTAATTAAGCTTATAATAATAATAGTTTATTTCTTACTTTTTTAGTAAATTAGTTTATTATTAATTAATATAATATAACTTATTATATTAAATCTTTTAGCTAAATTATTTATAAAAGCTATATTAATATAAACCTTTAAATTAAGGTCTTTAATATTATATTTACTATTAAGTTAAATCCTTAAGTTAATTATACCTTAAAGGTATTAAAAAAGGTGCTTTAAAATTTTCTTATAGTATTTTATTAAATTAATATTAGCTTTATAAAGCTTTTAAGTAATATATATAATATTAAGCCTTATACTTATTAAAATAAAGTTTAGGCTTTTAATTTATTTTAGCTATTTTTTTATTAATATAATAACTTTTTATTATTTTTAATTATAAGAAATTATTTTTTTAAATAGCTATAAGATTTTAGCTAAATTTTAAAATATTAAGATAAACTTAATAATAACTTTCTTAATATAAATGCTTTAGCTAAGTATAATTATTTTATTTTTTTAATTTTTATAAACTTTTAGTTTTAAAAAAATAGCTATATTTTTTAATTTTTTAATTTTAAATAAACCTTTTAGTTATATTATTATATTATAAATAATTAATATTTTTAAGGCTATAATTATTATATTATTATATATAAATAAAAAATCGATGCCCCGCCAAACCCCCATT